CAAATGTGTTATCATACTATAGATAAAATTATTATGAAATTAAAATAAATCTCACCACAACGTACATTTTATAAGATATAAATAGAATATTTTTTTAACTAAAGTACTGATTATTTTGAATTCACCGTGTAAATAATAATCATAAAAAATTGTGACTCTCTCTCTCCTCTCTCTCTCTCTCTCTCGCTCTCTCTTACCAAACCAACCCAACAAATCGGGAAATCTTAGAAATCAGTATGTATACGATAGAAAGTGTAAATAACATCTTTTTTTAATATGTGCACTCGTTTCTTCAACAAGGGAAATAGGACCACTTTTTAATCCAGATTACATTATTAATATACCATTTAGGGAAGTAATTTCCAAACTTCACTACGGTAACTATATATTAATAAAAAAAATTAATTCATCTTACAAAGTTGATGCCACAATGAGGAGCTAATACGACAAATATACTGCCATGTGATCCGACTGACCCTCGGCGTTCGATGAAATATGCCACCGGCCACTTATCTTCGGACACCCAGAAGGCTAGTAAAAATTTTGCTAAAGGTCTTTGATTAGAAATCTGAAATGCGAAAGTTAAAATCAAAGAAAAAGATGTTAATATGTCTAATATGTGTAATATGTACACATGCTCGTATTTTCAACTTCCTTACTTAATGCACAATAAGATTAAGATTCGCACTGTAAAAAACGGCGATGACAATAAGTTCTGTTGGCTGTTGTAATTTTATGTATTATTTTATTTTACCCAACATGTCCAAATAAGAAGATTATTTAAGGTTAATATAAATCCACTGAAAATACTCCTCACTCCGTATATGTAAACCAGAACCTAAGGGAACGAAAAATTATTCGAAAGCTATAATCGATATTTAAATGGAGTAGTCATATTGAGAATATTTATTTCTATCTTATTTGTAAATAATGTGTGTATTATCTGTAAATATTTTGTAATGGATACTATTTACGAATATTAGATGTGCATCAAATCATTTATAAACTGTTATCTGTTACGAAATGTAAATTGTGGTATTCTCAAAGGCAAATAAAATATTTATTCGCACATTTATCAGCGGTGAAAACCAAAACTAATATCAATGATAAAACGATCGTAAAGGAATTATCGCAGTTGTAATCGATTACTTTCATCAAATCGATTATGTGTATACGGACGGTGCAATGAAATTCAGAAATGCAGACCAATATCCTCGCAGAATATAAACTTTATTTTTACTGTATTTTTTTTTATCAATCATGAAAACTACCTGAAGCTTATACGATATCCGACGATATTGCATATCATTCCTGGAATAGAGACACGAGTTTGTGTGAGTAAGGTGAATATCAAATATTATTTTTCTATATACAAACAAATACGAGTACGTCTAAAACAAATATTATATTTGGTAGTCTTACAACTACTACATACTACTAAAGTTTGCTCTTCGTGAACTGCGAATATTTGAGAATCGATATCCTCTCTAAATTTTTGTTATTCCACTTGAAATGAGAGTTGTTATCGCTTTTACACTTGTTAGTGCTTCCTATTTGTTTCCGATTTGACACGGCTAGGATTTATTGCTAAGCTCCATTTAATAATTTCAAATAAGATACGAACGCTTTCTATCTAGTGTAAATGTTACTATATAATAATATATACAAGGTGACTATTTCCTGATCATAAGGTAGTTATTTATAGGTATGACGGCGCATTTGTGATTTTAGAAATTAAATTGATTATTTTTACGATAGATAATAGGACCTATTTAGTAAAAGCAAACGTCACTAACGAAAAGAAGTGACGGTCCGCTTGACGTAACTCGGGGAACTGGATGTATAGTACTAAGATCGGCGAATTGATCCGCTGTATGAGGCATACACCACGTTGTCCGCGGAACGTCGTGTGATTTCGATTAATACTGAATACGAACGTTGTAATTGATCCATGGTTATTGAGTGTAGTTAATTGTAGTATGTGCTAATTAATAGTTTGAATTATAATATCGGTAACCTATACGTCAAATGTCAATTATTTTCCTATTGCCCGTCAACCTACGCCATTATAGAAGAAGGAAATAATCATAATAAGGGCCAAGTTTCTATAGGTATATTTTATTTTTGTGTGTATCACGTCAGTAATTTTAATATTTTTACACTAAACTCCAAACTTATAAATGTGCGTTGAAGTGTCTTGTTACTGACACTAAGAACAGTTTAAAATCCTTTAACACAATAACAGCAATTTAGAACTGAAAAGATTTACCATTATTTAATAATATAGTTATTATATTTGTATAATATTAAGTATTTTAAATTTATTATTTCATTTAATTGTACACTGTCTCGATAGTCTTGGATAGTCAGTAGCATGCTATACCAAATACATAGTCAAATGATTTGTGACAATGATGTCATCGAATGCTTTGCTAACATAAACACGATCCTTCACTCCGTTCCGTTCGAGTACAATGAATAGCATGTATTTTTTGTTCTACTTGGCGTATGCTCTGAATTGTCTTACCGCAATGTTTTTATGTAACATTTAATTGATTTTAAAAATACTTTTTCATGTACGAAATTAGATTATTAGATACATCTCATATGTTAAATGACGCTTGGACCTTGCGATTCATGTTGATTATAGTTCCTTGTAGCCGTTGACGTTTATTAATATTCCTTTGTAAACCAATATCTATTAATTTATAGCTTTAGCCTCTGATCACCACTAAACTGAATTGATTGATATATATCCAGAGAGCACTACACTCCAATCTCGAATTTAATCAATTCCTTTCAGGTAGTAATTTCACAGTAATATGTAGTCTCATAAACAAAAGCTGAACTAGATCTAAATTCAGTTTGTGTGTCTTAATTGTAATCGGTTACATTAATAGATTAATATGTATTTACATTATCCTATCCTCATGATATTACTGGAAGGCTCATGGCTACATAATAATCACGATATTTACTCAATAAAACTATTATGTTTACTTTATACACAAAACATTACTAAATTTTAAAAACTACAAGCGCTTACGACTTTAGACACTTGGAATTAGATTTTTAATGTTTCTTTTTTGTATCAGCCAGACAAAAAAAATCGCCTCTATAATTATAAATACTATATATTTCTCTTGTTTAATAATAATAATGTATTTGTGCGAGTTGATTTAATATACGAACGCAAAGGTTTCCACCGTGTTATTATATGTACAGATTTGTTTATATGTTTGTTATTCAATTAAACTCCAATAACCGGATGGCGGATTTGTATTTAGCATTTGTGGTATTTACATGATGTATGATATAAATGTACTTATAATTAAGTTAAATGCTAGATAATTAGTCAATATTCGTCAATTTATATTTTTACATTTGGTATATGAACTTACTATAACAGTTAATAACAAGTAAATACGATGTAATAAATAATAATTATATACAAACCCAATATCTAATTAAAAAATAATAATGATATAAAATCTAAAATTAATATGTAATTATAAACAATTTGTATGACGTCTTCATTATTATTTTCATTGTATACGATTAAAAATCCACGAATTCAAATAATGTCTGAATTCCCTCACTTGAATATAAAGAGTTCAAAACATTTCATAGAGTAAATATCTAAGTTATATCATTAGGGTTGTAAAGCCCACGTACGTCAAGGTTCCGCGGCGCTGAAAATAGCCGGCAAGTTTTACACCGGACGGGAATAACGAGCAATTTACTTCACGAATCAAATCCACAGTTTATTGGCGATTAAACCTATCAATGAGTTTCCGGCACCGGCTGACACTTTAAAACGATAATCAAAACTGTTCTCAATGAACAATGCGTTCGAGTCGTAAATTACACCAACTTCGTGCCATAAGTCACCCTGCCACAATAGCACTTGAGTTCCAATAGCTATAAAGCTTACGGTGTCTTAGAATTTTGCCTTACTTTAATTCGATTTATTTAAAAGAAAGTTTGCATTTGTTACTCTTTTATACTTCGAAAGATAATCATCCTAAGCATAAGTAAATAGTGAAATTGTAAGGAGAGCAACATAACATAACAAGTTATGCAAAATTATTGAAAAAGTATGTCTACCATTTACAAATATTTTGCTTTAAAGTGTTAATCAACCGTAACGAAATGTTTATAAAATTTTCTTTGACCATAATAAATTATACTCAATACGTTTCTTTAGACACGTGTACTATATTTGAACGAAAAGAAAGGTTATTACTCTAATGTTATAAAAATATTTTCAATCTGCTATGAGAGGTGGGCATATTCTAGTGGGCGTTGGAAAAAAATTTAGACCTTAACGATCATATTGCAATCCAAGTATAATAAAATATACGGATCTTTAAATTGTTCCCTACTATTCTATATATTTTTATTCGTTCCACAATTCAATGCTTATGCTATGCTTTACACAAGCTTTGCAACGCTACACTACATACTAAGCTATAATAGCATTTCATTCATAAATCTTCGTGCATTATAGTACTAATATAGGTTTTTGAATGAAAAACCCGGAAACGCTTCGATTAAAAATTGTTTTAAGCCTACAGAACTGAAGCTCTAATACTGCTTTTTTTTAAAGTTACGTTTATCAACGTAATCAACGGTGGCTGCCATTCGACTTTTCCTTAGTCCCGGTCCCTAAATAGATTCTAAGACAAAATGTTCAATGAAATTAAATTACTAAATTCCGTAAACAAAAAAAATCTATTTCAGAGACGAGATCATAACTTGGTATATGAAAAAATTAAAACTATTTATGGAATACAAGTCATTGTGAAACATAAAACCATACTACATAAACATGTAGGTTTTAATGTGTGGTTATATATTTACTGTGCTAAAAGCGTATTGTCTGCTTTGTTATTCATATCGGATTCAGTATTTGAGATTGTTATAAAAATACGAATTTTTCAGGTTTGTTACTATTCGAAAATCTAAAGTATGATAGTTGATCTATCTAAATCACTTACCTCCAGTATGCGGTAGGGTGACCGTGCATAAAGCAGACGGTGACAGGTTGTACACCGGTTCCTCTTTTGGTTTTAACAACTCGGCAGTGGACACAGCGTGAATAGACAGTTCCTGTTGAAAAGGTATTAATTATTACGAAATTAAGGAAACAAAGTACAAGCAATAAATTATATATATATATATATATATATATATATATATATATATATATATATATATATATATATATATATATAGAATATAATAATTATTATTATAGTAGATCTATTTAATGATACTTTATAAATTCCAAGAGCTCCACTAGTTTTAGATTATTTATTTATGTAACCAACTGTTGAAATAAACAAATAAATTTGCAATATTTTCTTTTAATAACAAGCTAATAACAGCTTTCACGATTTCTTGTTAACTATTAATACTTATCAACAAAAGCTAGATATACGTATAAAATCAATATATTATAAATTAAATATAATTAAAAGATATTAAAACCTGTTCACAAAATGTTACTGATTTGTTAAATATTAAATCTTTATATACCGTTTAAGTATTCATACAATTCATTAATTGCCAACAAACATTAATTGTAACATTTAATAAGAATGTTGGATATTTATAAAAACGTATTATTTCATACAAAACCTTTGTTTCAACGTATCGCTTTATAAATAAAGAATGTAAAGAATTATCATCGAAATAACATATGTGTACTATATATCTAATTTAAATATTAAATCGAATCTTTAAGAGATGGCCAATAAATAGTCGAGAATGTCTATTTTTGAATACGTGGGATGCTTTCACGGTTCGTGAATGAAGTCGCCCCTTCGCGTAATTTCGAAAGCGACCGACAACTCTCTTACAGCGGAATATAACCTGAGTTTACAGTTCCAAACATCGAATAGAGTACCGAAAGTTTGCTTGCCTACTAAATAATTAGTACAATAGAATAATGCATTATAATTAAATTTTATTGTGAAAAATATCAATAGTTGATTATGGTTACAACGCTACGAGTGTGTTAGGATAATGGTATCATTTATATGTTCCAGATATCTTAAATCGCTGTTCGCTTCTCTCGTGAAGCGATGTGTTAGCTTTTGTCAGAGTCATCTATATCGGAACTGATTTGTACGGAACAGCTGCAAGAACGCACCTATTAACCACTGATACATGTTTGTCAGTCGGCTATTAGCGGGAACGAGATAGAGATACACGTTTATACATGTCCAAATGAGATGGATTTACTTCTCCAATTCACCGGCGATATTTATTTGCTGCATCGCGACACTTCAGAAAAATTCCCGTTCCAAAAAATTTGAATTGCTTTATAAGCGACATCTCCGTTGGCAGGCAATATCTTTGGTTTCTATATAAAGAAGTATGTATGGTCAAGGATTAATATGAAAGCCGATCTAATTAAAATAGTTTGATCTATTTAATAATGAAATATTATAAATAAATAATTTTTATGAAGAAAAAATAATTAAAATTTAAAATGGTTTTAAGTTAAATATTGTAAAAAAAGGTTATTTCACTAGGAAAATTGTATTGCATCCACAAAAGTTAACTTGCTACATGTTTTAATTAATATAAGAGAGACTCTCTCCCGCCTTTTATCCTTATTAATCCGTTCTATGATATGGACTGAAAAGTTTTAGGTAGAAACGGTTTGCGACTTGTATCTCGCTTAACTTGTCGGACAGTACCATAGTTTTTGCGTTTTACGCATAAATATTTAAAAAGTTAATAATATTGACTGTCGGAGTTCTTAGTCTTAAAAATATGTATGAAAAATAGAGACACGACACGATGACGAGGCGACAGCGGACCGCGGGGCGGATTAAACGAAAATAACTCTGTAATTAATGACATTTACAAGAACAGAATCTTGAGAGTATAGAGAAATAAAATTACAGAAGAAAATTTTTAGAAAACAAAATTTTTGAAATATACCATAAAAAATTATTATAAATTATGGTACAGGGAAGCATAAATAAATTTTCATACTTCTTTTCAGCGATCCGAAATGTATTTTTTTTTTGATTATTCATCACAGAATAATAAAAGATATGGTAACAGAGAAAATGTAGTAGAGACATATTACTTTGATATGTGTAGTCAATCATTAAAACAAAATTATGACAATTAATCAAAACTATCACATTATTTATCACTCCTCTTTTTTTATCGGTGATTTTATACCTTATGACTCAGAATAGTTTGTGCGCTATTACTTTTATTTTTATCGAAGCCCGTTTATGAAGTTACTTTTAATTAGTATTTAATGCATAGCCATAATATAAGCTACAAAAACAAGTGGTTCGTGAAATAATCCATTGTAGTTTGACAGTTTTATTTTCACAGCGACCTTACATAACATTGCTTGCCACCAAGTAAAAATGTTACTTTAAAGGCCACCCACGAGCAAAAGCTAAACGTTGCAAATATGTGCACTACAATCTTGTTAACTTGAATTACCTGTGCTTGTTTTGACTTTGTACTTCTGTGCGTGTTACTACTTATGTATACTTAAATTGGAATTTATTTTCTGGTAAAAATATTTCAAGACATATTTATTTTTTAATGTTTCTCAGCTATGATATATACTATTATATTTTCTACAACCTACTTTTTCAGTTTTAGAACTTCATTCTATCGCCGACATTCATTAAATCACTACTTCTTTAGAGTATATTAATAAAAAGTAAAACAAAATGAACACGTGCTTAGTTAATATGTTTTGGTATTGTACGACCATTGATATGAATCTATCTTACTTATAAATATAATTTATATATAGAGTAAAAATGCGTTGTTTTTATGTTGAAAAAGTATTTTTTATATTTAATTTTTCAACTCTAATCACATTTCTTTAAAGATTAATAATGTAATATGAATTTAAATATTCTTTAACCGTTAACGACGTTTTCATAAACCGTTTCGAATGAAAATTACAAAACAATAAATACTACACAACTTATCGGCTTCCTTTGCAAAACGCAAGGTAGGCACCGGAGTATGCTGACAGAATAAAAATGTGACTCCAATGTTGTAGCGTAAAATTAAGAATTAGCGATATTTCATCTATTATACACTGCATTGCAATGAGGTCAGTATTGCGACATGGAGTGCTTAGACAAAGGAATATTTATGTTTGTGGGTCATATAAATTTTCAAGGGCATTGACCATAAATCAAATTTAATCGAATATACTAATTAAATTATTAAATTACCTGAATTTACTAATTGTAACAATGAAGACTACAGTTTTGCTTTCATAATATATTACTTCTACTGTTAAAAAAATTTGCAATCGAACAAAAGCGGAATTGATTCCATTTGCTTTTACGGAACTTCCGCTTACAGTGCTATTGAGTTCCGGTGCCTTTGGGTTTCATATGGGTTTTATTTATTACGTGAAGTGTTGTGTATTAAATCCTGATCCGAAAACGTGTGGTGGATGCAATCAATTTCGAGCGTATGGAAATTGCTATATGCACAGATATTCATATATACCTAATATGTATGTAAAAATTTATAGTTTTTTAAATATATATATTGCATATTTTAATTTTCTTAACAATTGAATATAAAGTATATGGATATTTATTTATTGTAACTTAATTATGATTTCATACTGAATGATTTCTTTCTAAACAAATTTGGGAAACTTTATTTAATAATAAGATTACTGCACCCTTGTCCACTAAAGCTACAAAATTTATATATTTTATTTAAACTAAGAACAATAGCTGCGAAGACGATTGTATATAACTTACGTGGCAAAACCAATACGGGGTCATGAAACAGTTTAAAAAAGCAATGCGTCTTATATTTGTCACAGAGGAGATCGGGTTACAGTCATTCGAGTGCCCGCCAGCTGACCTGTTCACTTCTAGGGTTAGGCAAAGAAAGAACTCATTGGAGGGTATACTTATTATTCTTAAGATTATATTTAAGATAGTTGTTAAATAATAATATGAGGTTGATTATGACAAAATACCTGTTCTATATTTAAAGTTGTCTTTTTTATACATATTAGATATTTATTTAACTGATTCCTAAGTCATAGTTGTTAGCTTTTATAACAAATTTGACTCTGCTTATTTCAATATTACTTAATTTTAAGCGCAGTCCGGCCGCTCAGAGTTTCTGTCACTTGTCATTTGATCACGATCAAAAGTGCAAATTATTGATTGCAATCTTTTTCCATATCTATTCAAATCAATATACAAACAATTTTCTATCATTAGAGGAATTTTATTTGACACGAATGAAGTAGTTAATTTTTATAGTGAGATAAAAAAATGCTGGATTACAAGTCAACCGTTAGTTTTTTATATGAAAACTATATGATAAAATATAAAAAAAAAATAAAGTGTATACTGGATATCAAATTATAATATCAAAGCAACTAAGTCGTAACGATGTCTCTAAAATCGCGGTAATCCCTCTTCTACGAACTCTTTATTTTCCTAGTATTCCCAGTATAACTCTTTATTATACATGAGTATACATATATATGTACATATATAGATTGATTCCTTTTGTGTTACTAATAAAATATATATTAAAATATTTGTATTCGTATGAAAATAAATATATATGTGACATTCAGAGTCCCCAGTTGATAACTGAGAGCAAATCTCACTAAAAGTGATGCCAGATTGTTATTATTAGTTCTGATGACGTCTTCATATAACTTAATGAAATTTACTGTCTACAAGACTAAAATATTTCGTATAAATTAAATCATGTAATTGAATCATCTGTTTTATTAATCTTTATAAAATCTTAAAAGTTGGACCTTATTAAGTAAATGAAATCTAGTTAAGATATCTATATTTTAAAATATTGTTAAAAAAATAATTTCAATAATTTTTACGCTCAATCTAAGTGAACTATTACTAGCTAGCGTTATCGGAATGAAATTTTTAGATGTGAGGTATATTTGACCGCAAATATTTCTCTTATTTGAATAGACCAAGCATTAAATTTTCGATCTGGATTTGTAATTAAAAGAGAACATATCGAACTTTGAAAAATGCAGCAAATTTATTAAGGAGTAATTATGAATAAAACTAAGTTAAACATAAAAATAATGATGAAATGAAAATATGATGGTAAATTAACTTCGGTGTTTTTTTATACACATGGTGTATTTAATTTTTATGAACAATAACGAGTTTTCTATGGAGAGCTTATTGATAGTAGAGAAAATAATATCTGAAAATTATTAAATAAGGTACGGAATACTATCACTTGTATCGACTTGCGCTTTACCTTCCTGTCTCGGGCAATATTTCATCAAGCAGGGAACAAAGCGCGTCGTTGATTAGCCCGTGAACATTGTTTTTTGTTCATACCAGTAGTATTACATTTAGTTCGATTGTACATTCGACTCTTACAAAGAAAAACAATGTTCAACATTAGGTATCGTTGAATCTATTCATTTATATTACACTGAATATTTTTTTATGAAAATATCTATAAAAAATTACGCTTTTTACTATTGTATATATTTCTTAATATTGAAGCTGTATTTATTTCAGCGGTTTTATATCATTACTTTTCAAATGTTTACTAGAATCTCCACTTCTAAGTAATTTATACATATATGTATGAATTTGGAAACAAATTTTCATATTTCAAAGAGGATAAAATGTTATATCTTTTAAATTACAATTAAAATTAAAATATACAATTGTTACTTTGTGATTAATTCTTAACTTCAGATTAGTTTTCAATTTATCGGGTATGTAATATTGCCGTTATAAATACAAACAATTTTACGATTCATTATATCGTTCACGAGAATTTCTATCAACAAATATTTTGTAATCATTGAACACACAATTACGCTGAAAAACTTAAGATAAATCAAGAACGAGAGTATAAAGTTTCTAACATAGTATACATACATAAAACGTTGCACATTCTCATTATTTATGCCATTAGTATTACCCATTAGTAATAAACAATAAATGTAGGCACAAAAATTTACACATAACTGTATTTTTAAAATTTATATAAGTAGTTATTCACAATATTTCATCATTCCATTTTTTAATCAGAGCATGTCATAAATAGTTTATCTATTTGAGAATCTGTATCGTTATTATGAACTTGTGTCAGGGACAAAAGATAAGATGATTTAAATTACTTTAGTTTTCTTAAATTTTCAACTTTATGTAAAAATATGATCATCTCGTCCAATTGTAGCTATTATGAATGTATGACAAGACTCATAAGAGTGTTAATAGAAACCATATCAAGATAATTCGCTTTGTCTAAAGAAAAATATATATTAGGCCATTGAAGAAAAATATTTAGAAATAAAAAAAATAGAATAGTAACAAAAAAACGAATAACTCCTTCTGATTCTTTCTCAAACGTAAAAGAAAAAATAAAACATTTTTCTTGAATCTTCTGTAACAAGATTTTAATATCTCGATTCAATATAAAATTTCATTTTAAACCAAAATAAGATTGAAAGCCTTCCTCTAGACGTCAAACAATACTCACAACGTCAAATTAATCTTGAATTCTTAGAAATATACTTTTGAGATAATAATAAAGACGATAACACTACGCAACTACATACCATAACCGTCATATATGACGACCTTTTCATTTAAAAATAATTTACAAACATCATCATTATCCTATGCGATTGTTTACTGCTGGTCATAAGCCTTTTCCAACCTTTTGCAACAACTCTTTAGATATATATATATATAAATATATATATATATGTGTCGTTTGATATTTCTGATCATAATCCTCTCCCGACCTCTATTGGAACACTCAGTCTTTTGCTTCCTGAATTTAAACAAATCCAACTACACTGAAAAAGTCATCGGCCCATCTAATGAATGGTCTAACTGTACTGCATTTAGAAGTACGTGGTCACCCTTAATAAAATTAAGGTATAGGTATATTAAAAAATGTTTTAATAATTTCCCAAAACAAATTTAGTTTCTTTTTTAACCCAACTATTAACAAACAATGTCTTGTAAATATCTCTCTATGGTGTTGAAGATCTGTTAAGTGCGAAATAATAAGATCACATGTCAAAGTATTTCAGATTACTTCGTATTTTGCAAATGAAGTCAAGCAAACAAGGTCGGTGATGTAATTACCACAGTGATAACAGATAACGTCACCAGATCATGTATTATCTTGAAAAACATTACAAACAAACCAAGCCTTCTAATACATAATACTTTTGTTAATTTGTACATTGTTATTTTTGAATAACAATTGAAACTATTCCTATACCTTCAATCGTTTTTTTTTTCTAGCTTTTACAGCTTACTAAAGCAAACTAGATTCCCTCGTCTGTATTACCTAGATACCTTTAAATTTTCCGCAATTTATAACAATCCATCGCAGAAACGTTAATTTGATATTGTAGTTATATTAGAACGTTGAATTTCAAAATTCTCGAATGAGTTTAGTACTAAAAATGTAGAGTTGATATTAAAATTTATATTCATAATTGACGCAAAATATACACACCTACAACCATTTTTTATAACTATAGATAAAAAGTCACAGATCAAGTAAATATTTAAACAGTAATTTGACTTTATTTTTATCGCCTTAAAAATTAAATGTTATCACTGTAAATATTTAAGTAGCTAGTAGTTCTGAACATCACAATATTTTTCCTCTATAACATTAGACTTGACATTTGTTTTGCTTTTGTTTTCCTCTTTAGCTTTAACTTGGCATTTTAATTACGGCTTTCGAGATCGACTTGTAAAAATTGTTACAGAAGAGATAGAGAGAGGAATAAAGGAAAATTTTTATTATTAACTAACTGATGAATTATGTTTCTGGTTATAGTTCCTAAAATGGTAGGTCGTCCTTATATCTTACCAGCCAGAAAACTACATCTTTCAATAAAGAAACCAACCGTTCAAAAATTACATAATAACTGATTTTCTTTATACGACTGAAATAAGAGTAAAATTTGATCTACCTATACATGCAGGCGAGTCGAATTGCCAAATGCAGTAACTTAACTCCTGTACCACAAGACCATAACTTTAAAATGTTTATTGTTTTTGTGTTTCTTTTATTTTTATATTTGTTCTGGTTTTATAGTTTCACACATTACCACTTTTACACTTTTTACAAATCCTTATTAGCAGTTTTTACTTTTATTATAAACATACTGTGACTTTTGATCGTAAAAAACATTACCTTATTATTACAAAGGGTTATACCAATTTTATGTCATTTTCCATCAGTAAACGACACAAAAACATTTATATTTTTTCTCTCTTGTATGGTACTTTTATAGAACCTTTTTTTAACCCCTGAATGGTGTCTCATAAATAATGTGAGTTTCAAATATTCATTTTCTTTAATAATAATCATGCAAGAAGAAAGCCTTTATATTCGAAATATAGCTTATCGATTTTCTATAATTTTAATCCGACGTTTAGCGAGCTGTTTAAGTCTTTGGTAAACAATTCTTAGATACCAAAAATTGTCACACATTTTCATTGCATTTCCAACATATCCTTATGATTACATTTTTTCCACGAAAATATACGCCGTGGATCTTATCTATTTAGATAAATAATTAATAAGTAGTATGGCAGTGAACATTTAATTCGACATCACTAAAAGCGTTTAGATAGAGGTAGTTTAGAGTAGCCCGCCTAACTTTTGCAGTTTATAATTTAGCATTATCTTGTGATAAAAGTAATCCATTTTCTGTTAACACCTGGAACATTCTGCAATACAACCATATTAACAAATTAACGAATTAGCCTTTTTATACCTACATCAGTCTTGATGATTCGATCATCTGATATTATTTCGAAAAACTACTCTAAACATTCGTTATTCCACCGCACCCACAGATCTGTTAATTATCTTTTGCTTACATACTGATTTTCAATGTTCAAGTTTTTTAGATAAATCCAGTTTTTATTTCAAGTAATAATGAATTGAATATAATGTTCACTATTTGATAGGGCACCGAGCTACACCCGAGTTCCGCTTGAACCTCTGTTAATTCGTCAACTTTTATACGTCATAATTTTGATTTTAAAACACAATTAATACTGTATATTTTATAAGAGCACTGTTAATAGTACATTTGTTTTCTACCAATATAGAATTACATTCTTCAGTGACCATGTTTGAAAGACAAAATGAAATATTACAACATGGAACGTCAATAAATTTTGTCAAAATCATATTATGTTATCTCCATCAATGTTCAGTTGAACCGGAATCTGATTACAATGAAACCATTTTGTCATACACAGCTTATATACAGACCCATTTAAAGACGAGAGAAAAGTAGTTATGATGAACTTACCGTCGGGTGCTGCGAGTAGATTTGCATTCTTGACGGATCGGTGTAAGAGACGGACAATTCGTTCATGTCGAATGGAAGCACGTCAGAAGTCAGCCGCGAGCCAGCGCTGGTTTGCGCACGTGCCCCATCTGCTCGTGCCACTGTTGAAATGTTTGGAATTAAAAATAACTTTTTTAAGGAAAATGCACCTACTTCGAGACGGGGGTATTTTTGAATGAAATTTTTAAATCCCCGGTAGGTTACTTTATGAAATAATTATATTTAATAAAATAGGGTAGGTAATTTTGTTTGTACTAAAAGTATTCATCGATTTGATTTATAAGACAGTATAAGCATTTAAATATAACAATCACTAATTTTACTGCGTGAAAACTCTCAGTTTTTATGTAAAATTGTAAACTAAATTAATTAAATTTGGTATTTTAAGGAAACTTTGCAATAGTTACTTAATCTTTAATCAAAGTTTCGACGTCTTAACCATCATTATTTTAAATATTCTTTTGTGTTTCAATGCCTACAACTATTACAAATGTGACAATATATTTTAACCTTGTTTCTAAAGTTAGTATCATATATTTTATTTTATTACCATACAAATGTATTAACAAATTGTAAATTTGTTATTTTTTCATGTACATCACCTCTTACGCTGCACTTAAAACCATATTGTTTGTTGAAATTTTGTTCAAATGAAGTAAAGGTTTTCGCATACTACATGTTTATTATTATTTTATAACTGCATTATCCCGACCTTTTAGTTCCTTTACAGCAATCTGCTCATTCAGTAAAGTATTCATATAAAATATTGTAAATCATATTTAGTTATATTTTACCATAGAAACTGAAATAATTGTTTTGATTGCTTAAACGAGTTGTTATATTGCTTGAAATTATTTTCATTCGTACTTTCTTATATAGGAGCAGCAATTTCGGATTTTTTTTATATATAAATTTACTAGCTTTCCGCCCGCAGCTTCGCCGCGTGGAGTTCGGTTATATCGCGTTTCCAAGAGAACCTTTCAAAAGTCTGGGATAAAAACTATCCTATGTTCTTTCTCAAGGTCAACTCTATCTCTGTACCGAATTTCATTAAAATCAGTTCAGTGGTTTAGGCGTGAAAGCGTAGCAGACAGACAGACAGACAGACAGACAGACAGACAGACAGAGTTACTTTCGCATTTATAATATTAGTAGGGATTTATTTAATGCATGAAATGCGTTGTAGTTAATTCCCAGCAAGAGGTTCTTTTATTTTTTCATTTTCAGTAAATACATCTTTTAAGAACTTAGCAGTAAAATTTTGAACATCTGTTTCACTCTTCAAAATAATAACCGCAGCGTATTAGCACTATTACAGGAAAATTTCTAATAAAAAAACATCGTAAATTTGAATCGTACCAGAAACGATAATAAAAATAATATCCACCTTATAAAAGTAGAAAGTAAAGGTATTACTTTAACCTATAAAATAAAATTAGAGCAATAGTATCCGTAGAAATATTTTTCTGAACTTAACAAAATTAGACAGTTTTATTTTCATTTTATTTTATCTTAGAGTGCAGAGTTTATAATCAAACATCATAATTCCGAAGCTAAATCATTACATTCGAACCATTTACATTTGAAGGAATTTTATTTCAGTCCAAATCACTATTCACACAATTCAGACTGTAATGCGCGAGTTTGTGAGGTGAGAGGTATCAACTCACCAATGATAATCTACATCCATGCTGTAAATTAAATTTTTGCAAATGTTCTGATCAGAATCCGGCCATCTGATATTTGATGGCTTAATATTAATTATGCAATATTTTGACTTAGAGATTTATTTAAATTTTCTTCATTATTTTCAGGAAAAATTAAAGGTTGTCAAATTTGTTTTATTTCTTAGTAACATTATTGAAATAATTAATGTTATACCGATTTAAATTTTTTATTTTACAATTTGTTGTGATGCAAGTCTTATTATATTGTTTTCTAAATTAAATCTTGACACAGTAATAAGAATTAAAAATAGATAATAAAATGGAAGTGGCCGTTTTTTATTTAAATATTTGGGAAATTCTTACTGCACTAGACAACTCACTTAATATGGATTCTTATTGATTTAGACTTTATTGATTTGGAGTCATCATGTTTTAATGTTAAAATTGATGTCCTTTGAACGCTTGCCATTTTAATATTATTCATTGTAAAATATATATACATACAGGCTCATAATGTCGTTTATAAAATCTAATGTATTATGTCATAGACTTTCGATCATTATAACTTTATTTCAATAAAATGCCTTATACCTACACTGAAAACTGTGATAAAAACCTCTCTTCGAGATTGGAAATTATGATCTTGACAGGTTTTCGCGCTCATCAAATCGAAAACCAATCTATAAAACACTTATACAAATATGTAATAATAATTTAAAATCTATATAAATAAACAATAAATGAAAGTCTCAATTTTAGGTTTTTATGACATTCTATAGTCGCTTGAGAATTCTTGTCAAATTCGATTAATAAAAACATTGCCGTATACCCGATTTAAAATTGAATCATTTCGTTTTTCACAAAAGTTTAATTTATTAAATTTATAACTGAAAGTAGGTATGACAAAATTGTTTCATTTCAAATAGAATTTTTTTCATACAATATTATTTTATTTTCTTTATGGTAGTAAAATTGTTGATATTTTGATGAATATTTATTAATACTTGTATAAACATATTTTCTTGATAGAATCCAACATCAATTTTATAACTTTCCTAATGGTTTTTGTTTCATAATTAGTCATGATAATAATTATATGAAAAATGATATTAAATTGAAATAATTACTTTTACCCACACAAAGGTTTGGTTTTCAACTTTCAATAATAGGTAATTAATTTTAGTATAAACTGACAGATTTTTTAAAATTTTAAACATGCTCTGGAAAGGAACAGTTAATTAAAATGTTTTCAAATAGGACATATTTCTTCGAAAATTCTGCAAACAAAATTGGTAGATATTCATTAAATATGTAGTATGAGAAATTAATGTTAAATAATATAATAATGTCTGTTTTTTATTTATTACTTCTACCTCTCGGATGAACGTTATTAACCATTGTCTGTTAAAGCCAGTGTCTAATATTTTAATTTTCAAAGGTCTCCAACATCTCTTTAAGTATTTTTACAATACTATAGTGAAAATGAGTATATGAGTCAATGAAAAAATAGTCCTAACCCGTTAGAATGGAATCGCGGGTAGCCTAGGACGATCTGCAATACGACGGAACAACGATTTGAGAAAGATGGCGGGTTTTACAGATCAGTCAGCATACTTTTAGAGACGCTTACGTTCAACAGATGATGCCTAAAGGCTGACTTGATTTATTAATTTAACTGTTATAAGTTAGAAGATGATTTTTGATTACATGTAACCCTGAAGTCTATAACAATATGACAGTAAAATATAAGACTAGTCCGAAAGGGACATAGGTTAGGGTAAATGTAACTTCAATGGTTAAAACTCAGCTTTGAGCCTTTTTTGAAAAGATATTCTGATGTTAGTTTGGTAGTGCCACGACCAAGTTACCCCAGAAACTAATAACTTTTTAATTCTGATACATTGCAAATAACTTTTTTATTTGTTTGCTTCTTGTTCGTACTCAAAATAACTCTGCACAAAAGGTGAGCAAAAACTCACATATGCTTATACACATACATTCTCTACATTAAGGATGTTAAAGGACAAACGTAATGAGTTTTCCTAATCTAATTTTTTTTTTAAATAACAAGAACAATAAAGTCAACACAGTAATAGGAGCAATAAAAACTAATAAAACACCTAATTTTCATATAAGTTATATATTTTTACAATTTTTTATTCGTTAGAGGTAATTTACAAAAACTTTCCCTATTAATAAAATGTACCTGTTTTAATATTTAAATATATCTTCCCAGTAATTTTTAATGAGAGATTTAAAGTGCTTGAAAAGTATTAATTGTTTAGTATAAAAAAATGTGTTTCCTTTTAGATAAACAAAAACGTGGAATAAACCTGGATCTGAAATTCGCTCTTGGAATTATTTATATAAATTTTCTTATATAATAAAAAAAATGGAAAAGTAAGTTAGTGTTTCATTATTGAATCAAAACATTTTCATAATAAAGTCGATCAAATAACGCACAGTTGAATCTATGTTTTATTAAAGAAATATATAATACAAGTCAAAATAATTAACCCATTAAATACATATGTAAACAGTTAAGAGAACAAAAATCTTTATTAACTTCTGTATATATAAAAGTTCACTTAATTGATTACACCAATTTACTATTACCTATTTGTTTTAATTATTACAATATTATTTTTAATAATTTCTATCTATATAGTTACGAGTCTTGAACAATCAGAAGATTCGAAAATAATAATATTATCATTAACTATTAAACTTATTCGAAGTCGCTCTTCATAAAAATATTTACTTTTCGATAAGTAATAGGTGCTGGAAAGTGGAAACTAAAATAATGTAGCAATCATTTCTATTGTAAAGTCGCTTCAATAGCGGAATTATTTTTTTAATAACGAATATATGAACATTTAATTGAAGTATTAAGTTTCTTTAAATTTCCTAACTATTAGATTACTATCTAACTCTTTAAAAAACACAGTAAAATACAAATCCATAAACAATCCAATGATTCTTTTCCATTATCTAATCTTTTATCTCAAATAAAATAAACTTGAAATAAAGAATTTATTTGTTAATATGAAATTGATTAGTTAATATGGAATCTAAAGAAAAATAGTTTATTTAAGATCCGACTGTCACTTTTAACTAAGTTTTCGATTTCAGAGTCAAAATTCTTCAGCAGAACAAAACTTTTCAAAAGGTCTCCGCTGCGATTCCTCCATTATGACTTCTTTTGAAAGAATAGTATACTAAATAGGCATACTCTAATTGATGACGGTATAGGTAAATCTTATCTTTGATTCGAATAAGGATTTACATAAACGTTTCAGTTTTGTTAAAATTTACGAATTCTATTACAGTTTTGATACAGTACAGTACAGTAAAGAACAATTTTGTGAAGTGAGATATTGTTCTAATTTTTCATAACATGGAATGTGATATTTTTTACCACTTTCGTACAGAAATGAAAACTTTAGTGGAGGGTTAAATATAAATAAATTATTCTTTTTGAACAGCTGATATTACTTCTTGGGGTCGTTATTTAATTATCATTAAATTATTATGCATTTCAATTTCTGCACATTTAGCAGTTAAAAATTTCATATGGATAATATATATATATAACACAAATATATTATTCTTATAGTTGATTATTGTGATTTTATTAAAACTAAAAACCGAAAACATTAAATTTTTTAATGGTTAAAAGGTTACCAAGATAGTAGTATAAAAAAATACTCAAACGAGTCTTAATCTTTTTATACAGTGAGTATGGTAACTTAGAAGTTAACAAACATACTTTATCATTAGATATTGTAGGGAAGACGTCAAATTGAATATTATATTTCTTTTGTAATTGTAAATTATGTCAAATGTGTCATGTCCATTTTATTAATTGAGATTGTCAATGGCCAACAAGGTTATGTGACTATACAATTTTGTTGTTATTTAAAATATATTAATATTTGACATATATAATCTGAACTAAACAAGAGAGGTCTAGAGATATAAATACGTATTAAGGTTAAACCATGCTTCACCTATTTTAATTTGTACTAAAAGTGTTATACAATTCATTATACGTTTGAAAATAGTTATTTAAAGATATATTTGAAAAAAATTTAAGGAGCTTCCTCACTGTGTGAGAAGGTCAATGAATATATCATAATAATAGATTCAATTCCTGGACGTTAAGGATTTTTTTTAATAACTATTCCATACCCAAATAGACTTTTTTAACTACCAATGATAACTAGCAAAGTAAAATAGTTTACAAACTGATAATTTCATTAACGAAATAACGTGAATTGTATATTATTTTTTAAAATTAACATACAAAAACATTGAACAACTGACAAAGTAATTATTATGTAATAGAAAAGCCTTAATGATGATGCTACATAATAAATACTGTTTCATTATGATATAGTTGGAATTTTTTTCTTTATTTATTTTAAATTATAAATAAGTAATACGACTAAGAGATATAATTAAAAATACATTAAAGTTTTCATGCAAAACGTAAAAGTAAATAGCGAGTTTTTTTTGTGTAAATTGTTTTTAGACCAACAAAACAGTTTTAGTCTTTTTGCATATATATTTTTTAAAGAAATATAAACGCATGATCAATAAAAAAAATATGAAGCAATTTGAAACAAAACTTTGTAGTTAGCATAATTTTATAGCGCAATAAAATTGCATAAGTGCCGCATTATAAACTAAAATCGCCTATTCATGCATTTACTACTCCACAACACCTACTCACCCACTTTTTAAGTATTCGGCCAGGTGTTCGAATCCTGTCTCCTTCAGAATTAAAATCCGAACAATTTGTTAACTTTTTTGTACATATTAAAACACAGGAACACTGAACATGTTCAGTAACACTAAGCGCGTTATAACTGATGTTCGTTTAGGGCGGGCGGACGTGCGAACGGCACGAGATGCTGCCGTGAAAAGCTACGCAGAGCACGACAGACGATGCGACGCTCGCCTCACTCAGTGCGAACTAAGCGGTAACTGGTAAGCCGTAGCTTGCAACGCGATGTAAGTTTGACGCGTAGGCGATGTTCACTGAAGTAAGCTGAGGCGTTTGAGACGCTGTCAATAATATAATAATGTACCCGGAGCCATCACTCTCAATGCTTTGTGATTGATTCACACCTGGTAATTAGTAATTACAAATAAGAAGTACGTTGATTAAGATATATAATCTTGTTAATCTAAAGTCGAGTGGGAAAGGCCGTAGCCTCATTGGCGGAGCTGAGTCGCCCAAAGCCAATGACGGCGAAAGGAGGAGTCGCTATGCATTGCTACAAATTTTGGCGAGACGAATCGCTTCTTTTATTGTAATCTTTTAAGACATTCTACAAAAATGTAAGTATTATATAAGCCTGAATCGAGACCTCCTGAAGCACTGTACTCAATTCATATTCCAGCTCAATATAAAACCACAATTAATATCACTATGAAATATAATGACAATAAAAATAAAAAGTGACTCCTGGGATTAGAATTTTATATTGACTCACGTGTTCTTACTTTTCGTTATTAATCCACAAATAATCTCTGTGCAATATTGAACTGACACGATTTCAGGTCAATCTAGGAATTTTAAGTTGCGTTGACCTCTCCAAGTATAATAAGTCAAACATAAAAACATAAAAAAATATGGTTTAAAAGATAAACCATTTTTTGTATAATGTACTGGGTCCTTCTGTTTGTAGATACATTGTACTGTAATACTTCTAAAGCTACATATTCTATAAAATTAAATGGAATTGGAAAAACAACGAGTGTATTCTCAAAATAATATTCATTTATTTGAGTACATAAAACAGAGTGAGTTGTATTGTAAATTAGTAAATTCAATTCTATTTATGCTCCTCCTGATGTACTACTTACACTCAAAAGTTCTGTTTGGTTTTAGTTGCGACTCTAAATAAATATACTTACATGCCCAATATGGCACTAGGGTTTTCCCAGCTCTACAAATGCGCCCATATTTTTTTTAACGTTTAATATATGCTTTTTAACAAGTTTAAAAAAAATATATATAAATTGAAGCCTTGAAGAAAACTTAAGTAAAGCGCATATTACTCCCTCTTCTGAAAGGACAAGCATATTCAACTTATTTTTATACCTTACCTTGTACTCCGAAGGCTCTTGAGACTTGAAGAACGTAATCTTTTCTATATTTTCTGTTTTTATTTTTACTTCTTCAACTTTAGTAGAAATGAAATTACTTTTCTGATATAATTACATTCAGAAACCATACTTTAACTAGTTATATTAAGTTATTGTAACTTCTGTAGGTAGTAATCGTCATGATTTTTCCTATAGTAACATTCGCAAAGAAATATACTTTGACAAACGATATCATTAAAAAGTGTTCAATATATAGACTTTTAGTAAAATGTTAATAGGTATGAACAAGTTATTATAGGGAATTTAATTTTTTTATTGGATAAATTACACAAAATAATTTTTGTTTGTACACAGCTATTTAAATTAGTCCGAATTAACTTGATTCAACTGTAGAAAAGTATTTTAATTTTATTATTATTGGAAACACATATTTATTTATTTTACGAGATAATTGAATTTATTACTAATCATTCCAAAAATTGTACACTGTACGGATAATCTGCAAAAAATAAAACTCGTGTTTTTGATGGCACTCTGACGAAATGATAAAAGTATATTTTTTAAGCCTAAAATGATTTAAAAAGCTTTCTATTTTATTATTGAAAATCATATTTTTAAAACAAACCTTTAAAGTGTATTAATACGAAACAAATTGACTACATTTCATAGAAATCTATTGAAAACTGATAAGAACCCTCTTTAAACTTGTGTTTCAAGTTGTTCGTTAATTCTTCTTGAAAATCATAGCTGGAACTATAACGTTTACGTGCTATTGAGAGAAGAGCCATTCTGATTTCCATATTTGATATTTGCATTGAGAATTATTTTATCTAAAACTGCATCTCGTTTTATTTTAGATGCTTATAATTTAGATTATTTAAATAGGTTTATTTTAACACAATACACAGCTTCATTACATTTCATTTATGGAACAATAATTATTTGTATAGCACTTGAGAAAATTTATAGCTACTTCAATTTTACCGATCTGGGTAGTTTCTGGATTATAATTTGGTTAGACCAAATTATTTAATATCTTTATATTTTACACAACTACGTTTATAGTTTTGAAATTATAGATTTAAGACATGGCAGCCTATAATTAGTCATAAAATAACTTTACTAGGTACTTACCCATTGTAACAGTTATAAAGTAAAATATTTCTATTCAAATAACTTTCCTATTTGGAATGCCTCTCTGATTTCTATTACCGATTTATTTTTATTTAATCGTATCACAACTATACCCAATTAATTAACTAACCTAACTCTTTTTTGTTTCTCTTCTCTTATAATTCTTAGAGAATTTTCACAAGAAGTTACGGGAAAATTTTCATATACATTTACCAATTAAATACCAAAATTGGCCCAAGCTAACAATTGTCAAAAAAACCTCCTTCAAACATATAGTGCTGGGATCTAGTAAGATGCTCGAAGATTTATAATACTAAAACTCGGTTCAATAAACGATTTAAATATCACTACAAGTGCTAAAGTTTTACAAAAACACAAGCCAAAAGAAATTTTTAGACGTTAGCAGAAGAAAGGGGATGATAAAGAAGGTATATATAACGTATATTGAATAAGGTACGTACTTTCTTTCAACTATTTTATTCTAGAGTCTTCTTAGTATTAATTAATTGTTAAATGTTATGAATATATTTCTCTTCTATCTCGTCTTAAGTAGGCCATATAAAATGAGAATACTATGAAATTTTGACAAATAGTCAATTATTAATAAACTATCAGGGTTCTTCCTTGTAGATAAAATAGACAGTGATTATTTTAGTCCTGTAATCAAGTGTTCGGGTAGAAATATATATAATAATGTACATAACAACCAAACCACAAATAGCGAGCAGAACTGAAGACGGGGATCATCCCACAACACTTTATTTTACCCATACCGCATACGATATAATTAGCCAACACTTTTCGAACGATTAATACAAAGTGATTCTCTATATATATTATTAAATTGGTAACGAGGGTTTTATTAAAACCATACGTTCTGTTAATATCATCAATCAAAAATACGTTCTGTAAAGCATATGTGGTTTTTAGAGTAAATTTAATTGTCCAAGTCATCATATAATCCGCCTTGCTGTACTGAATAGGAATAGGTAGTAAGTAAGATTATAAAACCTCGAAAAGTATGAAAATAATAAGATAAGATAAGATGCGATACCGATGAAATATTAACTCCTGTAAAGGTTTGTCACGCACTGGAAGCAGACAGTTAACATTTACAAGTAACCACCGCTTTTCTCGGTCACTATAATATAGTAGGAATTATCGACAATAAATTTGATGTAATAGCCTTAATTAATAACTTGGCTTCTGAACTAGTATCCTCTTTTAGATAGATTTTAAAGACTAAAAATTTTCTTAACCCTACTTTTTCAATTCTTCTGAGAATTGTGAGATTTAATTTACAGCTTGTGAGATTGCCCCGGCTTGGTTAAATATATAATTAACTTATATGGCTAGGACTGAATAACTGCCCTTACCACTACGGTACTATTATGTACGGCTGATTTACTACTTCCAATGTTTTTGTCAGGAATTTGTCATTGGTAGTTCCTTCGAGAAACAATCATAGTGCTATATCTTTATGTATCTATACGTATAAGTATGTATCGTTACGGTCACCTTTACAAAACCTCTAAATTAAAATGTACACTTTGACATCACGAATTTTAAAGACAGCTAAACAAGAAATTCGTATGCATTTATATTCAAACAGAAATCAGTAAAATTTTAAGAATTTAATGTTCTAAAATCTCATTTTGTGGGCATTCTAAATTAATACCAATAGCCCTTTTAATTTTTTATGCCAGTATTTTCATTCCATATTAGTTATACGAGTAGGAAGGTTCATTAAAGAAAAAGAAAATTATCAACTTTAGTTGCTTTACAAACACGAGTCTAGTAGCAATTTGTAAATTTGTAAAACATGTTTTTAAATTTTTCAGGCTGTCCAAATATTTTATTAATAGAAGCACATTAAAACCTATATAAAAAAATATTTGATTATCTTAATTTGAGCATTATTTTCGCTGTATATCATTACACAACAAAATTATTCCTTTCCTTCTTAATAGTTACTGGACCCATCGACAACACATTGTAGTTGTGGTTTCTGTTTAGTCTTTAATTTAGAAAATATGTAGGTACCTACCTAATATAAAACTGATAACCTTATCATTTTCATATTTCCGTATAACTTTAAAATACTCTACTAGCCTTTCAGCAACACTTGATCTCTCAAGTGGATTGTGTCTCTTAAATTTGGGTAGTTAGGTACATGAAAAGAGACAAATAATTTTTTGTATAAAATGTCTTAAGTAAGTACAAACGCAATTCATGATGCTATTTTCTTTTAAAACTACAAGCAGCATAAAAACACCTTCTGTTTTTTTTTTTCAAGAATATTTTGAAAGTTAAATTGTAGGTAAATATTGAAAATAACATTTTCTATGTATCGTAATATTGGTGAATCCATAATAAGATATATCGATGCATTAGGAACAATTAATAATTCATGTAATTACTTGTAGTACATTATTTTACTCCAAAAGTGTATAGAGGTAGAAAGAACTCCCAAAGAGCACGTAACAACAATATTTAGACCCTTTTTTTAAACTGGACTTAAAAAATTATGCACGTTTATATTTAGATTGTTTTTGCGTAAAAAGTTAACATTTTAAGTATATATCTATAAGTTCATTATGATAAAAAATAATAAAAAACTTTCAATATACCTACTAATTATTCATAACGAATTTTTGTTGCTTTTTTATTTAAATTTTTTATTCATATGTCTACTGGTTATGAGCGTAGCGTAAATAAAATCTATGATTAAAATGTTTTTTTTTCATTTTAATATAACTTTAAAATATTTATTTAAACAGTTTTTAGAATTCTATACGTCGGTAGGTTAATCGTTGTTGTTGGTCGACATTAGAATAAGTTTCGTAGACAGGTGTTTACCTAGTTCGTCCTGCGACTCACCTACCTAAGGGATGACTAATAGTAATATGACTGGCTAATACGATATGACGCCAAAAGGATTTCCGGTATATATTCTACTTTTTTATTCGTTTAGTAGTTATTATCTAACAACGATAATGTTCCTGTAAATAATTAAATTAAAATCTTAATACGTGTGATAAAACCTTTTCAGTTATTTGCTGAACGCTGGCTTTATACTAATATATATTTTTTAATTATTTACCAAGTACCTTTTGATATTTTTTAAATTTAATTTTACTGTAATTATTTAAATCAAATCTTTTATTAGAAATGTTTCTAATGGAAAATCTTTTTTTTGTATATTTTAAAATTCTTTATTTTGAATTAACAATTTGTTTTACTCTTTGGTCACAGAATATCTTTAGATAGGTCATCTGTGATCTGTAACTGTCATCTGTCTGTCGTTTGAAATTGAAGTGAGTAGTCACTAGTCAGTATGTATGTAGTGATATTAGTGATAGGAAGTTAAATCTTCTTATTTAAACTGAAACATTTAAGGTGCTCCTAATAAGAGACAACCATAGTTTTTAATATTATAATATTGAAACAAAATCTTTCGAAATCTTTAAAACTACATTATAATAAAATTATACCTAATCTATTATTAATGTAGGTTGTTAGCTATCAGTGAGTTAACGTAATATAAAAACTCCACATTTTTTATCAAATTAAATCATTTGGTAAGTTACATATTAGACGTGGAATTTAGGCTCCCAACTCTTATAAAATCACGTAAAAATGCTTTATTAAGTGAATATAAATATTTAAAAATGTGCAAACTTGCAGCGATTTATAATAATAAAAACATGTGGCTGAACGATGAGTTTTTTACGTTTAGTTTATTGTACAAACTAAAAGAAATAGATGCTTATATCATATTTTTTTTAAGAATGCTTATTAATAAAATATAAATATCCTGTCACACGAAATTGTTACAGAATAAAAGGTGTTAAAATGAATATCAATAAGAAGCTGTTGCCTATGAAAGGTCATTTCTTTCTTTTCAATGCTGGTGAGTGCAAATAAATTATGATTATCTAGCATAATATTGCCTTGCTCGATAAATTAATATATTTAGATAGCACCAAAGTCATATCAGATATCTCATATAAGAAATACAATGTAATAGCTCTGGATTTATTTTTAAAAATTATATTTCATTCAATCATTATTTTATAACTCGATTCTAACTTGTTTCAGATCTTATCATATGTATCAATTCTTTAAAAAATATATTTTTATTTTATAATATTAATTATGACCCTAATTGCTAATTTTCTATTTATTACACTGTGAGCCATAACATGGCATATTGAAATAGGAATTAATAATTTAGTGAAAATGCTTGTTATAATAATTGAAGATAATTAATTCCAGGTACAGCCCCCGTTGTACCATATCTGTCCACATATGCCAGACAATTAGGTTTTTCATCAGCTACAGTTGGATTAATATATACAGTTCTTCCAATATTTGGTCTGGTTGCAAAACCACTGTTTGGTGTTATTGCTGACAGGTATCACTCATATATCCTTAAATGAAATGTCCTATTTTATGTTCATTTGTTATTTTTATTTATTTACAAGTATTTTTTTTTTTTGAGAAACAGTATTTTTTTATATATTATTCTCATAATTGAATGGACTTTGAAACTAACAAAGTGATTCTGCACTCCACTTTTTCTTTAGTTTTGATATTAAAATCTTTTTAAAATATTATGTAATAAGTCAGATGTGTACAATAGATGTGACTATAAAGTTCCTGTTATATCTCAATTTGTTTTACCTTTTATTACTGCCTATATAATAATCACACTTGGTTTATGACAACCTCATTTTTATCTTAATATTTTAATATAACCTTCTCTATGTACAGTATAAAATATTCTCTGAACTACATGAATGTTATCATCTTTTATATTCTTTCAAATATTAAGTTAAATTATTTTCGATTACTTAATTCTTAACTTAGTAATTACTTAATTTCTTTGCCAACAGATAGGTACATAAAAATTATTTCACTTTTGTTCCATGTTAAATCTTTCGAAAATTCAATATAAACCCCCAAAATTAATTAGTAATTGTAATAAGTAAATACTACAAGTCATATATTATAAAATGTTTATAATTAATATAATTGTAGCATAATATAATACATAAAATAATGCCTTTACAGATTTAAAATACAAAAATCAATCTTCATACTATTTCAAATAGTAACGATTGTAAGTTTTCTTGCCATTTATTTTATCCCAGAAACTGGGATGAAGACCTCTGTGGAATTGGACTGTGGGAATGGTGTCACATTTCTGAGAAGTTGCTATGAATCAAATTCACAAGTAGATATGTGTAAGGTTACAGTTTTGGAGAACAAAAATGAGACTGCCGTTTGTAAGGTCAGTTGGATAGCTAAAACTTCACACAATAATATTAGTAATATTATTTTGTTATGAATTGGATAGTAAGTATAAAGTAATTTGTTTACAGATGAAATGTGATATGACTTCACCGAAAATGTGGCAGACTGTATGTGAACACTGGCATATACCTCAATACTGCTACAGTGATTCTAAAAATATTGAGTACTTAACACACATAAGCAGTATTAAAAGTAAAGACCAGTGTCTATACATAGCCTCAAATAATGTCACACTTGATGGTGAGTTAATTTCGTTTCATAAATGTAGATTCAATATGCATTGTTTTTACTTATCAATTGAGATACATTAATTATAGATAAGTTTTGCAAGTCTGTATAAATATATAATTATTTTCATGCATTTTTTTACATATTAAGTTAAAAACATTGCCTTTTGTCAGTTTATTGCAAACAACAATGAACACATTTTGAAGACAAAATCAACTTGACTAAAGACAAACCAGAAATTCAAATCACGATTTAGAATATCTTGGCCCTACTGGCATTCTAAAAATTATAATAATAAACTTTATATATATAAAAAAACTGTATTTATTATATGGATGTAAAAGTTATTAATTATAATAGAATAAAAAAACACTTGGTTGTAATGTTAAGACTTACATATTACATATTTTTATTCATATATTCAATAATAGCATCAATTCAACCTTGTTCTAGGTTACACCTTCACCCCACACTGCCGTGTCGGAATGGGATTTGTTGATATCAATGAGCCTTGTACACTAAGTTGTAAGAACGAGATGTTATCAAAACTCATTGGTGATAACAAACCTAACATGACCTGCGTTGATAATATGATGAATTTTAGATTGTATGCCAATAATAGCTTGCCAGTTAGTGACGAATATGATGAGTGTAGAGTAAGTATCTTTTATTAAATAATAAGGTACATATATACACCGGCTGAATGTGAATTAAGGTTCTATGTTAGTAGAAAACACATGGCTAGATGGCTTTCTTGTTTGACGATTTATGAAATTTTAGTTAAATTAAAATATAATTAACACTTTTTCATTATTATTTTTTATTCCTAACCTAACTTCCACTTACGTATTGAAATAATATTTTTCCATCATAAATTATTTCTCCTAATCACAATTTATAATTATATTACGGGAAAATTCGGTGATTTTCTTAGTTAATAATCAATTCACACATTGGAAAGTTGCAATTTAGTATAACTGTTATGTGATTTCAGGCCTCCTGTGATCTAGATCCATCAACACCCTGGAAATTAATGGAAATTTGTGAAGGTTGGGAGGCAGATGTAACTACCACCTGCCAGCCAACAAACGCTCACTTCCCAGACACACTTGACTTCAATGGAACTATACTCCTTTCATCCACAATAACTGAACATCAATGTGTCTATATACAGCTCAGTCATATACAGCTATCTGATGGTAAAATTATTTTATCTCATCATGTCTTTAATCAGCGTAGAATAAAGAATATTTTTAAAGAATATCAATTCATTTTTACAGTAAAAAGTATATCAAATTAACCGTCATGGATATAAAACTTTGCTTTACTTAATTTAAATCATAGTAAAACTATTACAACAGTAAAGTCCATTAACAAAAACAATTCAAAGTAATGCTAAAGTAATATGAATAAAATTATTAAATTTATTTATTAAAAGTTTGTGTGTTACCGAAAAAAAAACTAAAGAATAAATATTTAGCGCAAGTTAAAACCTAAATAAATCTTCAATATATTGTTCTATTTTCATTAAAATTTTTACAGGATCAATACATTACCCCAATTGTATCTACAAGAGCCAATACCAGATCGAAGCTAACCTTTTCCACGCCTCCTGTGAGATAGAATGTGACAATGAAATGGTATGGACTTTAATGAATATTAAATAAAAAATAGCGAAGTATAATATAAACTCAATAGTGTAATAATGTAGGTTTTCTCACAAACATCAGTTAGGATATACATCAATTAGGAATTGAAAGTATAATATTTTATATACAATAAAAAATCTCCACTAAAGCAAATATACAATAACAACTATAATAATAATTAATAAATTACCAGTAAAATAAGTATATATTACAACTTCAGCTTTACCTAATAAGTCATCTTTAGTAATAAAATGTATAAAATCAGTCCAATCATTAATTATCAGGTGAACGAGTTGTTTTCAACATCAGACACCAAGCAGAGTGAATACTCGCTGCAGTTTTGGTTGTTCTTCCTAATGATGATCATAAGCTGGGTCGGTCAGGCTGTTGTGGTGACCTTCGCTGACGCAATCTGCTTTGGATTGCTTGGTAAGTGCTGGGTTTTGCTGTTAAATTTCGCTTTTACGTATAGTGTATCAAATTCGTGATGACGCTTTTAAAGTTTCTTAATGAAATGTCAATTACAGTACCAGTAATGTTACACTTATTCTTTCTAAGTTTGCGTGGATACAAGACTTGGATAAATCGCTTACCAAAACAAAAATGAAGTATGTAAATGTTTTATTAATTATTATTATTTAACATCAAATTTTAACACTTCAGGTACTAAGATCTCTCGATACGGCAAACAACGTCTGTGGGGTTCCGTAGGGTTCGGTATAATATCCCTCGTCACGGGAACCCTAATAGACGTGTTTAGTAGCGGCGCCTACAAGGACTACACTATCGCGTTCGTTCTCATGAGCGTGTTTATGTTCGGTGACGTCATTGTGTCCTGCTTCCTAGAGGTTCGTGTATTAATCATTAAATATCATATTAATTAATATGGTTATTAAATTAGACTATCGTTCTTTATAATTTTATTTTTTGCTTTACATTTACAGCAGTGTCTTTTAATTGAAAACTAGTACAACTAAAAAAATACAATTCAGTAGTTCATTACATTAACTTTGAGAACAGTGAACGCTGTATTTAGCACCACAAATTTTTTCTACACTACCAAAATTCCAAAAATACTTTGTTATATTTTATGTAAATTCAACACTTTATAATTAAAGGTGGAGTCAACAAAGATGTCGGTGAACATTTTAGCAGACGTGGGTTCATTGTTGACGTCGCTGCCAACATTCGTGTTTCTGATTTGGACAATATCAGTCGGTCTGTGTACGGGCTTGATTTGGAACTTCCTGTTTTGGCATATCGAAGACATATCAGGGTTGAACTGTGAAGTTGAATATGTTAAGACGTTACAGGGCCTAGTTAGTGCCATACAAACATTTGGTGGAGAGATACCATTTATGTTCGTCTCGGGTACGAGATTCGTTTTTCATATAATAACATAAAATAGTTCCTCCCTTAAAAGACACTTGATATTCGTAATACTATATGGAGAATTTAACTGTATGTTTTTTTAAACCTTTGAGTTTACTATGATAGAAAAGTCTAGTTTTTTAATCACAGTGAAGCTATTACATTAAAAATTAAATCAAATTATTTTTTAGGGTATCTTCTGAAGAAAATTGGTCACATAAACGCCATGACGCTCGTGCTATTCGCTTTGGGTGTTCGTTTTATCCTATATTCCATACTGACCAACCCGTGGTGGATACTTCCCATAGAGATGTTCCAAGGCATCACATTTGGGATGTTTTATCCGACGATGACGTCATACGCGAATGTTGTATCACCTCCCGGCACAGAAACTACAGTACAAGTAAGTTAAATTTTATTGCATTATTTACGATATTTTCAATTAATTTTTATGGATCATACAACATATTCCATTGTAATTGTTATGTTTAAAAATATTCGTATTTTCTTATACAGTCTATTCGTCTTTGTATGCTTATTATTTTCTTTGATTATTTTTTTATTTTAAACAAATCTATGTAGTAGTTAATTATTACTACTGATAATCTCTGAGACTATTTAAATATATTCTAGGGTCTAGTAGGAGCAGTGTTCGAGGGTGTCGGTGTATCTCTTGGTAGCTTCATCGGTGGTCGACTATATGAAACTCACGGGGGCTGGAACACTTTCCAATGGTTTGGAATTTTCGCATTCATAGCATGCGCCATACATGCCATAGTTCAGTACTTTATGAGGGACAAATACACACACGTCAATCAAGGTAAATCTATACAGGAATAATATCGAATCAATAATATTTAATACGTAATCAATTAATCATACATGGAGATTTTTCTTTTTTATACATATTTTATTTTGTGATTTTACTATATTTAGATTAAGAGTAACGTAAGGAAAAGTGTTGTAATGCGCTTTCCATCCATACGTAATATTGTTTTTGATTGTTTATTATAAACAGTTAATCTAATGATTTTTATAATTGTATTGTAATATAAACTTACTTAAAAAAAAAACGAAATGGAGATCAGCGAAATATATGATCAACGATACTTAAGTCAATTTTGGTTGTGTCTACGAAATTTAGCAAAAGCCAAATTGTACATGTACTTACTACTTTACATTTGTGATGACGTAATAATTTATTAATACCATTTTTTTTACAAAACTATACAAAGTATAGATTAAATGACCATTTGATGGTAACATTGGCAATAATGATTATTTTACAAAAATTTCAGTTGCCAGTTAGAAAAATTTACTTTACCCATTCCATTTTTTTAAGTTAATAATATGTAGTTATATTTCATGTTCTTTATTTAATGTAACAAACGCATATTGATTATTATTAAATATATCTAAAACTGTATTCTTAAGAAAGAATGTTATTACGGTACATTTTGAACTTAATACTCGACGATAATTATCTGTACTTACAATGCCATATTTAACCAAATAATATACTTAATGTACTTACTTTTTTACAATAGTTTTATTAGAAATTCTCGAAATTAATTTTATTAGTATTGTATACTCGAAATTTTTTTGTAATAAGGTTTACAATTCTGTCGTATTTTGTGATGTGTTGCTTAAACACAACCAAAAAAATTGATTGAATCAATTGAGTTGTGTGTGTGCTTTTACATGGAACAGAAAAACATGCCAACAGAATCTGTTTCAAAACAATCATATATATGTATTCGACTTTTCTTGTCTTAAACCACTGTCTTAATCATTGTCTAAGAAATTAAATGTTAACCTATAATATTTAAATATAAAAAAACTAGAACCATATTAAAAAAAAAACCTTTTTGTGAACTAATTTAATTTTGTGCTACACTAATTTTCTAAAGAAAATTATCATTATATTAATTATTATAGTGCATGAAGCAGAGTTCATTCGCTATAAAAAAATCTAACATAAAATACAGTAAAAGCTTGGAATTTACTTTGCATGAAACTGAATACACTTAAAATCATTGATAATAATTTATAATAACCAGTATAAAAATTACAATTAACATTCATTCATTTAATACAATCTTTAAAAAACGTACATTCTAATTCAAATGATTTTAATCGCATTTTGTTCTATAGTTCTTGCTTACTGTCTGTCTTGTGTTGATATCATTCCGTTCCTATATTTTTTATGTTTAATCAACATCAGTGATTTTGTATGTTCCTTATACACAGTATTATTTAATTAGTTTTGGTAAACAAATATATTATTGGCTTTTAATGCTGTGTTTGATTTTTTTTTCCTATTTTATTTTACGTTATATTGTTTTTCGATATTAAGTGTGCACGTGTTTTTGCAGCAGTAAAGCAAGTACATTCCAATCTTTTATATGAAATGAATTATTTTTGGATGTAGTCGTATCCTGATGTAAATGTATAATGACGTTTAAAATATTCCAGGCTATACGTCAGTTATAAGATTCGGTCATTCACCCGATGCTGTTTTTATATTGGAAGATATGGATGAAGGACGTTAATGAAAATATCGCTATTATAGTAATTATAAATATTTATAGACAAATTTATTAATTATTGATTACTATTTATCAATTCCTACCAATGGAGGTAGATAAAGTTAGACAACAAAACCATGGTGGTTTAAGGGAAATGTCCAAACCGTAATTGTATTATGATATCCTAAAAAATAATAAGTAACCGTCATAGAACAATGTATTTATTGTAAAAAAAGTATTTGTACAGTTGCTGTATTTCTTTTAAGCATGATTTAAAGATATTTTTTTAAAGTTTTAGTATACTTGAAGAGGTTCAAAAGTCTGAAGCCTTATTATTAACAAAATATGTTCAAATATTAACTCCACATATATATTCCTACATACATATATGTTTAAGGAAAATACAAGCACAAGTATATTTCAACAAAAGAATTGTATTTTCCCAAAAAAGGTGTGTGTAATTTGCAATTAATTTTATTGTTTTATTCCAAATGATATTTCAGATTTTTTGTAAAAATATGTACTTAAGTAGTGGACTCTGGTTGAAGGTCTTTCTATACAATATTTATTTACTTTATAAATTAATTAAACATAAGGCTGTGTACATATATATAAATATGTGCTGTTTGTTTTAAGATTTCAAATTTTTTTTGAAAAAATTAGTATTAAATGACTATTTATAAGGGGAGAATGTCTTTTGGAATAATATAAATGGGAATTTGTATTACTTTTGTTATATTTTTATATTTTTTGTATTGCTATATTTTAATTTAGTACTGTATGTACCTGTTGAGAAATAAATAAATTTAAACTGTAATATATTTTTCTTTATATCCTTCTAAGCTTTTCATTGTAAGATATATCACATTGTAAGATATATATTTGATTCATTGTAAGATATATATACATCTGTATATTTCCATCAAGAAGTTTTCCTCTAGAATGAAACGTAATCATAGAAACATCAAAAAAGAAATACTGTACGAGTATAAGAAGTACTCTACTCACAACCACGTTCAGGACTGCGAAACATGCCTCGATAAAGGAAAAAACAAATATTTTCTTCACTGGTTAAATTCATTAGATATAATATAATTTTCCCAATGAAGCAGACATTTTCAATACACTTATCCCAAATAAAATCACCATACCCATCGCTACATAACACCTAAAAAATATCAAAAGTTTTATAAAATACTCTTTTTTAGGCCTAATAGGTATTTCCGTTTTAGAATTTTTAAAGAATACCTATATTTTTGCGATTTATACGAGTCTGCGACTTATGAACCTTTTGACATAACGTTTCATCGTATTAGGCAGTCGATCCGTATCAATGTATTGAAGAATTATTGTTGGTTCGAAAATAGGACAATTTGCTTAAATAATTTAAAAATCTTCAAATATATATATGTAAACGTTAAATTTATTTCAATACACACCCTGAAAGTAGTTTGTTCAGAATCGGTATCTGGATCGATTTTTATAGTTTTTTATGTAGGTCATTTTTTTTCTCAAATTTAGATAGAACTAAGTAAATTACAGTCATCCTACGCACGCAACACCAACAGCGACAGTCGGCACACATCAAATACCTACGCACGTGTCCATTGACCTCCTAGATCAGCTGATTAGACGCCACTCGACTTATTTTTTGTGGGGGCAAATTAAATCGCTAGTTTATAACACAGAGACAAAAAGTTTCTAGGAACTAAAAAATAAGATATTAGATTTGTAAAAGTGAAAAGTAACACTGCAGTATGATCTAAAATAAAACCACAATTGCGGAAACGGTCATTAAAGTGCTTTGAACAAGGCGGTGGACATTTTGAAAATGTTTTAAAACGACAACGCCGTGCGAGTGCAAATTAAACTGTAAGTTTGTTTATGATCTTTAAATTATTGTTAATATTTTGATTCACACCATTTAAACACGCCGACCTTGTCGTAGGTATTGTGGTGTCTAATCGAATCCCGCGTTATCAGCTGTTTAATAATTCTTATTTACAAATTTAATTTAATAATCAGTTATTATAAAATATTGGATTCACATTAAAAAAAAATCAATGTCGACAATCTTAAGCCTGATAAATCATAATGTAGTTATTTCGTGTTCTTATTATTACCTACTACTTATTATTGTCGGACGGCACTCGGAGAGAGGGGCGTGGGCGCGGCGAATACATTGTGTCTGTCTATGTGTGCGTGTGCAGCAGTGTTGGTGAATAGCTGACCATATTATTTGCACGAAATTGGGATAACTAATTTCACAAATAAAAAATGCAAACGTTCATATAAATAATATTTGGTGTATGCATTGCGTTTATATTATTATATTCTAATTGGGGTGTTTGAGGGTGTGCGTTAATTACGTTACACGTTGTAGTATTTTGCACTCAGGTACTTAAGTCACTCCTAGCCGAAAAAATCAAATTAATAGTAATAGCACAGTTAGCAAACGAGCTAAAATATCTGTTTTCTGATTTGGTCATAACATTCCGGTACAAAGCTGAAGATGAGAAAGAAAATTCAGCATTTATTCTGTAGAGTAATGGTTACTAATCTACAGCATCGATTTGTATAATTATTTTGCATCGTCTAAACATTTTCTTTGACATATCATCTAGAAGCCAGCTAGAACTACTTACAAAATTTTAGTAAACATGAATTTATTTACAGAAATCATAGACAATACGCAATGCAAAGAAAAAAGTTTTCAACTAATGATTATGCTCTTGCAAGGTAGATTGACCTGTTTAATTATCATTTCGCATAAGCATTCTTTTAAAAGTATAGACATATAGTTTTTATCTTAATTATTAGAAAGCCAACAACAGCACATTTAGATAAAAATTTCTAAGTTTTTTTTACAAGTATTCATGAATTTTTATTATAAACCAAGCAAGTCTCGCATTTAATTTTTTCATGGATAACGAAACATTATAAAACGCTTTGCTTGTAATATCACCACAGAAGTTATTCGCATTGCTTTGTTGTAAGTTTAGGAATAAATACAGGTCATATGAATATTTTTTCTAAAGTGGAACATCAAAAATAGCAGACACATATCTCGCATCACAAACTCGCCAAACTTACATTCTAAATGTGTTAATAAATAAAACATACTTTGGATTATATATGCTCGTTTACTTTCGCTTATACATGATTAAATTATTTATGTTTTTTGAACTTGGACTTAGGTTGCTTGTGCGTTCTTTCGACCTCGTCGTGGAACTTCTTGTAATTCACTTTCTTATAATTGTACGGTTTAACGCTAGTTTGTTCTGATTGGTTCTTAACTTTGTTCTTGTTCTTCGTTTTGTCACTCTTGTTCTGGGACGAAGCCTTCTCGTTGCCAATTTCTCGTTTCTTCTCCTGCTCGGCCTTTTCAGCGTTCGACATTTTCCTCTTGCGTTGTGCTGAGTTTTGATTAGGGACGTCATTTTTTCCTCTGGATCTTTCATCTCCCTCTTCGGACCTATCGCGGCCTCGTTCATTTGTATTCCCCTCGCTTGTTCCACCACTTCTGCTATCGTATAGTTTGATGGTCGATTCTTCAAGATGCACCTCAGACTTTTTCTTCGAATCTTCCTTCCCCTCGTTTTCTATCATGGACTTTGCTTCTTGCAACTTCAATAGCACTTCTGTCTTTATCAATTCATTACCTTTCGATATCGCGGCAATTTTTGCTTCTTTGTCCTTATATTCCTTGATCTCTTCCACCTATGGATAGCAAATGTTTTAGATAGTTCGTATCACATTATTATTTCTAGTATAACTAAAATATATACCTGTGCAAGAGCTCGATACTTCCTGTATCTATCGTAAGGCGGAATGAACATTTTGGCGTCCACATTCAGATCGGATACCTGCCAACAAATAGTTGGTGACGTTAATATTATAGAAAATAAATCATACATCGAACAGAGTTTAGATATATAAAGGCTTTATAGGTAGCCATGAACTAAAAACACACATACAACGAGGAATAAGAAATAGTGCCTAAGTAGATACAAGATCTAGCATTACAGAAGAGTTTGAAATCACACGGTTACCTAACATCGTCCAAGCAAGCAATAGAAGTTAACTAGAGATTGTTAGAGAGTGAATTCAAAGATACGAACACAAGACTAGAGAAGATTAAGTTATTAATTAGTGACAGTATACATACCCATCACCAAAAATTATAGACATCAAAATATTCACAAAAATTAATTCCCATTTTCACTTCATGAATAACCAGAAAACCAAAACTATTAACACAAACAGATCCTTTACCATTACCAACTAGATATAATAAAAAAATATAACATATACAACTAAAAAAAAAAAAAACAAACCAAAAAGTAAATTATTTATTCGATACAAATATTCACATCGTTCGATGATAATGTACTTTTCCATACTATTATACGGATATCATAAATGTATACTTAAACGTAAAGAAAAACAAAAAAAATAAAATAAAATATGAAAAAAAAAAACTAAAATAACTACAATCGAGATCTCATTTTACTACTAATACATTCTATGAATGGGTATAGTCTAAGGATATATATGGTAATACATTTTTTTCTTCACTAGGCTGTGTTACCTAAAGGCACTTGCAGTCTCTATTGAGCCTAAATGACTACATAATTATCGTGTCAAACAAAACACACATAAACAAGTATATAATAGATAGTTACTATGGGCGCGTCGTTAGTCTGGAACACTGGGAGGTCGGGCTCCACGAACGTCGCGTCTACCTCTGGGTATGTTTCACCCTCCCTGTAATATTTGTACATGGTAACATTTGACTGTCATTTCATTATTATAATAAAAATTATATATATCATTTTATCTGTTAATATTGAATTCCTATATTTACACGATCAACTAACATTTCTAATTTAAATAACTGTCATCTTTGAATTATGCATTCAAAAGAACTACAATTTTAAAATTTGAACGAGAAAACCAAACGTCATATTCTTTAAGACTATTCAATTTCGTTCACGAATCTGAACGAAATCTACAATTCAACGATAAACATCTTGATATCGTTTTTTTTTATCATAAACAATCGTATTTTTACATTAGTTAAATACAAAGAGACAGTGTATAGTAATTATCACATATCAGATCGCCAGTTCGAACTAAATGACAGTTATAAACTTTGTCCCTGTAATATATTACTTAGATAAAAAAATGTTCACAGTGTAAATAGCGAAGAATCTATTATTAATTCGCTTGATATGTACAACTGTAATGAAATTTTATTGCTTAATTGATCTATATCCAGTACTGACTGATGGAATTTTTTATATTAAATTATATCAGATCTTGCTTGGCACAAATTTGCATCGTCTGACTACATACAAAGCGTTTCCCGTTTCTCATTCAATAAAAGTTAATATAATAATGTGGAGAACTTTATGAATGAAAAACTGTTAACGCATTCAGTTGAAGTTGCGATTCAAAGTTGGAGTAAGCATACTGATATGGTTATATGAAACATTTTCTAGTCGATACTGTAAAGTGAGAACTTCGTTAAGTATCTTGTATATAATTTATACCTATTGTATTGATTTTTTTAAGTCATTTAAAATTCTTGTGAAATTCACAAATAAAAGGAAATTTCTGGACAAATATATTCCTTTATAGTTTTTATCTTATTTAAGAGACGATAAAACCTTTTTTATTATTTAAACTTTCTTTTTTTAAGAAACATAATATTTCCTTCCAATATGGAGGTCTTATACATATGTACATGTATTTTACTTGTAGCTGTTATATATTTTTAAGTCGTGGTTTTATTAAAGCAATATCCGAAAAAACTTGACCAGGTAGAATGTTTGATTAAAATTGATCTTATAAATTTCTATTACTTTATAGATGACCCTACAACGAATATAAAAATATAGATTTAAAAACTTGTTAATACTTTCAAAAATCCATGCTGTAAAATTATACAAAAGCCCAGGCGTCCAAGACCTACAATTACATGAAATCTTACATTTTCATATATTATACGATCAGTAGGCATTATTCTGTAAAATTTATATTTAAAAAAAAGCAATTAAAATTGTTCTAAATTTAAAATATCCAGATCATGACTAGATCTATGAACGATAGGCTCTTGCATTTAATATAATATTATAATATACTGTTACTAAAGATGTTAAATGAACCCACAATATAAACTCACTGGTAGTGCAGATGGCTCAGGTCGTGTATCATACGTTGAGGAGCTGGTGCCATCGCGATGCTGACGCCAGATGAACTTGAATACAGCACCGGCTCTAGGGGTAACTCTCGACACTGAAGATAGAATAACACAAAATATATGAGACTGTAAACTAATAATATTCAATTATAAAAGTTATAACGTAAACGTTGATTCGGAATTTTGATTCTTGAACCACATCCCAAAAAAGTATAAAACCTTATATGTATTAATATCTGAATTCATCACAAATTTCACCTAAATATATTCTCGAATGGATCAATTTGCGTTGAACTTTGTATCATTAAATCGAAATGAAAAACTTTAAAATCAGTTTTTAAAGGTTTCTGGAGAAAGATAATTAAACTTTTCTGTATAAAAACTTCGATACAAATAGAACGACACCTCACCAATCCATTTTCAGGGGTAACTTTACTTTGACTTATACAAAGTATAGGAACTAGAGAGTAGTATTTTTTTGGACATTTAGACAATATTAGATCAGGTTTCGAACTAACCGATAGAAGCATCCGATGTACTGTGATGAGGTTCTGTTTGAGGAACGGCGGCATTGGGTTGCAAAGTGCACTCACACCTTGTAGCTCACGTGGCAGCGTCTCCGCCAGGGCCAGTAGCATATGGTTCGGCAGGAGATACCTGGTGGAGGAAGAAATATGAAGCAAATAAAACATGTCGAACTAACTATACTGGGTTGATATAGAAAACGACTACAGTAAGAAAAAGGATTCGTTAGACAACAAGGAAGCGGGAAATAAAATCTGATTGTTTTTGTTAATTGTAAATGCAATACCATCGAAATAAAACCAAACTGAAGAAAATAATATCCTAGTATTTTTTTCCAAGAAAACCAAAATACTAAATTTCTATGTCGAGTGTATTAACATATAAAAAATGTAGTTGCAAATAAAAACCTCCTTTCAAAGTTTTTAGTATAAAAACACATAGTTTTTGTACTCACGTGGTGCTCTCATCCAACTCACGAGCATTTGCATCCCTCCAGCGGTACAACAGCCTCAAAGCTGCCATCTGTCTCGTATTGAAAGACTTCTTCGACCTCACGTACAACTTAAGATGACTGCTTTCATTTATAACCTCCTTGTTATATGTCAGCGAGCAGATATGTCTGCTGTTCTCAAAAACAGATCGCAGCAGACTGCCGTCAGGTGAGTTTGCCAATAAATCAGCTTTCATACGTCGCCACATGTACAACAAATAGTGTGTATCAACTCGAGCGTATTGGCGGAGTTCATCGGGCAGGGGTCGTATACGCCAATCGGCGAGCTGATATCTTTTATCAGCGTCCACTCTGCAGTACCTCATCAATAAACTCTTCAGTGACAACCCTGGCAGAGCTAAAGCCCTAGCTGCCTGGTGGGTGTCTACCATACCGACCACATACACACCGAAATCACGCTGCAGCCATACTATGTCACGTTCAGCACCATGGAATACCTAAGAAAACGTTTATTTGTGAATCTACTGATCTTCACTTAATAGGTACATACTTATAGCTTATTGAATCCGTTTATAATAAGTCTAAATAAGGAATGGTCATAGTTTAATTAGTTATGGTTCATTTAGTTATTGAGTAAATTCAAATATATATGTACAGTAAATGTAATAAAAAGAAATTGGTGAAATTACGCGGTACAAATAAATGATATTTAACGTATTAAAGAATAGCCCATGCTTCCGCTTCTTAGTACAAACGAAAGTAAGTCATTAGGTTTTGATATTATGAAATAATATGGTCTATTTAAACCACCAAAAATACTTGAAGGGTTTAAACAATAAGCTAATTAAACTTTTCTTTTGTAAGACTTTAAAACCAGTAATTTCCAACCAGAATGTAGGTTACAATTACAGAATATATGTATAACAAATCGTGTTACGGGTAGTTCAAAGGTTGTTTGCGAGGTCATGGTTACTACGGATGAATTGGAAAAGGAATATTATATTCAAAGGCTATGCGGATTGAATGTAGCATACTCTTTTATTCTTCATTTCTTCAATGACAGAATAAATTTATGTCTTGAATATTGGGGAATTTTATTGTATCTAATATATAAGTTCAGCTAATAAAATTGTTATAATTATATTGGTATGAATTACTCACTTTTAACTTCTTTGGGTCTGTAAATGCCAGATTTAGTTTGTGGACGTGTTCTCTAACTGCCAACGTGTCGATTATGAAGTCGCCCTCGTATGTCGATATCTGGATCAGACATGTGATGCCTGGGAAGACATATTTCTTTAGATCGAACAAATACGAATAAAAAAGTAATGTAACACATAAATTATTTATGATTTCCTTACTGTACTCATTTTAAACTACCCAAACAATATTAAATAAATTTGTTTATGAACTATATCAACGAAACTGTTATTCCGCAGATGTGTGTGTGAGGGTTAGTGTTTTTTTATATTTACATAATAATATAAATCATCATGTATATATAAATACCTTGATATGTCCTATAGGAATGATGTTCAACATCTACAGCTATCTCGTCAACTGTGTTCAGATGTTCAACAAGCTTTTCCAAATCTGCAACTGTTTCTATGAACGACAATGGAGTATCTTCTAGAGATTTCGGAAAGGTCGGAGGTTCGGTGTCGGGCTCTAGCACTTTAGTGGGCGGTTGATACAACTCCAGTTCTATTTTGTATGGATGCTCGTATCTATTGATAATATATTTATAGTATAGAATTATGTTTAGGCGGAATGTGAATGCAGAAAGCAAAGGAATGTTCTATGTTATTGTGAAATTTGTATGTATTATACATATTAGAAAATCTTTAAGACTCCAAACACTTACCCAACAGCTTCACCCTCGTCATTATACAGTATGTTCAACGCTAATGGCTTGATATTGTTCGGTTTGTCAGATATCTTGGGAACCCATAAATTGTCGGAATTGTCGACTGGCTCTTTGAACGAGAGCTGAGGACGCGCGATATTTTTGGCTCCAAAAAACATGGTCGAGCCGACCTGGGAAAGAAAAATCCTTGAAATAGTTTTCTTTCTTCCATTTGTTTATAATATCATATATTTGCTATCCATAGATAACAAGAATATCTTCATAATCACAATTAAAGTCGAAGTGTAAAAAATATTATATTTCATGTGAGTCATCCATACAAAAGAAATATTATTATAATAGGTTCTTAGTTTCTTCTAAATTACTTGCCACGTTGTACTCTCTAAACCTAGTTAGTATACTTTGATGTTGATTTGTTCCTTAATACATTTTTTTTATTAAACAATTCTTTTAATTTTGATTTTAATATTAACTTTTTTTACTGCAAAATATTATCCACTACTTATAAAATAGCAGTATTTCTTCAACGTTCATCTTCTAAATTATATCTTATATTTTAATCTCAAACGCAAGACCCAATATTACCAAACGCGATCCGACACGAGAACACGATTTGAAAATTCAACAAATGTTTGCTACTTTGCAGCAATCTTGAATAAGAGCGTTGCAATAGATCTTGATTGAGATATCAATATGATGATAACATAATTTATCGTCTGGGAGCAGGATATCCTTTGGTTGGCGATACACGCGCTAAGAATGCATCCAACAGATGACACGTGGCATACAAATTAAATTAAATATTTCATTTAAATCATCTCTATATATTTTATTTAAGATATATTGAAACAAAACGTGGACTTATCTTTAGGATTTAGTTATATGAGAATTAGGAAACCTTGTATGGAATTTAAATTTAAAGAAGGTTTCAAAATATGAGAAGCTAATGCAATTAATAGTCATTACACAAATTCGTAGCTATAACAGAGGAACTAAGTCCTGAGCAATGAATCAATTATGCCACAAAAAAAAATCTTTTAACAAAGAAATATAATGTTTTATTTAATTGGTGTACTAAATTAATTTTTTAAGTTTGATCAATAGAGCGATTCTACTTCTCATACAGTTTGAAAATTTCAGTTCTACAAAATCTTTTTTTTTTCTATCTGCAGAGTGGATCTGGCCGTGCCAATATATTCATACTTTTTACTTAAAATTCAACTCTAATATATGTATAATTAACCATGTTTAACTTATTCATTAAAATTTTTCACTCACTTAAAATTGACCTTTGATGTAATAAGAGAAGGAAGCATAAAAACTAAAGTTTTGTGACGAAGCCTTCGATTTAATCCCAACATTGTCCATGGTCGCTGTTAATAATACATCTACTGGTAATAAAATTGCTACCTGTATCTTAGTTATCACTGGGGAGCTGAATGAAGGTCCCGGTTCCTCTCCGCGGCAAACGTTTTCTATGTTGATGTTGATACGATCTAGGATGCGATCGTTCACGTCAATCACGTGGTCTGTATTGTATTCGTCGTCATTTCTGTGAAACAAATCAATTGATTAATGGACAATATAAATTTAAATGTAGATTTACGATACATTCAAGTTAAATAGTGGAATAGGAATTTCATTATGCTTGACTTTTTAATAATAATACACGTATTGAGGTATCTCTGTAGGTAATGCGTATATTTTTAAATTATACTGTCTTACAAATTTTAAGTTGTTTTTGCACACTTCTTCTTTATATAAACTTTGAATGTGTTAAATTCTGAGTTCCACTGTTCGCGAAACTTTATTGAAAATGTGTACAAAGTTTTCGTTTCACATTTCTACTTTATTACGTTTTTGAAACTATTTCTCTTAAGTGAAAAATGTAACATTAAATAATATTTGGTGCAATCTCAGGATTTAACTGAAGAACGTAAATTTTAAAATTCTAAACTTTATATCGATATCTGTTATGTGTGGATATATTGAAGAGATCATTTAGAACATCAATATCAATGTAAGAATTCAAACATAATGTTCTTATATACAGGGTGACTGGTGAATTACTATCAATATTTAAGGAGAATACTCGGTACATGATTCTCATTCGAATTATGTAAAAAAAATAGGTACTTAATTTTTTACCAAATTTCCGTATAAATAAATAAAGTGTGGACACGTTCCAAGTGTGGACGCGTGCGGCGGCGTGCTGATACAACACCACGCCGCCGCACGCGTGTGTGTGTGTGTGTGTGTGTATACCTAATCTGTAGGGTGTTCACACGATGCGTAATTAATTACATAACTTTTGGTTAACTTTACTTAGAAGTTTATTAATATTTACGTTATATTAATTTTTATTTTGTCATATATGATCGTCAAATATCACGTCCTCAAGTATCGATAGTAATTCACCAGTCACCCTGTATACAAATTCCTTTGAGATCTGTGGGCAAATCTGAAATCAAAACGCAGAGTTATTTTACCGTAATGAACATGATATTCGCAAAACATAGTTTTTATTTCACTTAACGACAGTCGTTGTTTAAAGTCCTTGCACACTCTCGCTAGACACAATTGTTATTGATTAACCCTTATACATCAGTCCGGTTCAAATGTCGTGTCGTATTTGAAAGTCATTAGAAGAAAGATGTTAAGCATCCCTGAATTTTTTCTATAATATAATTAATTTATGGCGACAACCCAGATTTTTCGTTTTCGTCCACAAAATCATAAGCATGATAAAAAAGCTTTTCAATTTAGGATGCCTGAATTTTTCTAGTAAGTAGAAAAATAACAGATTTTAAAAGTTTGATTTAACTTTACAGATAAATAGGAACTGAATTTATTTGCTTGAAAGAGTAGTATATTTGAAGATGTTATATGTGGCTTGAAAGGATATTGCAATGGCAACGGATCATATAAATTAGGCAATGCACAGAATAGCAAAAGGGTCAGTTAAATATAAATGGGGTGTTTATAATTTGATTTACTGAAATTAATGAGACTCGTGATAGCCTTTGAGAGGATTTTGCTTTTTTAAGAAGTGTGAAGTGTTTTTTCAAATGAGGTAGACGTAAAAACGAACTATATTTTAGAATAATGCTTAGCTCTATAGAAAAAAATATGTATTCTACAAATGCCTATATAATTAATTGCAACAATGGAAATTGCTCCTTCAAATTTAAAAAATAAAAATATATTGGCAACATTAACTTTTACTCTAATGAGAAATATAATACTTACTTGCTGTATATATATAATTAAATAAAGTAAATTTCATTTCACATGCATGTTCAGCATCTACATATAGATATAAACCAGGTTTTAAATTTCCTTTCTAGCCATTTGGCTATAAATACATATAGTCACATTTAATCAATAGTGTGAAAGTTTTCTATATTCAAAAATAAAAGGTAAGTGCAGACAAAGCCATGTAAAAAAGCTCATAGAAAAGTTTCTTAATACTTTAAAGTGAAAAGAATAAAAAAATACTTGTATATATTTATACTAATTTGACTAACATGCAAACAGAATAGGTAACACTGGATCCATTCATAATATAAAAGTTTTAGCATTTGCATATGCATATTTTGCATATACATATTGGTATTGTGCAAATTAACCAGGAATAAGATAAGAAAGACATTTCACAAGCAACAATAAACCTTTTAAAAAGTTACTATTACATTCACAAATCAAAAATGCATATTGCAACAATTATATGAAACTAGCTTATAAAGTGATTATATGATAGGCTTTAAATTACAGTAACATAATAAAACTATATAAAATAAAAGCTAACTGTAATTCAATACTCACATTTTCAACTTCACATTAGGTATTTCTGTGTTCATTATGTCGTTGGATTGTAAAATTAAATTCTTTGTCATTTGACTCGACACTATGTTAAAATCATGAAATGTCTTGAAGATTTCCAGAGAAGTTCCCACTGGGAGGTAGTTTGAAGACCTTATTGTTTTATTCACTTTTGTATAGCCATCCTAAAACAAAATTATATTAAGAAAATATACCGTGTTGAATTTCATTATTTATTATGTGTTTTATTTAAATGACCATGCTATTGCAAATATGTAAATCATACATCAGAAAAGGTGAAACTATATTCTACCCACATGTTTTAGTAATATTATTTATGTATTTAACATACATCAACACACAGATATTGTTGTATTATTGATCAATAAAGGTTACTTTTATGTGTGATACTAAACTCATATAAATATACATAACAATGCATATTTATACTTTGTGATATGTATAACTTTCGGAGTGTTTTTAATATAAGCTACAAAATAGAGCAATAATAAGATTTAGGTCTTAATACTAAAGGTATGTTGTTTGAATTCATGAAAGTATAAACACTTATTTTATTTGTATATCAATTTTTCATTTGTCCTTACAACACAAAATTTTGAATACAACTAACTTGTAAGTTATTCATTAATAAATAATGTACTTAATGTTGAATTATAAGATATATTAAACATTAAATCATATATAAATGCTATTTAACAATACCAAATACCACTCTGTGTGTAGTGACCAGCTATTTTTAAAAGCATACACCTTCCATAGTTGCACCAAGTGTTATCCATCATACTTTTACATATAAATAAATTTCATAATTAATCATCTATAACCATGTTTATATCCAGTAAATTAAAACGCGTCCTCATTCAATCACATTGTTTTTTTGTGTCTATGAAGCGAAATATCCTTACCTCGACCACTTTGTGCAAAAACAGTCTCATTTAGGACTGTAAAATACATATAGTTGTCGAGAAAGGTTGATTGGATCAATTGGAATAGATTGAATTTGACCTATATTAACACATTAGAGTTCTATCAAGGCTCAGAAACAACGATTACGATAAAAACACATGTTATATATTGTCAAAAAGGATATTGAACTCTACATAAAATACGTACCTCTGTTACTGCTGTTAAATGAGGGTAAAATTCGGGAGCTTCTGGATTTAAAACTGAATTCATTTTGAACGGATATGGAGTTAAAGCTTAAACATAAAAATTAGAATATCTCCTCTGCACCATGCAGGTCGCAGGAGATGATCTGTGAAGATTGAAATCAGGAATGAAGTGAAGTGTGAGCAGAAGTCAGACCCGAGGCACAGATAATTAAATAATGATCCCCTAGGTAACTGCGCAATACTAGATTTCGCAAAATGCACTCTGTCCATTGTTATATTTATAAGTGAATTAAAATAGTGTTAATAATCTATAAAATATATAAAATCTTCAACAGATATTCTACAATATAAAATATTTTATTTTTGATTGCTTTCTCTCTCCATATTTAATATAATAAAACTCAAATAACCTCATGTTTATTGTTAAACTATACAATAAAATAAATATTTTAGTAAGAAGTTAAAAATAAATATTATTTTATAATACTAATGACAGAGACAAAATTCTATTTTACCAGTTTTAGAACGTACACAAAGATTAATGACAATTTGATTATTGACATAATAGTTGTCAAATAACAAAAGATATGGTCGAAAATGTTTATATGCAGTTCTAAATTGTACTTACCGATTACGAGAGTATCTAATACTTAGGTGGTATTTATGATGTACGTCGGAGAGCACGTTTTTGCATCACAATCACCTCTTCACCTTCCACCAGGTCTGGTCTCTGGCGTTTGCGCAGTAAACACAATTCAAATACGCAAGTGCAGCTTGCTGGTGTGATGTAAGAGAGCAAAGGACGGGGAATATATTTTCATCGAACGTATTCTGGGTAGGTACTAGTTATTTGGCCGTCGATATTTTTTGGGATAGGCAGTGCAAATCTTGTTTTTTTATTTCTTGTGAAATGTGTCCGTTTAACAAAATTGATTGTGTACGCTAGGAAGCGTGACACGTTTAACTCTCGCAAATACACAGTTTTGAATTGACATGACTCTAGAAGATCCCTTCTACGTCGTAAAAGAGTAAGTGTATCACATTGTTAGTGTTGAGGTCTATTGTATGTTTATTTTTAGAACTAGGGGAGCTCAGGCTTCTTCATTGTATAATTGCACGATTTTCCACTTGTATCTATATGTTATTACTTTAAGTGATGTTTTGATTGAGATGCAGAAGCTCTATATATTTAGTGTCAACATTAACTTTTACTAGTGTCAAGTGCTTCAATTCCTCAATTAATTATTTGATTGGTAGAATAAATAACATATTAGAATACTTACAATTAAAATTTATTATATATGTATATTTTAAAATTTGAAAAATGATGGATATTTTGTTACCAGATCTGCATTACTAATGTTAAATCTGTTTTGTGGCTCAACACAGACTAAATAGTGAGCTTATATAATTTTTCATTAGAAATGAAAACTGTAACTATAAATATGTGTAACATGTTGCAGTTACATTTATCTAAGTATTTGTGAGTACACATTTAAGTAAAACTATGGTCTTTCAAATTACCAAGTGATTTTACTATGCTATATTTTACCTCAAACTACAACTACACCTAAGTCTGTTTTTACATGGTAGATTGGTTCCAGAAGAAGCTGTGTAAAAAAATACTGTGTAAAAAAAGACATTGATCTTATACAAAAATGGGTGATTTGTTCCTAATCTCTAAAACCTATTAAAATTAGTGAAAAACAAGAATTTTTAAGAACAAGAATTCATATTTATTTTATTAAATCAAATATATAATGCTTATTTTCACAAGCTCAGTAATTAATGATAAAAAAGATATGCACTCTAATCTTAAAAATAATTAACATATGCACATAAAGGCAATTCCCCTAAATTAGTGCTATTCACATTTGCTTTGACCAGTAAAAATTGTTTGTACGCGCTAAAAGGGAATTCACTTAAATCTTTAAGCTAGTGTTCGCAAACTATCGATACTATCGATGGTTTCAGACTTTTTTCTTTCATAAATACTTTTTTGTGATATGAACATAAATCGCAAAAATTAAATTTGCAAAAAAAATTTAAGTACATAAAATTTCAAATCGTGCTAAATGGAATAAAATCATGTAAAAAAATTAAAAATATTCAATTTTCAAACCGTGTTATATCAAAACCGTGTACAAAAAGACCGTGTAAAAACAGACTTAGGTGTACTTCGGAATATCCATCTATTACAGATAGATGTGTAGAAAGTTCTCAAGTCATTATACTGCTAAGTAGTAAAAAATTATATCAATAATCATAAATCTGAGAATGTTTTATACATAATAGTGATCATTATAACACTCTTAATCTGATTCCTATTTATAATTATTACTCTTATTATTTGTGTTTATTTATAATATCATATATATTCAGTCCTCCACATTATATAGTACTCTGGTTAAAACTGACAAAAAATCTTCTATCTGATTGATATTGGATATTGTAGTTTTCAATAAAACTATATTAAATTTGTCACATATGTATTGTGCTAAGTAGCAAACTGAGTGACAGCAACTAATATAATAAAGTTATCTACCTCCTTACACTTGTCATCATATTATTATTTTAACAAAACAAGCAAGTATAACTAATACATAACAGATATTCAATCAATGACAGTGTTTTTTCATATTAATGTAACTTATCATATAAGTGGTTGATGTTAATTACATACATATGAATTGTCTTAGTTTTACCAACCAGTCTTTTGTACAATTATTAATAAGAAAATAATAATGTTTTAATATTATTTTAACACTAAGGACAGTGTTAACTAAAACTAATTTTATATTATAAACATCAAAATATTTGTGAATATATAACATATCTGTTACAAAATATCTAATGTATAATATATAATCAGTTTAGCAAATGCAGATATTAATATTAGAAAAAGTAGAAAGCCAGTTACACAACTAAATATAACTTATATTTTTTATTCTAGTGAGGTGTTCCGTGCGTTGAACAAGACTCGCGGATTGTATCTTCGCTGGCAGGAAGTAACCCGTACACCTATAGCTCACAGCCCAGAAGCCGAGTGGACTTCGACAGAACTCAAGAACGCTATAAGAAGCATCGAATGGGACTTGGAAGACCTTGAAGACACAATCAATATCCTTTTTAGCATACATATCAGATTGGATGCATTTATCAAATGATAGACCAATTTATCAATCTATTGGTATGCATCTATTGTGCTTACCGCAGCCTTTGATTGCATCTAGTTCTTATCACATCTCCTCACGGAGCGAACGAGCTTAGTACAGGTAGCAGCTAATATATTAGGTATAACAATTTTGGTAAAGAAATATATTTTTTTACTAACAAATTATATAACATCTTCATCATACATAATCCATTTTCATAGCATTTTAAAAAAGATCATGATATGTTATTATGTTAAAAATAGTGATATAGTAACAAATTTATATGTTTTTGCATGTCTATTCATTCTGTTTATTATTTGTATTACCAAATAAAATCTGTTACTGTCATATTGAATTCTACATATCCTTACAAATTTATGCAAGTATTGTAGAAAGAAATACATCAAAGTTCAAAATTGATAACAAGGAAATTAGTGAAAGAAGGACATTCATAGAGGCAACTAAGCAGGAAGTGAAGGTATAAAATTGGTTATTGAAATGTTGATGATTCAAGTGTCGCAATTAAATTATTAACAATATTAACATTTTTGTCTTCTCGATATGTTATTTATTTGATAATATTTAATTCCTTATTGTATTTTATTAAATAACGCTAAATATATTAATTAGCTGGCAATTTAACATTTACGATGTATATTATTGTAATTAGCTCATGAAAAGCGTGGTGATCGGGAATAAGCGCAACGAAATGGATGGCACGAGAGAACCGCTTCTGGCTGAAGAGAGCCCCAGCCGGGGGAACGTTGGAGGAGCTGGTGGGGCGGCTTGGGGGTCACGGTTGCCTGGTTACCCCCACTACCGCCGCCTACCATCCGCCAGCCCAACAAGATACCTCGAGGATGACGTCATGTCAGCCCAAGACAAGATGCTGATGTCGCAAGACGACCAACTACATCTAATAAGCAATTCGGTCGGTTCATTGAAAACAGTCTCCAAGCAAATCGGCATCGAATTGGATGAACAGGCCGTGTTAGTATTTCTATTTTAATATAGTTTTATATAACTTGATATTCCGTTCTGGTAATAAAATTGCATTTTATACTTTTTTTCAGTATGCTAGATGATTTGAACACTGAACTCGAAAATGCAGATTCAAAGTTGGATTCAACCCTGAAGAAGGTCGCCAGGGTGCTGCACATGAACAATGGTCGGTTGGACTTCTAAGTAATTATTATCAACACATCTACACTTATACTGTATATTATAAATAAAGGGGGATTGTCCGTTTGTAATATTGAAATACCCGTCTTTACTACATATATTCTCTTCTAGAATGTCCCAGTATTAGTTAGTGTACACGACTATTTTGCCTTGCTCTAACTTGGTGTAGTTACAGACAACCAAATTTCTGAGACGCTTCCATTTCATTTTCCTTCAATTTCAAGTAGTTTATACAGGAATATGTCGTGTGTATGTGTGTGTATGCAGGTGTGTGTGCGTATGTGTAAAACGTCAAGAAGATTGATCTATCCTTATTTCTGTTCTAGACCGGCGGCAATGGATGGCAATCGGGGTTCTACTGGCATTGTTGATCGTCATTCTAATACTATTCATTATCCTATAAAATTAACATGTTATGTTACCAATAAACTTCCCAAAGCGATTTTATTATATAAGAAAAATCACATTTTTGATGAATTATTTATAGATGTATTTATAAATGATAACGTATAGAGGAATAGTTGGGGTTTGCTGAGTAAAAAAAAGATGGGCTTAGTCATCTAAATTTATATTTTTGTTACGAATATTGAAATAAATTATCCATATCACTGTGACAATTTGTTTTTGAGCTTGACTAAAGATGACTATATTAATGCTTAAAAGATTCTGCAACATGCATGATATGAGAAATATCAAGAATTTTTACAAACCGGTTTCATTATAGAATACTTGCATTTGTTTTTTATGAAACATTTTTGTACTTATAAATTGGATATCTTGGGATTATCTTCATATAAACATACAAAAACTTTGTTATAAATAAATAGTCCTTTGTTTGAATATTACATGAAAATATTACTAACATAATGTCTTATTAATAACGATAAATAAATCTCGATAAAAATAATAGTCAGCCAAACCTCGGTGCTTATAATAGAATCTTAACTAATTTTTAAAGTACGAATAACAGTAATAATTAAAAATCGTGTCCATCCAGAAAGTTATCAGCTAACATTTTGACTAACTAAACTTCTATGCGATATTATTACTTTAACTCTAAAAGGCCCCTTATAATTTAATTTCTTGAGATTCTTATTCTTTCTGTTCTTATTTGTGTTATATTTTAATTAAAATTCTATAGTTAAAAGACTGCGGGAGTCGTCCAAATATAATACCGCTGCGTCTAATAATATACATATAATAAAAAAATCTCATAGAACTAAATAACGACAGGAATATTTGGAACATCGGTTTTAATAAGAATTGTCGTCAGTATTAGTTTCAAATAAGATAAAAGATCAATTTCTTTGGTGACATCTATAATATTATAGCAGATAAAATGTAAATCTCATTACTGTATACAAAAATAAAGGCTAAATTCAAATTATGAAAATATAAGTTACATAAAACACTGATGCTCCAAATATACTTTCAATAGTATATTTCCGAAGTTACGGAAAGACGTTTGGTATTGGTGACAATACAAGCATTTGCCGGAAAAAATGAGGCTCTCGCTATTATTGATAATATTGACAATACATCGTTTAAGTACATTCCTACAGGAAAGCCTTAACCTGTGATTTTTTACATCGTAAAATTCCCTTGTTGTTTCCATAGAATGTTATTTGTGTCCAAATGAATCGTATTTTGTGACAGTTTTGTACATTGGTTCATATAATTTATTAAGTGTTGTATAATTATACACTGTCGTATATTTATACATTTTTATATAGGTATAGATTCTGTGCTTAGCTTGTTTTAAACATTCATCGGCTTAAAGGATTAACTTTGTTTTACAGTGTTCGATTAAGATGAATTTTATTGTTTAATACATATTAGCCTATTTATTTATTTAGTTTTAAAGAATAATTATATTGGATTGGATCTTAATTTTTGGCTTTTACAATTTTTACTCTAGCGTTTACGTATTAATTTTTCAATACCAGTCTTCAAATGCTTTTAAAATCCACCGGTTGAATCTACTTCAAGTAGATTTTTCAATATCGTATGGGTTAATCCACAGTTAATTTTGGATACTAGGAATACTGAATATAACCAAGAATAGTTTGGAATATCTTGTGTAAGAGATAAATAAATCGAAATCGTTATTAATTTTTTAAACTAATTGTGAAGTTATTGTCTTAATTATCATTTATCAGGTTCCTAACCTTTATTTCTACAATTTATCAGTTTTTATGCGAGCGAATTATTTTAATGCGCAAAACCTCAACTTGACTTTGTTAGATATGTTATCAGAGCCTAATATTTCGCTTGACATCAATTTTTCGATAAAATTTATCTTTACAGACAAAAATTATTTCAATACATTTTAATTATGCATTTAAACAAAAACGTGGTTTTAAAACACTGATCACATATAAAAAACTGTGATCTTTATATTTTTCAATGATTTTGTGAATATAACAAGGGGATGGAAACACTTAGTATGTCGAACAAAGTTAAATTCCTCAGCCATTTAATGAAATAATGTATTGTGTGATTTTTCTTTGGTTATTTATTTATTTCATATGAAACATCCAGATTGCTTTAACATGTATGTAATGTATATATGGACGATATATTGTTAAAACGCTGAATAGATGTTCATAAAATCTAGTTCTAGTATCAGCTAGTTTAGACTGTATTAGACGTAGGTTTATTTCCTTCGAAATAACGAATTTACTATGGCGTTTCAACAATATGTCACGTGTAGATATTGTAGAAAGATATTGAAACAAGATAAATGTAGATGGACATTATTTTGTTTAGACTTTTCCAGTGTTTAAAATATTAAATGTATTTGCCAATTCTTCTATAATTATTGTATATTAAAAACTTTTTGTTTATGTCGGTGGTGACAACTGTGTATAATAAAAGTATTCAAATATATACATGTTTCATTCTTTGCTAGCGTGCATGCGATTAATAATGGAGTATGTATTATTATTAATTATTATTAAAGTCTCATTGTGTCCTTATATCTTGCGTCATATAATGCGATTTTGAAATTGTGACATGTTTATATATAAGCCTGTCTTTAATACCAACTTCAATAAGGTTTTTTTGTGATTATTGTATTTTTTAGATCAAGTTATTATTGAAAATCTTAAGCAAAAGCAAAACTTTTCACATTACCCACGCTAAGCGAGCTTTCAACAATGTTTATTAGACTAATTACGTATTTCCTATAAAATGTAATAAATCCTTATCTGCCGAAACCACCAAATAATAACTTTTAGCACTTAACAATAACAAAAAGAAATACCTAAATGTTAACTATTACTAGGTACATTGGTTATTTCATTGAAATTATATATTTTAGTTTAATATGTATTTATTTTGTTATGTTTGTTTCAAAATAAACTGATTTACAAAACTATATTAACTAGTGCTCTAGCTTAATTAACTGTTTATTTAAAGAAATCTACGACGTGATCTGTGCGAATTCTACACTACTATTTATATGTACACATCTATGAAAAGGGTGTCATTAGGGCAACACTTATACGTTGTGAAGTACTGCTCAAATATTTGTAAATTAAATTCATGCAAGGACGATGGATCGATATGTTATCAATTAATAGACAAAAATTTTACAATCGGACGTGTTACATTGATAAAATATGAAACAATGGTATTTTTATGGATTTTCTGAGGATAGAAAACGATTAATAAAATTATTATATTCAGATATAAATAAGAATTGAGAGAGTGGTAGTTGTATTTAATGAAATATGTATATCCGAAAATAAATTTAAATGATTTTATTTTTAAACAAAATTGATAAAATATTCTCAAACATATTTTTTTTATCTTAATAAGTATTTAAAATGAAAGGCAAGACTTGTCTTTATAGGTAGCGATAGGCCCCATGGTATAATAAGCCGTTGTGATTTCGACAGTGATGGAAGGTAATTTAATTCAATTCAATTTGAGTAATTTTTGGAGAATTTTGCAGCATGTATGAACAACAAAACAAATTATTTAAAATTTCGATAAACCAACCTGGGCAAATATGATATAAACTTGAACAACTTAATATAAATTTTAATATACCTATATATAGTTATCAGTGCCCTAGATTTATGCCGTGACCAGTGTCACAACGTTATAATAGTCAGTTATAATTCGAATCAACCAAAATAAAATCGTCCGCATTTTGCCCTGGCTGTCAAATTACCACTTTTTGTTTTTGGTACGTAATAAAAAAGAAGTACAAAAACTTACTTAGTGACTTATTGTTAAGAGATTTATGTAATATCTAATAGTTTTTTGCAGAATAAGTAACTTAAAAACTTTAACTGGACTTAGATTACAAAAGTTCTATTGATACGTCTTCTGTCGTATTTAGGTCAATAGGAAATAATGACGGCTGTTCATATTACCCATATTTAAGTAAGGTTTACATTAGATTAGCATCTACGGCTAACAATATATTATTTTTAGTAATCCTAACTCGAGACAGTTTTCGAAGCTGTACCAAATCTTAATTTAAGTGGATAGTTTAATATCAAAATCCAATTCTAAGTTAACGAAGTTCTTTGTTTGGTTTCGTGGCCTAGATGTCTATTATTTTTTAAGTGTAGATTGAGTGTCTAAGCTCTATTATTCGCAAGTACCATTCTGAGAGCCGTTTCATAGGACACTCACTGTAGGAATAGAAAAATAAGACACTAATTGAAATATTGTAAAAATATATGAAATCTGAAAATTATTAGGTACCGGCGGCTTCTTACATTTGAAATTTCTCATAGTTAACAGTAATATCCTAGTAAAACTCGTTCGTTTAAAATACATATTAATGAAAGTATTTAAAAAATGCTAATATTTGTGAATAATTTAATATTACGAGAAGTGGATTGAAATTTATTTACATGATTGATTCGTTAAGACTCTTGCAGGCAATCAAGTTCCTAATTTTTAATTCACTTGTTAATTAGACATGCTACGAATACCGAATATTGAGCGTCCTAGATAGCCCAATATTAAAAGCTTTAAATCTTATGTTGATATTTCGTTCGTGCTATTTTTTTTTCTTGTATTAATATTATTTTAGCATCATTTATCACCCGACGTAAGATTTACATATATCACATAGTTTTATAGTGATAACATAATATTCTTGATTTTGGTACAAAATTGGTTATGGTTTTTAAATAAATATATATATTTAAATAATTTTCTTAAAAAAACAATCCAACCTAGTAAATTTTTTTTTAATTGGTTTTCTGATTTTCGCAATAATGAGAAAGATTAATAACTACATGAATATACGTACTTATGTTAAATATATACCCCGCTTATTATACATATTAGAAATTAATTGTAAGGGGAGTCTTAATATTACTTACGCAACATTTAATTGAAGTAAGACGAATAAATACAATTTTCTCACACTTTGCGTCGTATTGGTTCACTCACTTCTCGCCTCGTTTAAAACAACTTCAGGAAAGAGACTCCGAACATTAACAAGCGTCTGAAGTCAACGAGACGAAAAGTGTTAAGACCTGTACTTACTGGCACAATCCACTGCACAGACTTGCATTAAATAAATATTGCGAAGACTACACAACATCGGTTTATTATTATACACATTTTAATCTGGTACTGTATTAGTAAAAGAATATAAATGTTTTATTATTTAGTTATTTTGTACAATAGTAAAATTAATGACATTTAATGTTATTTTTTAAATTGTGAACATTTCATACAAACAGATTATTTATTAGACTATATATACATATCTATATCATCTATTTAGACGATTGCAATGCAATATGTTAAAGATATAACATATCGCATTGCAGTCGTCTTAGGAGCAGGGGTAAAATTAATGGCTCTTAACAGAAATCAATAAAGGTTTAAGTGGCTCCTATCAGTTAGAGCTTTTAAGCACCCGACATGAAAAATTTTGCACCATTATCAATAAAAACATTAATTCAAAAAGATCCACTTTTATTGAGCTTTTATATTGCTTTCATAGATGTTTTTTTTTATAAGAAAGGTGGCGAATGAGTCGACGGTCCACTTGATGGGCAGTCGTCGTTGTGGCCCATGGACATCTGCAACTTAAGATATTTTGCGGATGCGTAATCAACGTTAGTCGTTGAGGAAAAAGGAGAGGTATTAAGAGGGAGATGGTAGTATAGGGTGGAAACAGAGAAAGGGCAACCAACTTTCTCACTCATCTGACGATACGCAGTTATTAAAAGCTATTTCACACCGATCTCCTTTAAGACGGTGGTACATCCTCGGTCGAGCTAGCCTATGTTCGAGCTGTAGTTTCTTTATCACAATTAGGCCCTACCATTTCTGAAAATAAATACTTTAATTAAACAATGGATGAGTTGTTTGTGTACTGGAATATTAGAATATAATTTTTTATAGTTCAATGCAGCTCAAGTACTACAAAGGTTAAAAAAAGACTAACATACATAAAACTTCTTTTTTAAATTATTGTTTAGTGTCTGTGTTTCATAAAACAGTAAAGAATATTCTCATTATTTTAATACCTTTATCTTTCTACATACATATTTCTGTGTAAGCAATAACCAACCTATTTTTCTTATTTAAGGCACCAGTATCGGCATTTACCTAAGATTATTTCCGTTACCTTTAAAACATTTAGTGCAAAATATTGATAATATTATTATAATTAATATTAAGAATCAAGATGAGATATTTCTAGATAACAAAAAAAACTGAGTTATGTCACAGGTTTATTTTATTTAAAATATTTAGCAATGTAATAGTAAATATTTCATGTCTCTTCAGAACTGCTCGAGTCGAACATTACTTTGTCGTACATTTCAGGCAAGTAATCGTAATGAGGTTCATTATCAGCGTATTTTAAACTATTTTTAAACTTGTCCCAATTCATTGTTAGTTCTGGTTTAAAAAGTCTGAAAAGAAGTATATTAAATTAAAATTATATTAAAATATCATGAATTTATTAGCAGTGCTTATTAGCACCATAATTATATTACAGCATAATACCATATTATTTAATAAATGTACATTTCGTACAAAGAGTTTTATAAAGCTAGTATAATGAATATAAAATTGATCCTTTTTGTCTATTTATATATCATTGCATATATTCGAAGCATAATGCCCAAAAGATGAGCTTTATGACGAGTTTACTAATTGTAAATACAAGTTATGAAACTGTTATTATTCATAATATAATTAATATTTTACGTTGGGATAAATGATATTTTAAGTCAACATTGGAAGGAACATAAGTTAAAAACGGAACATGTGATGTAACAATGTACATTATTTTGTTTACTCAATATTTTGTTTGCATTTTACTTACAAAAAAAATTCTGCCGTCACTAATTATTACAATATAATATTAATTAATAAAGTCTCCCAAATTACGTAAACCAAGTTCTGAACAGAAAGTTCACGTTAAAATCCAAAGCAAACAAAATTTTAAATCATGGGATTATATTTGCTACAAGAGTCCAACCCTGGTATTCAGAACGAAAACAGGACGCACATGTGCCAAATAAAAAAAAAACAAAAAAGAAGTATTCGTTTAAATATATACAAAGTCTGTGAGAGGGGTCTTATAAAATAATAGTTCATCTTAGTTGTAGTAATAACAAATGTTATCTGCAACTTAAACTATGTCAAAGCTGAAGTTTTCTCATTACGTGTTGTTAGTTTAAAATGCGACTAACCAAATAATAATAATTGTTTTCATTTCATTCAAAGCTTGCTAAATACAAATGCATTATGCTCGGAGCGTGCATGTGCCAAGCACCTGCGTTAGAGATTTAATGTTATGAGCTCGTAGTTGTGTGTAGTCATTATCAAAAATTTCAAAAGTACCTATTTTTTAAAGTAATGTAGTAAACTGCAGAGAAGTTAACTTTATAACTCTTAGCATGAATTATGACATATACTGGGTAATAAATAAACATGTATATAAAAGAAATATTTAAAAATATGTGACAGCCTTAATATTATCTTAATGTAATTAAAGTTAATTTTAATTTGTGAATTAGACTACAGCTTTAATGTATGAAACGTTCGATATACTTACGGACTAATACAGTGCATGTATGAGGATATGTGGTCGGACTTAAAGATGTTGAAGAGGCTTGTGAAACCAGTGCAATTGGACCACTGAGCGTCTGGTGCCATAAGCATACCCACCGCCTTACCGTTGCAGATCAATGGCGCACCATACATTCCCTTTCCGAATAATATATGTATGTATATCAGTGTACACGTCTTAAGAGATTTGTTCAAAAATCATGATTTGCAAAAGATCAACTAATGGCATCGGAGATAATGAATGTATATAGTATTTGCATATTATATAAGTGTTTTTTTGATTACATACTCGTATTTCAGTGTTTAATAAAATATACAAAACTTACATGGCAGGGCTGTGCTTCCCTTTCGGGCTAGAAAAAGTTATCATTGAAATTTATATTTATCATTGAAATTAATATTTGCATCAAAAGAATAATTGTAGATTCATACATCTTTGAGACAAACGGTGGCAGTCTTATCAAAGTTTCCCATGTACCCAAGATTAGCCATGGCCTTTTGAAATTTGAGCTTTATAGCGTTGCACCAAACGTTCTTTTTCCCTATGACGAGAAACTGAGTGCGGACGTTGCGTTGCAGAAGGAACTTATTAGTTGGATATATCTTGTCCTGTAAATAATTTAAGATATTTAACATAATATGTGTATTATATATGTAGACATTGACTTCTCTGTTTTTTTTAGATTATTATCTACGTAACTTCTTTTAAAATATTAATCATTTTAAAACAATATTTTCTTATGTTTATAAGTATCCCTTGTTTTTCTATCTTTGCTACGTTGGTTCAATGTAAAATAATGACTTACATATCAATAAATTAACAAAATCATTTCCAAATACTAAGGACTTTTTCTATGTACCTAAATATATTAGTTTTAACGAAATGCTTTCGTTGTTGGAAATTTTTCCCAAAACGGATAAACTAATTGAATGATTGATTGATTAAGATGACGGCACTTAAAATAAATTTTCTTACTATTCAGTCTAAAAATTATTAGATTTACTTAAGTTAACGTTATTTCAATTAACTTAAGTAAATTTAGACTTAACGAGGTACCTATTTGGACGGAAAACTACTTGAATATTGGATGCCCAAAAATTTATAACTATATACCACTTCTTCATTCAAATCATCGTTTTTTCTCTTGTATTGAAAAATACTACTTACTATGAATTTTAACCTATCGTATATTTCGAAGTTTTTTTTTTTAAATTTGAGCCCAATGCAGCGAAAAAGTTTTGAGCAATTCTATGAAGAAAAAGTTTGTTGAAAAGCTCAGACTTTTCTATGATTTAATGTATTCTCACAATTCATATCCATTACGCAAAAGGTGAAATTTTATTCCAATAAAAAATATTGTCCCCTTGCCTAATTAACACAGTTCGGACTAACTTTTAAATCCAATGTGCACTCCCTGATAAACTCTTTGATGGTAACTTTTCCGTTTGTTAAATAAAAGCATTCAAGCTTTATTACTTTTATGACAAGGAAATTAAAAAATGTTTCTAAATAAAAAACAAATTAAGATAGATTTAATATTTTTTGTTTAAGAAAATACCCTGCTATCTTTATAATTTTCGTAACAAAATATTGATTTTCTCATTTAAAAGTCATACTAGCTGACCCGGCAGACTACGTACTGCCTCAATCAAGAAATAAATTATGTCTTATTTATTTTTTTGGTTTACCTTTAAGCCATAAATCTCCGTGTTCTGAAGTGCGACAAAATGATTGACATATTAGTTAGTTGTCAAATCTAATGTCAAAAAAAACGTTTGTATGGGAAATAGAAAAGGGCTGTTTTTATGGTTTTCCCAGTAATGAATCAATTTTTTTCAGCTTTTATACCTTTCCTGAAACGGAACGAACATTTCACGACTAAGATAAGATAAATCCGTTCAGCTGTTCTCGAGTTTTAGCGAGACTAAGGAACAGCAATCCATTTTTATATATATAGAAGATTATACCACCAGTCATTATCTTTTTTAAAAGCAATCCAGTCTTATCCCAAGATGTCTACATACTACATATATCTACCTGAACATAAATGTATTTTAAATTAAAATATTATTTCCAAAAAACACCTACTTCAAATTAAATTCACTTAAAATTATATTTCATTTGAACGTTTTATTTACACAGGTTTTGGTAAAACTTTATAAACCCAAAAATTTTTGAATGAATGGCGTGCTAATTTTAGTTATTAAATTAAGCTTAACAAAGTTTAGACCAAAATGGCGTTGTGTTAATTAAAAATTTTAAACAACAGAAACAGATTTATATACACCAAAACTAAAACAAAGCTGCAACTACTTCGTTGGTCAACTAGCGGTAGTTAAATACTGGTTTGTTATATTAATTTACTATTTTAGTTGCAAGTGGTAAGTTCTTGTCATATGAACTCTAAAGAATAAACAGAAATATAGAGAATAGATTTTTAATTGGTAATTCCACTTTGTATATCAATTATTCTTCCATAGCCGCGGCCCGGTCATAACCGTACACCTGAGCATGCGGCAAAATTAATCCATTATTAATGATCGGACATACATCGAGACACGACTGTAATTCTTATAATATATCTTATTTATTCTGAAAGTAATACTCTTTAATATTTAGCAAACTCTAGCTCAAAACATAAAATTACTAATAACCAATTACGCTGATTAGTGAAACTAACTGTATCTTTTTGTAAACATGATAGAAAAACAGCTATTTTTAGTGTGATGCTTGTTACAACGAAGATGACTATTGTCTATCAATTACACCATTTTATTCATGTAACGAGATACGTACTTCATCAGACCGCTCAATAAAGTTATTCAACGCAATTGACAAGCTGGCATGCATTTATTGCGTTGGTGTGTGTTTATTGTTTGTATGTGAGGTTATAAAATTATGTCTGTTATTTCATAAGTTCGCAGATGAGAATACACAGTACGGCTTTGTCTAATTAATAAATACATTCATTTGACTGCTTTACGTATTTCGCTAATACTTAACTCAATTTCAATTCCTATTCTGGTATATTGTATTTCGTCGTTGTATTATTCATTTAATGAGATCATTCATTGTCAGTTTCATATAACGTCTTTATATATCTTCTTCTACCTGGCAAATTCTTAGCTTTAGCCAGGGTCTGCCTTACATGTTGTGTATAGTTTTGGCTAATTGTGTTTACGACCGGCCGCTTGACTGACATCAACCCTCTTTGGGACTGCATTAATCAGCAATGTCTACATATTCTTAGAAAGTACATATGACTCGGAAAAATCACATTGGTATTTACCAGGATCGAACCAGCGCCCTCGTGTATGAGAGGCGGATCTTTCAACCACTAGGCCACCACTGAGGTCTTTATATATCTTCTTCTTCTACCTGGCACTTTCCCAGCTTTAGCCAGGGTCTGCCTTACATGTTGTGAATAGTTTTGGCTAATTGTTTTTACGACCGGCCGCCTGGCTGACAGCAACCCTCTTTTTTTATGTTATGTTAAAGGTGGCAAATGAGCAGACGGCCCACTTGATGGGAGGTGGTTACCGTCGCCTATGGACATCCGCAACATCATTGTTGCGGATACGTTGCCGACCTTGTTTTTTTTAAGGATAGGGAGGGGTGGGAATAAGGAAATGGTAGGAAAGAGTGGGAATAAGGAAAGGCCAACCGGCTCTCTCACTCATCGGACGAAACGCCACTAAAAGCTACTTCATGCCGATCTTCTGTGAGAGGGTGGTACTTTCCCGATCGAGCCAGCCCATGTTCGAGCTGTAGTACCTGACCACAGCTAGGCTCTACCACCTCAAAAGCATTTTGGGAAAGCATTAATCAGTGATGTCTAAATACTCTTAGAAAGTACATATATAACTCGGAAAAATCACATTGATACTTGCCCGGGCCAGGATCGAACTCGCGCCCACCAGCATGAGAGGCGGGCCTGTTAACCACTAGGCCACCACTGACTCTTTAAATATTATATGTATGTAAAATATTGAAATCATTTCACTGTTTAATATATAATGGATTGATTTGAAGTGATTTCGCTTCAAACCAAAAAGACGAAACTAAAATAAAACTTTAAGGCCTCGGCCTCGAATCTCGCGGGTAGCGGGGCGGCAGCGGCGGCGGCACGGAAACGCATACTATTCTCCAAACTAGCGGGCAACGGGCACGGAGAAATGTATGCGTTTTCGTGCCGCCGCCGCTGCCGCCCCGCTACCCGCGAGATTCGAGGCCGAGGCCTAAGAGACTTCAATATCGCCTTAACACAAGCACTTAAATATATACATTTGCACCACAATTGGTCTAAATTGGTTAAGCCTTTTTAAGTTAGAACCGCCCTTAGTTACAAACTCTAATGCATAAATATAGTTAGAATTATTAAAGTCTTTGGTTTAATCTCCAGTAAGTTTTCATTTAATACGTTATATTGTACTGTTCCCCCGAGTAGTACGATCAAAGGAAATACTGGTTGAAGTAAATTTTAATAATCTCTTTGCATAAATAATTTGTTTGAAAAAAAAACCATATGTAACTTCCAGTTCCTCTTTGATATAAAATAATTAGACTGCTATGAAATTACTCTTATAGTATTTTACTTGTTATTAAAATATACCTACTCAGTTTAAAGTACTTTTAATATTAAGTAGATTCTTGAAGAAAAGCTAGATAATATATTTTAGGGACGATCTTTCAACGTTGAATAAAATACTTCCGATATAGCCATTAATATATATTCAAATGTTAATTGATATTTTTATTTAAATTTGAATGTTTCCATATTAATATGTCTGGATGATTAATTAATTGTGCTATATGAGAAAATTATTGAGAAGGTGTGCAATAATTTTTGGTATAACTAATACAAGTAGGTACTTGTGATTCCTCACAAATAAATCCGCAATGATATTCGCCTAACTGTTATAGTTTTAGACGCAATTATAGATTAGACCACTAGTGGAGGTATTGCTATTATGATATTAAACCATGTAAATTTGAATAATTTCATAATTAATGCTGATAACGTACGTGCAATAACTGCTTTAAATTATTTGAATGGGCCTCTTCGTTTTGAAGGCTTTATGTAACGTATTAAAAAAATTGTAGTTGTAATCTAATATTATTTAAAAAAAGGCTTTTACTTTAAGAGCATTAAAATATTAAAAAAAAAGTTAAAAATCAAATTTCAAATGCTATGTCTAATTGATATACAAAAAACAAATCCATTAGAGATAACAGATTAATTGGATAGCATTTTATTCGAATGAAATTCGTAAGTTAGAAAACGCTCGTTTCAATGTATCAAAATTATATTTTGCAATAAAACAAACGAACCATAGTAAATTTATTAACTAATGAGAAATGATGATTTCAGAAAGACTTTAATACTCCTTTGGAATTAGAATTTAGGTATAGTGCTTTCAAATACAATACACTTTCAAATACAATACACCTTTAATAATTGCTTTGTTCTAAGAAATTAAAATCACACTTTACAGCTCTGTGTGAAGAAGATTATTGTTAAATTATAGCGTTCGCAGATATTTTTTGATCACCTTGCAGTTTGCATTTCCAATCATTTGGCAAAAGGAAAATATACTAAAATCATGATGGTTCACTAAGTTTACTCTCTTGAATAACAGAGTAGTATAATTGCATAAGTCTTATGTTTTAAAAAATACTAATGAGGAAATCTGAAATATCTAATGTGTACTAAAATAAATGTAACACTAATTTAATAGTCAACTTTTTAATAAAATTTACTTTTCCCTTTGTGGTTCCAATGTCTATCGTATTTTTACTACATATACTAAACATCATTTTAAATATTATAAACAACTATTAAACTTATTCAACTATTGTATAAATAAAAGTGTTTAACAAGTAAGAATTAAATATATAATACATACATGCAACGTTTTGTAACACAAATGCTAAAATATAAGTAGTGTCAAGAACTCACCCCTTTGTAGAAGAAATGCCAGCCCACCGCTAAGCATTCCTCGTGTAGTGACAATACTTCTTCACCACTGTAGTCTATCTGAAGAGGACGAAGCGGAATTTCTGCTAAAACATCCGGTACTTGACGCGCCAGTAACAATATGGCAGGTGCTTCTTGAATCATATAAGCTCGTTCAGCGGTCGCGTTAGATACTAGAATCATTTAAATAATAGTATATTTTAACTACTATCGGGTTATAAACATCTTAAAAATTCGTATAAGTTAGCATTTAACATCATAGAATAGAAAACTTTAAATAGAAAATTTGAATCCTGTCTTTCGGTTTTTAATTAGACACCGATAAATCTATAATATTTTTCAGCTTATAGTAGGATCAAATATTGGTTAGATTATTGCAGTGTAAGTATTGATTAGATTATTGCAGTGCAGCGCCTCTTTAGAATTCAGCAAAAAATAACCTCTACATTCAGACTAAGCCTTAGCTTTTTCAGTTTGAATCTACATCTTTTAACAGCAACTTCTATGGAATATATGAGAACTTACTTACTTAATTTATAAGTTTCAAATAGAACTACTCACTAGCCCTCTTCGTGTTGTTACTTTGAAAGGATTTCGAAACTTCTTGGATCTTATGTATATGACGTTTAGTCAGAACTTAATAACTTTCTCAAAGCGTACGTAAGTTATGGAGAATGCTTGTATCACTGTTAAGATTATTAATACTCTCTAGCGTTTTAATTTATTTGATAAAAACTACTCTAAAACTCAGTTTATTTTTTTAAATTAATTAAGACTCAAAAAGTAATAACGTCTGAATAATTTTCACTTCGAAATATTTAAATGTATTTTCAACGTTGGATTCTCTCCTATTGCCCCTTTTTAATGTTTTAATTTAGAGAACTTACTTTTTGAGAATCATCTAAATTAATGAAAAAGTACTTTTAATAGCAATATCAATGGGCCGCTTATTGAGTTTGATACTTTTAATTTATTTATCTAGCAATTGTAAATCAGCTTTTTCGATGAAGCATAAATAACGATTGTTTCAGTCAATTCAGTTAGGATCACTTGAGTTCAAATGTCAATAATTTATCTGGATCGTAATAAAAAAATATTTCACATAAAAATAGAAAAGGTAATAATTATAAATTACATATTATTAATTAATACATAGGCATAACAAAAATTGCCAAAATTGTTGTAATACAAATATTTCTAATTCGAAATGGAACGTATTTCATACCTAAAATAAAAATTTAAGTTTTTAAAATAATTGCTTGCTAGAAACGTTCAGGTTTAAACGTATTTAAACGTTTATGTTATGTCTACTTTGCCTTAAACATTTGTCACATTAATTACTAATTAATTGGATGTTTTATAATAATAATAATAATTTAAAACATTTATTATTGAGTTGAAATTGTATAACATGATTGCATATAAAAAATAGTAAAGATGCTATATTTCTTTTTAAGACTAGGTAAATATCTTCTCTTTAAATAGCAACCATAATACGTTTAGATAATCTTCCTTGGATTTATACTCACGTTTGGGTATGATTATCTTTGTAACTTGCACTCTAATGCCGCGTCGCGGGTGTCTATAATAGGTTGCGGTTATCACATTGACGGGACGAGTGTCATGGTATGGCATTGCCGGGTTCACGACGCAAACAGCCGCTGTTATGACCGCTGTTCGGGATACGAGAGTACCCATACAAATGCCGCGATAGTGGGACAAGAAGTACACCTATCAAATTAATGATATTAATTTTAGACAACCACACAGACATAACCACAAGTAGAAAAAAGTCTTACTGCTAGTACGTAGTAGTACAGTTACTACAGTACTACAGTTTTGCACGTGCAAGACTGTAGTTAGATTGATGAACGTGTTTGTTACCTTTTCATACCATGTAAAAATAAAGTTTAAAAATAAGTTAGCTTTAGCTGTACGAGTATTTGAAGTAGGTTATTTTAGAGACCATTAATGGTTAAGGGACTGAAGTACCTGCAAGGGGCTAAAGTGGGAAAAATATACATACATCGACTAGTTTTAATGCTTGTTATTTCCGTTTAATTATAGGCTTGATTAGACACATATATAGGTAGTAATTTTAGTACATACGTTTATGTAATAATTTCCACATTTCACTGTGAGATAATACTACGATGAGTAATTAGACAACTACTGCTATTAACAGCTAATGTATTTCTAATTCAGATAGGTTAATTGATTAAATAAGGGATCTAATGTAGTAAGTATGTTATCTAACATAATTAATAGTCGAATTATTCAAGCAAATAATAGAGCTTCCCGAATTGCGTAGGTGATCGTAAAATATACATTGGACGAGATATTCTTTAAAAAAATGTTAAACTCAACTTCAATATAAATGATTGGTATTCTGAATTTACACTTTACATTTTCATCATTTAAAAATATAGGTACATTTCATACTTTAAGAGACTTTTTAAAAGACTCCAAGCAAGTTTAGAGTAGATTTTATGATTAAAAAATATATATATTAACAAACCCTGCTAACAAAGATATATGTTCATTTAATACATAAACCAGAAAGCATTTAACAATATCTATAGCTTCAGAATTTTCGTAATGACATATAATGTATTACGAATATTATGGAAAATATTAGGGAATAGAAATACTGGTATTTTATATGTTATGCAAACTTATCACATCTTAAATTACCTTTAAGATGTGATAAGTCTTAATATAAACTTATGTCACTAAGATGATTGAAATTTTGTTAGACTTATTTGGTCTATGGCATAATTGTGTGTCTGTTAATTCATAATTCGGATGGATTTCATACGCAGTTACAAGCCGAATCTTTAAAAACATTCTTTCATTACAAAACATCACTTTAATTCAGTGATTTGTTTAAATTTTACACCTGTGATAACAGTCTCCATGTTTCACTGTTTTAATCACAAACCGATATATAGTACTTTTGTTTTGTTTTTGCTCATTTGAATGGTTTGATTAAACTATTTTAATAAAATGACCAACAAGAAACTTTTTCTAACCGTCATATCTATAATCAACTCATGTAACTATATATACTAAATAAAAAATTTTGGAGGGATTTTTCATGTAATCAAGAGATAGATCAGAAATATGAGATAATCCTACTTCCTACCGATATTATAATTGCGAAAGTTTGTGAGTGTGTGGATATGTTTGTTACTTCTTCACGCTCAAACAGCTGAACCGATTTTTATAAAATTTTGTATACAGGAAGCTGACGTCTAGGAATAGCACATAGGCTACGTCATATCCCGGAAATCAGCGGGTAACACTGCGGGGCGCGGCTAGTATTAGTTTAAAGAAAATCAATAATTTTTGAATTAAGAGTCTCTCAGACGTCAGTCTTTACTTAAAGGTTTATATTCACGGAGAAGATAATTATGCTACATAACTTATTCCGCTGCACTAATCATCAAATCCTCCTTCTTGGATGTTTCATAGAGTAATTTTGATTTCCTTTGAAATATAAATAAATAATTATTTTCAGTTATATCGGACCAAAATTATTTTAAAGCAAAAAAAATTATTTTATTGTGTTATCCATTACATCTAAAAACATTACTGAGAATTTTTCAATACTTTCATTATAGAATGAAATGGAATGGTCCAGATATCAGATTAAAATGTATAACCCAATACTTCCATTCTTTGTTCGAGATATTTTTTATATTTTATTGTTTTTATATCTAAGAAAATACATAGTAATGGTATATTTGCACTAGTTTTTGAATGAAAAATTCAACAAAATAAATGATGCCCTATGTAATTTGTACGTTCAAAATATTAAGGAAAGAAAGTATGTATGGAATTAATAACTCTCGGTCTTGCATTTATATAATAATCTTACCATAAAAGGCACCGATCCTTCTCTGGGTTTGAAAGGTTCTCTTCCGAGACAAAGCGTGAACCATCCTTGAATAAAAGCATTGTATTCCTCAGTAAAAATAAGAATTTTGTTTCCATACCAAAAATTATTGTATAAAATATGAATCCTAAGAACTAACAATATTATAACAAAAATGTTACATCAAAAGCGTATCAAAGTATTAAAAGGAGTAATATGAATAAAAAATATTCACCCAAAACAAAGAACATATATTTTTTCATTGCAATCTAAAAAACAAACGAGCGAGTAATCAACAGAAAGAGAAAGGTTCGTTAAAATTTAACCAAAGCATGACTAAGAAAATAATATAAAGGTGTTACTGATTAATATTCAGTTACTGTTTTTTTTATATTTACAACTCTTTATAAATTGTTAACTAGCTTTTGACAATAACTTCATCTGCATATATTTAATTTAGTTTATCTCGTTCCGGACACTAGATTTTATAGTTCTAAAAAATTATCGACACTGTGACACGGCGATCTAGTTTGGTTTTAACATCTCTGTTTTTATATTAAGAATCACATATTTCATACTTCACAAGGAAAATAAAAAAAATAATCTAAGTTAATATCATAATGAGATCTAAAATTTTCGCGAGTAATTATTTAAATGAAACTAATATCTCTCGGATGTACTACCCAATTTTATTTTTTGTATCAAAAACTACATACTCCCGACATTTCGGCTACTTTAGAGCAACCGTGATCACCGCGTAGTACGAGTACATACGAAACATTAGTTTAATTTATGTTAATACCATCTAAATAAAATAAAATAAAATAATTACTTTATTCCATGATTTTCACTCTACTCCCCTTATAGATGCACAACTAGCAAAGGTTATTAATTTATCATTTAATTGAAAACCAGATATTACAAATATTGGTTCATAGAAACCTAAATTAACGAAGACTTCAAAGACCTTATACATACGAATTTCTCTCGATATCGGAATACTAACATCATGTATAAATCAATATATGTATTTGCCGTTCGTTTATGATTTGTACCTGGTTATTTACAACCAATATACTATTCATCTTATATAAATCTACATAGTAACTGCACTTCATCCCCTTAGGGCTGGTACATTCTAAGAGATATTATTAAATAAATTAATCACTTAACCAGTACCTATTTTGTACTCAATTTAAATCTGAAACTAACCTAAACTGATCAATCTTAATAGAATTACTTAAATTATTTCATTTCTCTTTTCTAATATTTAAAAATATTTTTTTTGCAAACCGATTTCTCCTAAAAATATGGATTGTCGAAAAATTTATCTTCAAAAAATTGACTCTCAAAAAAGAAGAATATATATAGATATGGACTTATATAAAGGAATAAAAATAAATAAAAACATGGCTTATAAATTCATATTACAAAACGTATTTCTGCTTTAGTAAATTCGTTAATATTGAATGCAATATCGGTTTATTGAAATTGTGAGAGCTTTGAAACACAGTCCATTTTCATTTCGTTAATTTAGATCGCTTTAATTTATTTTATCAATGGATACTCCATCTGAACATTATTTAATATTAAATATTTTATTAATATAAATGTTTACTATCTTCTAATTGACTTATGACAATTAGTGACATAAAATAAGTATTAAGAATATGAGTTAAAAAACATATACATCATAAAAATACACGGAAACATATTAGAAATTCTTTGGTCGAATTTAGTAGCTTTTTGAGAAGAATTAAATAAGGCTGAGAGATCTCTACAATACCTCTTTTACATATTTATTGCGTAAATTTGTTTCGAATTGAGAAAAACTATGTTTAGAACTTTATTTAAAAAAGAAAAGATTTTATGCTTATTCAGTCAAAATATACCAATAAAAAAGTTACGTGAAAAAATTTCAAATAACAAATATAAGGATTACATGACTCCATTCTATTGCTGTGCTTGGCTTCCGAATATTTTGAAACGTGCTAAGTCCTCTGTACATATTTTCTGTTTCTCTTTTATACTGTGTAATATATTTTATTGATACACACTCTTAATATATTTTTTTAATATATATGTAATAGAATATATGTACAATAGAATATATAGGTACAAAATTAAAACATATTGAATCTCTCTCCAATAATATTATTATACATAGTATATTAAAGAAGACCTACAAGATTACATTGAAATGCAAAAGAGGTCCTACCTACGGCCACAATCATTTTGAAAATAAAGTCAGCTTCATATGCACTATAAAAAAATTCTAATTCTTATAGAATAAGCAGTTATTTGTCATAGCTACACAAAAATTTTAACAAACAAAAATTATCAACTTTATTCCCCTTATGCTATCTAAATTAAAATTAACTATTAAAAAAATAGTCTTCAGCAAAAGCAAACTATTTGGTCAGTGACTATAGTTACTTTTTTAAAGAGTATAACCGTATTTATCTTATTTAAAAGACAAACATTCTTTTACATTTTTTATTTACATTATCCAAAATAATGTTCAATCACATCATCGAATGGAAATGAAACAAAGGAAAATATAGAGAAACTGAATAGTAACAGAAGAAAAAGCAAAGCAACTTCATCGGTAAGGAAATCCGGTCATCGGGAAAGGCTATAAATTTTGCCTGGCTGCAGGGATCGAGCTTAAGGGCGGGGGCGTGTGCAAAAAGGACCGAGAGACATCCCGACAGATCGATAGGGGAGCCAGCGCCACTTGCGACTCGATCTCTGAAGTGATCGCACGCTTCGCAGACCGCTTCGTCGCTTCTCAGTATACTTCGACGCTCTAAAGGATCAGTTATGGAGGTGAGTGGTATTTACATGGAGCTCGCTTCGCGCGTCTTTATTAATTGAGTTTGATTTCCTGCAATTTACTATTTGAGTTTGATCGTTAAATATCGTTTTACATTGAATTGACTTTTAAATTGTTTTAGAATTTTTTCTTTTCATATTATAGCATCGCTTTTCAATTATATCTTTCATAGATTTATAATAATAAAATAAATTTTTCATTAACATATTATGCAGATAAACTGTAGATGTCTAAGGATGCTCCTTTGTGCATATGTCTCTCCTGGTTTCTTGTTTCTATAGGGTATTACTAAATGTAATGCCATATATCCTCAAAGAGCGTAAATAGGCATCGCATTTTAATATTTTTTTTTTCAACGCAAATCGATAGCTTCTTCATGAGACGTTTGTTTGTAGTTGGCTCCCGTGTTTATAATGTTCACTCTTTGTTAGAAGTAAATAGGTCAGGGGTCGTTTTATCTGATGGCTCGCAAATACCGTCCTTTTTTTAATTTAAACGAACAATTAATTTGTTATTTTGTTCGTATAATTTTATTTTAATAGCTGATGTTTCGTGATGGAAACGATACTTTACCGCTTTGCCGATTTCTAAAACCGTTTACAAAATTAAATATAATTTATTAAATAATTCGTATTTAATATGCTTTATATTGTTTCGTACAGACATATTATATTGGTTTAAATTAAACGAAAAAAGCAATATATCTTAAAGTAGAAAGTCGTGGTGCTGACGGATGTAACGAACTCTGTACCGGTAGACCCTCACTTCCTGTGTCAACAATAATGAGTGGTATAACAATAATAAGACACAAACCCACAATAGCATGTTATAAAATAACAAACAGCTGGCTCCTGGACAGACGTTATCGCCATTTGAACTCCAGTTCTCTGTCTATTTTAGTAATGGCGCCGGTTTAAGGATGATGACACAAGAAAGATATGAACTATAACAACATAAATTTAAACATACTAAATGATCAAATATTTTAACCTATTTAAAAATACGTATAAACAATATTTACACAATTATTAAATGAATCAAAAAATTAAGGTAGGAAATATTTTCTAAAAATATTTTATTCAAACGTAATCAATTGATTCTTGTTTAATTATTTGAATAAATTTAAAAATGAAATATTGAATATAATCTATTGGTTTGTGTGTCCGGGCCCTAAACCAAAATGTCATTGACTGCACATTTATTTTTATTTTATTATCTGCATGTGAACTTTTATCTCAACGGCAAGGCTATATAAATAGTGTGTGTTTAAAATATATTAATGTTTTCGTCTAAAAAAGGCAACTAAAAATTGGGTTTGTTTCTGGGGTGAAACTGCGATTATTTTTTACAGACATTGTATTACACATACAATTATATGATTTCTATTAATCGTGACGTAATTTAAATAAACATTGGTACATTTATTCCCCTAATTTATTAGTACTATTTATTTAAACACTTTATTGCTTAATGTAAATTTTTATATTAAACTAAAAACATTCAGATCTAATATAAAAAAACAATTAATTTAGAAAAAAAGAAGAAAGAAAAACGTTGGAGGTAAATTATTAAAAAGAATATAATTAAAATGTGCGCTGTTTATTAATAATACTATACCATTTTGATCTCTCATATCAAATACCGAAAGTTCAATATCAAAACATAACATATAACAAAAAAAATCCGTCTACAAATATATGTTTTTCTTAAAATGAATTTCTGAATTTCCGTCAATTTAAAGTGATATAGTATTTTATATCTTATCCTATCTTAACATTATGTTTTTGGTGCGATGCCATTTTCAGTAAATATGTTATATGTATAAGACAAATACGATCAGCACTTTAAAACATCAAAAGATCTTTTTCATTATAATTTTAAGGATTCACGAGTCAAATTAGTCTCAAAGTCATCCATGTTCAGTTGATAAAAAATGGACACTCAAGAGAAAAATGAGGTTTTTGTTATGTCTCAGTCAATGAACACATCAATAATAAAAATCTACACTCTATAAGCATAGTTGAAGTGGAACCAAGCCATACAAGTATATAAACAATCAAGTTGAAATCTTTTTATTCATACCTTGTTTCCCGTAAACGGGCGATAATTTATTTGTACATAATTAATACCATTACAAAATATTATTCAATAAAATCAAAAAACGCAATGCGATTTGATTAATGCCAGGCGAAAATGAAGTATATTTCTTTGCAATGTATTAATAACAGCGAAAGCGTGTCCACAAATTTTCTTCATACTAAAATTTTAGAAAAAAACACTTGTGGAGTTAAATTAACAAACATTAAAATTAACTAACATTGGATTGTTTTTACAATGAATTAACGAGGAATAATTACATTCCTTATAGTTACGATGACCCGGTTTGTTACTTAATCTTATGAAAATACATGAATAGTTTTTTATAAGTACGAAAAAAATATTATAATTCGGATTTGTAACCAGAGCGTACTTACGTTATTAACATTAAATAATAACCGTAATAAATATTGCGTAAAATTGTCGTTGCTACTAGTTTTTACATAAAAAAAGATATGTATATGTAGCATTACAGTCTTAACGAGAATTAACAATTTAGAAAATGTTTATAAAGTTTTACTGGGTATTCATAAAGTGTATTTATTTAGTATAATCGTTGGTGGCTGATGATGGTGGCGCTGGTGGTGGTTTCGGTCTCTATGTCCCTGGCCGAGCCTCGGTCCGACCATGAGCTAGTGCGTACCGAACGCGGCGCTAAAAATAAAGGTTAGTAGCTAAAACTATTTATATCCTGGGATGTTATATTATCATTAATTATTCTGTAGAAAATATTACTGTTACTATTTATAATATAGAGAATATTACCAGTTATATAGAGATGCAGAAACTTATTGAGTCAAACCACAATTTCATATTATCATATACGAGTTAATATTGGGAAGTTAAGATAATATTATGGCAAGCTTCAAGGCTTATCGGAAAGCAATGTTTCACCTCAACGGCTTTTGAAGTTTGCTTTATAGTTTCATACAGTATAATACGTCATTTAACTTATATTACTTATAAAATGTATCAACTTACGTTTTAATATTAAATATTTGTTATAAACTTAGAATAGACAGGTTGAAAGAGGTCGCTTTTTTAAGTTATTGACTTAAAATGTTCAGTAATGGACAAAAATAAAATTAAAAACGTATTTCAAACTAGTAAGTACTTAAAATATAGTGTATAACACAGGCAAATTGCTTGTGTAGAAATCTCTTCCGTGACAGACTAAAAGTGTCGCCGACATACCACGTATAAATAAAAGGGTTCATTGTGGAGATTCCTGGTCCAAATTAGAGCGAAGCTTTACTTTTTGCATCTTCGTGCTGTGGCCCTTTAAACCCTTCTTATAACAAATGGTTATAAGAAGTGTTTGTTTTGTTTAAAGAAGTATTATAATACAAGCAATTTCTTTTAACAAAGCACAAAATTAAAGTGCAAATAAAATCTTCGTGTCGTCGAATTGTGCTAGCTTTTTTGGTGCCAAGTCTAACATCTACATAGGTTTAAATTTTAAGGTTAAGCTAGGTTAATTGAATTAGAAATATATTTTTTATAGGTGTAATCCGAATAATTAATGTTTTTAACAGTATGAACAGCTCCATAGGCTAAATTCATGTTTTCTTACACTTCAGTAAAACTTGCAGCAAAAACACCTTTAGTTTAGAAAGCCATTCTATAAGATGTAATAGAAAAACAGTAACTGCTTATTTATGATAAGTTTTTATGTTTATCTTTTATAGTATTATATCTGATACAATTTACATTTACAGACAGACTGTAAACTATTTTCAATTTACATCATTTCTCATTTTTTCTCGGACTGTCACAAGTCGAAATACAAATGAATGCATAGCAAGGAGAATTTGAAATTCGCTGGACGAAGAAGAAAAATGTTCTTATATGTAGTAGTAGCATTATTTACTATCATCTGTTTGACATATACCATCTATTTATGATGTATGCCGAACTTTAATAAGCAGATTGAATTGAAAATTTAAAAAACATTCAACTTGCCAGGTAAAGATTAAAAAAAACTATTTCAAAATTTTAATAGGATACTTTTTCCAATAATAATACGCAGGATCTGATGAAAAATTCACTTTATCCGGATTTATATATAACCATTTTTTTATTCTCAATAAAGTCCTCGCGCTAGTCTTGTCCTAGCTGTTCTAGTAGTGGTATGTGAACGGTAATCATACGTCAAACTAATTAATTCTGCCATCGACCTCCGCGACCACTTCATGATTTGATTGTTCGTCAGGTAGTTTCTAACGAACATGTTATAGTTAATAACTTGATCGGTGTGCAATTATCGTGAGACATAAAAAATGTTACTTACAACTCCTTTTTTTTGAATTAGACGCTATCAAGGATCGTATGGAACACATACATGTTAAAAATAAAAACATATACATGTTAATAATACATGATATGATAATCGTTAATTTCCAAAGTGTCATCTCGATTGTAATTCCATTGAATAAGGCCCTGTAAAAACAATTTTACTGTGTTTCAATTCAAGCGACGAAAATAGCAAAATTGTGTCACCCACGATTAATTATGCAGTAAAATAATGTACAGCGTGAAAACAATATAACAATTTACTAATTGAGATACATAACTTTTATACGTCTGTTTACATATATTTGGTTAGCTCAAAAAAAAATTTTCAATATTGTAATTAACCTATGTTATTACGTTAGTTAATAATTTCATAATAGTTTCTATTTTATTATCCAGGATGGTTATATGTCCTGAGATCTCGTTTGCTCTTTGTCACTCTGGGTAATCAGTTTCACTGACCTTACATGACCCAGAAGATGACTGGCAATAGCGCGAGAACGATAATATTATAAATTCAATTATGAGGTCTTTTTATATATCACATATACGACTTCTTTGTGAATTACACAATTATGAAAATAATATGTTAAATATTTGTCTTTTGGAATTAGGAATCTATAATAAGGAAAAGTTTTGTTGCATAACTTTTTTCAGACCAAAAGAAATTTATATCAAGCAAACAAATACTGAAAATTGAATTTGATTGTTTATGGGATATAAATAAGACTATAATAATAATGGATGAAAAGATAATTAAAAAGAAACAAACCATAATACGGTGATATAAAATATTCTTCTTACAATACAGTTAACAACCACTTACTTAATAAGAAGTTTAAAATTATAGCTTATATCAAAAAATCAGGTACCTAGTTGTTTTTTAGAAAAAGTTTTAATTAGTGACAGTCACGGAATAACTGCAGCTGTCAGATTTAGAAAACATAAATTCCGACTGTCGTGCTTTATTTTGCCGACAATTCCAGCGATCTCAAAATAAATCGTTAGTTTGTTACACATGTTGCCAGTTCTCAGAACAGTCCTCATTATATTAAGTGCATATATGATTGTTTCTTACATAAACTTGTATTTTACTTGAAATTTATACAAAAATTAATAATGTAATTTTTTTAGTGAATTCTTACAACTCAGTTTTGAAACAGATGTCTTCAATTGATGTAGGTTCATGAAATAAAAAAATACAGTTTTTTTTCGTTAAATCATTATTATTAACCAAATCGCAAAAATGAGTAGGTACTTAAATCTCATTTCAAGCTATAATATCCTATAAATTATGTTATGACCTTTTAGTTAGCAGTAATACCTATTAATATTTTTTTATTTAATTTTTAATATGAAATTTTGGAGTAAGTAAACCGTTACTAATTTATTATTGATATAATGACAATTTTTTAGAGACTTGCCGCTATGTTCGCGGAGCGTGGTCCGAATGTGACCCCAAGACGAACGTGCGTTCACGCACTCTTACTCTCAAAAAAGGAGACCCTATCAACTGTGAACGTGCTAAAACCATACAGAAAAAGTGTAAAAAAGGTAACATAAACTTTTTATAAAACAAGAAAATAGTTAAAAATGTGTTGAAAATGTATTTTATTTTAGTCAAAATTGGTGTTGGGGGCTACGACATAAATAAAACTTACCAAGGCCATCTCATAATAAGTAGACCGAAGCACTCTCGTCTCGCTCAGTAAAGAGCTAAAGAGGGCACTATAATTTATACAATCTAAAATGCCTTAGGTGCCTAGTCACAGCTTTTTACTCTTTAAATCATGAACCGCTTTACCTTGCACTGCGCTCATGTCATAAGTGCCGTAGGGCCAACAGCTACATAAAACCATTTCAAACTATAAATGTTTCCTTTTAATGCTTCAAAACTTTAAACATTTGTGACAACGTAATAGTTAGTTCAAAAATATTCTTTTCATAGCTTGTCGTTACGAAAAGTCTTCATGGAGCGAGTGCAGCCCGAATGGTGAAATGTCTCGGACGGATATGCTGAAGAATAACAGTGACCCAACCTGTGACACCAGCAGACGCGTCACAAAGAAATGCAACAAGAATAAGCAGCTTAAGTCCACCAAGGACAAGGGTAAGGTTACAAAGAGAAAACATTTACAAGAGTAACATTCGTCGATAGTTCAAGTAATCTATAAACTTTCTCATATCACTAAGCTTTTTTATTTTTTCATTCAAGTTCCTAGAATCACATTCTTTAAAATATTTAATGGAAACTTTATATTGTGTCTGTAAACAACGTTTTCTTGTAAATACGCTCTTCTGATCGTATATGCGATATTTTGTATGAAACTAATCATTAAAAATTTTTTACAGGTCGCCGAAATCGTCAGTAAATTTTTCAACACACTTTAGTAAAATAAAATTCCAATCGTTAATTCGATGGTGTTTGTTCGATGGCTCTAATTTATGTCATAGTGCCAAATAGTATCAATGGTTGTCTTTCTTTCTAATTTGCATTATATTTAATAGACGTAATTTAGCTACAACGTTACAGTACAATCTATCTTAAAATTTTCTTCTTTTAAATATGTACTAGCCACAATTTCATTTTATTACTATCTGTAAGTTGGATATTTGATATTAATAAAGGAGTACTTAAAATTAACTTTTTTTATTACCTAAATTCTTATTAATATAAGAGTTCAAACTATAAACCTTATTTTAACGTAATAATACACATCCTCATTATTTTTTAAATACATAATTACCATCTCATATACATAAATGCGTACTTATTAATTAATAAAAAAATAAACATACAATGTTGTTTTCATAAAATTATATAAAAAATAAGCAATTTTAAAACAGAAAACTGTACTTGAAGATTTTCTTTATATTTTCTTGTCAATAACACCTCTACCTATTGCTTTCTCGTCAGTATTATAGTCTGCTCGACTCCACTTTGCATCCAAAATCTTATGCAAAACTTAGTCCCAATCAGTCTTCTAAAGCAGACAGATTTTTATATCATTATAAAATTACAGGTTTAGGAAAACTCGTTCCTTCAACATTTATACATACTATAAACTGAAACACAGTTTCACCAAGCTCTGTTTGTTAAATGTATTAAAAATCAAGTCACTACAAGCGTCAACTTGTACTAACTTTCCCAAAATTCCGGTTATTCTGAAATAAAACAATCTAAATCAAATACTGATTTACTAAGTTTAGATATAAGGTCATGATGGCCTTAAAATCAACGGTTCGAAACCTGGCAAGTACCTACCTATGTGATTTTTCCGAGTCATACTATGTGTACATTTTTAAGAGTATTTGGATATCACTGACAGACGGTGAGGAAAAACATCGTGAGGAAAGCTGGACTTATAATTTCAATTACAAGTTTGAAATCAACAACCCGTCTTGAGCAAGCGTGGTGATTAATGATCAAACCTTCTCCATATGAGAAGAGGACTTTGCTCAGCAGTGGGCTCTATAGGCTGATGATGCTGAAGTTTAGGTATAAATTGAGATTCTTGATTGTATCATCAAACTGTAATTAATTCTGCTGTTCTAAAAATTCTCTGAAATCTGTAAATTATTCTTCTAAAGAGTAAACTTTATTTAAAAAATTAAAAAAAAGAGAGAGACCAAGCAAAGCAACACGTAAAATATAGGCTAGAAATTCTAAAGACATCTATAGCTCCATGGCCATTCGAAAGCTTGGCGGTCAATAGCGTGGGCCTCCTATTAGAGCGGCCGTCGTCGGCCGCTGGAGTGTTCTGGAGGGTGCACAGTTGGGGGTGGATGAAAGGGCTAGACGCTTTGAGGACATTCTCCAAAACGTATGTAGAGCGGCGATGCCCCTCGCAGGATGTCACCCTCCGCGGGGAAAAGTATACCGGTGGTTGTGCTGAACGAGGCGGGGAAGGCCCTGGAGAAAAATATTATATTCCAATAGCACCCCTGCACTCCGGGCGGGGCCAGCTTGGTAACTCGGCTCCAGTGAAAACCCGGCGTCGTCGGGGTCGTCCTAATTGCCGGGATGTCCCCCATTCTCCGAGGGAGTAAGTCCGCTCTTTGCCAGGATCGGCAATTCGCTGGTGTGTCCTGTCGTTGACAGATCCGGGGTACACCAACATAGCGGCCAATGGCTTTCGCAGTAGTTTAAGTGAGTAAAGGCCTGCCCAGGTGGAGTCTCACACATATTTTCCGGCTCCACCAAGGCCGGTTGGACGGCTCATAAAAAGAGTTTCCCTGCGATATCAAAAATAAAGCCTCTTATTAGAACTTAGCTCTGGTAGGCTCGACTTAAGACTTTTAATACTTTGCCACGAATTTTTTGGGGTTTAAAGATAAGGAGGCAAATTTCAAAACATCGCTGTTTAAAAAAATCTCTAATAGGACCGAAAAGAATTACATTTTCTATTATGATCGAACTCTAGAAGAAATTTCAACTTGAACTACGGAGAAAGACTAATGTTAAATACTCGTAGACGTAGTGTAGTTCACAAAATTAAAAAATATATGTATATATACGGCCCGTTTCAGCGATAATATTAACAATAGAGCGTAAAATTTAAATATAAAAGTAAAAATACTCTATAATATTGAGATCTAAGACTCGCGAGTATTTATTTAAATGAAACTAATATGTACTTTTTGGATTATACTACGCGTATTTTATTATTCTAAAAACTACATATGCCCCTATTTAGGAAGTAGGTAGTATGTAGTTTTCACTCTATAATATTGTCTGGTAACGACTGTAAATTCATTACCATTTGATATAATTTACATAAAAATTCATCATTGCTATAAAACTATAAAAGATATATAATTCTTATCTAGCATGTAAATAAATAAATAAATTTAATTAATTTGGTTTACCGTTTGCCACAAGTGCATATACTAAGGAATAGTAAAAGGTTTTCAGCATTTTACAGTACAGAGTGAGTTTGAGTGAGTGTTGTGTGTTTTTAAAAGTGATGAAATATTTAAAACTAAAAAAATATTAAGTAAACTAATACTTAGGATAAAATGTACCTTAAAATTAAAAACACCAATCTAAGAATAATATTTTCTTAATTATTCATCTCTTAGAAAAATTCAAAACTAAATTAAATTCTCTTAACTCCGTTGGGAGGTTAAATATTTAATATATATACTTTTTTTTATAAAAATGAAAGAGTTGATTGGTTGGATTTATACTGTTTTAAGTCTTGCAGGCCTTCACTATTTTTTAAAGTGTTTTAGGACTTTGAAAACATAGTTTCATAACACTTCCCATATGTTTTGAATAAGGTATCGAAACTTTAAATTTATAAGCAACTCAAATAACGTATGTTATGTTACTGAGATATGTATATAAACATCCTTAAATTAAACACGTTCTAACTATTTTGAACATCATTGAAATGGACTTGGGCATTTGAGACTAAATAAACCTTAAGAAACTGTTCCTTCATTTGATCTGTTGAGTTTTTGGTCCTAGAATGGTTCGCCAACCATAAATTCTGATCAGAAAAGTTGAACTGAATAAAATTTCACTGTTATAATTTTGATACAAAAAAAACCTGTTCCTATTTTTCTTAAATTAAAGATTTTTTTATCTTGTATAACCATAACGAGTATATTACCACGAGATAAAAAATTTCATGGTGTCAATATACTTCCGTAAGGAAAATGCAAGTGATAGTTGAAAAGTGTTACCGTGAAGTCAAGATACTTGGAATATATTTTTTCAATAATTTCAAACATTAAAATTGTATCTCTTTGATCCCACCGTTTCTCGATAGAATGAAATATTGGATCATATTTCAAAAATGTTTTTTTTAAATTACATACTATTGTCGGTAATTCATTTATGTACTAGACATCAATTAGATCCCGTACAGTATCTACACATTCTGGAAACATATGAAACAAAGATTTTGCACTTTCAAGGATATTTTTTATACTAAAAATTAAAAGACTAATTTCATATTATAGGTTATAAATCGTCCTTTCTTTTTGAGCATACCGCTCTAACCTACTCTTTGTGAGAAGAGGCTTTTGCTCAGATGTGGACTCAATATGCTGCTGCTGCTGTTGATGATGATATTTTAAAATAAGACAGAGACGAAACCTCTTAGCATTCAATGGATTCACCGTGCGGGTGCTGGGTCCATCGTGTTGCACGGAGAGGAGCTTCAACAGTGCCTGGGACTTGCGACCCAGGTGTAGGTTTAAGGGGCCCCTGTCTAACGCGCGTTATACGCTCACTTCCACTATCCAAATTCCTCACTCTACCTAACCAAATTTGAAAAGAACCTACTAGGGCTGCCGTCAACGTAAGCTCTAAGAATTAATTAATGTGAGTTCTGGACAAGCCCAAGTCTTTTAGTAGGTTATAGAGAGATTTAGCTGTTATACTTCTCGCTCTCACCTCTACCGCATACAAATCGATAATGTTAACATGGCAGGTTAATTTAATTATATAAATAATAAATTAATGATACAATTAATTAAGTGTTACGTACAGCACAAAAACCTGCCAAGTTCAAATTTAGAAGTATTATAATTTTAGATATTTTTAACCAAGCACAACTATACCATATCTTAAGTTGGGTGTATGGTAAAGCGAATTTCGGCTAGATGGACCGTTGACGTGAATAAGGTGGCGGGTAGTGGCTGGATGTGGAAGGCAGAGGACTGGGTGTGGTGGCGAGTCTTGGGAATGGCAAATGTTTACCAGTGGATCATGCTGTTGATGAAGATGATTATGATCGATTTCAAAGTGCATCTAAACTTGGCATTAGATTGGATTTCAACCCTTTTTTAGGCAAACAATTAGCCGATTGGAACTTGGCCCCCTTTTTAACAGGCATGTTTTTGGTAAGATTTCAATACTTTTTTTCAAGAAATCGTACCTAAACAATAGAAACCTGATTTTTTAGGTAAGCAATATTTAATTAAGTTATACAGTGTGCATTATGTATACATGACAATATCAGTTCTTAAGAAGCGCCCCACACTTTTTTCACATTAATATTAATTTAAAAATAAATTAACAAACAATAAATGGTATTTTTGTGAAAAAAAGTTTGGGGAGCTTCATATATCAGTTCTTGAGAAGCGTTTATTTTAAACAATTTAAATTAATTTGATTTCCAAGGTTGTAAAGGTTAAATTAGTTTCCACGCGGTTTCTTTCATCATTGGAGCGTGTTTTTTAGTTTTTTTTAAACTATATTTATTTTTTATTTTTTAGTTTCATTTATCACCGATTGATAGATGTACTCATATTATTAATTATTAATATTTCATTATTATGTATTTTATTGTGCTGAGTTGAGCGCCTATATAAAGGTTTTGATTACCTGTCAGTGAGTCAGTGCCAAAATTAGCTATTTTCACAGGGTTATATTTCAGGATCTACTGAAGCTTTAACTATGAAATTTGGCATACTGCTTTAGTACTAGTATATGATTACGTAGGTACAATTTTATCTCTGTACTTGCAATAGGCACTGAGCTACAGGGGGGTCAAAAGTGGGTCGAAACGGTTCGTGTAAATATTGCACGGCATGCGCGCGGCCTGTGGAACTTGGCCGGCGCACTACCGTGCGCTTAGATGAGTATGCCTATGCCATTAGTTATATTAAGAGGTTATATACGATTAGACTTTAAAAAAAAAAACGATTTTTTTTTTATTTTGTTTTCTTAATATTTAAAAATACTCATAGAAAATGTCATATCGTTCCAGTGAATATTTTTGAAATTACAGGCAAATTTGAAAAACGGCAGGCCCAAGCTGCAGTGACTACCTGAACGCTGTCTCTTTTACGCACCTGCCTATTGTAAATGCCTGCCTATTCTAATGTATTATATACAGATGTGTAGATCAACAGAAATGTACATTTTTATTTTACGCATCTGGAAACTGGAAACGCTAACTGGAAACTATTTATGAGTAGTCAGTATAGGGAGCTAAGCCAAGCAGTAAACTTATGAGTTCGTGTATATCTTTTTGTGAATTGAAGTCTTTCAGAGAAATGAGAAAATCTCTTAAGATTTGTAACACGAGCATAAAACAGCACAAAAATGTTATTAATCCAAAAATCGCTAAAACGGATGAAGGTAGTTTCAATGCCTCGGCGTAAAAATTTCAGTTACACGTGATCCATATATTATGATCCAATCAATCTGTTAAGTATTATTGAGAATTTATGAGAAAGATGAGGTTTTAACCAGAACAGCAACGAGAACTACAATCAACTGTTTTGGAACATTTCTCAAATAAATGTTCTGGCTGGTTTGAAAACTGTGGAATTCAATACATACATAATTGCCGACATATTTAATGAAGGAATTTCATAACTGTTATATATATAAATACATTTTTTAGCCTTGTCAAAGCCCACTGCTGAGCAAAAGCCTCTTTTTCTCATGGTGAAGGTGGGGCCTAGTGGTCAAAGGGCCCACCTCTCGTTGCCGAGGGCGCGGGTTCGATCCTGGCAAGTACCAATGTGATTTTTCCGAAGCATATGCACTTTTTAAGAGAAAATTAGACACCACTAATAGACGGTGAAGGAAAACATTGTGAGGAAATCTGGACTTAATTTCACAATTATATGTTATATTATTATATAAAGGCAATTCATATGTAGAAAAAGAAGATGAGCAGCGCGTGAACATTGCCAATCTCGTGTGAGTGCATTCGAGAAGGAAAAATCGCTCGTAGACTGACTACATCAGCTCGAGTTAATAGAAACTGCCGAATCGGTGGAGGGTCAATTATATGGCTCTGGAATTGACGACTTCATGTAAGTTAAAAGATTATTTTTTTTATCCCATATAAAATGTATTCTCAACATTAAAAGCGTTTTTCATATAATGTTGTTTTCAAAGTCGGTGACCAACATTATTCAAAAACGGCCAAACCGATTAGTCTCAAATTTTAACACAAGCTTCTTAAATATATTTTTTAGTAATTAATTGAATATTTTTCCTCTCCTATAAATGTATATTTTTAACAAACCATTTAAGGCCGAAATTTCAGTGTAAAATCGATTAATTTTTTTTGAGAAACCAAAATTTTGGCAATAAATTTCATTTCGCTTATTCCTTCGGTTAGTCACTAGATTTAACATTATTTTAACGAAATCTGTTTTGTTTTATAATTTCAGATGATTCAGTTTAGAGATATAGTGGGCACCACCTTGAGCTTCCGGAGATCAGCCGTAGCTCTTTCCAAATAAATATTTTTACTAATACTAAGTTTTTAATATAGTTAAAAGATACCATAATATGTTTATAAATTATTGGATCAATAAATTTAAAAGTTTTTTCAGAAAAAAATCTGGAAATTTCACTTTTTTCCGCCCTTCTAACTGTATATGTATATAAACCCTTAAGACACCGAAGACATTTTCACAGTGAAAATGTAAATTCATCGTTGCAAGAGGTTTAATATTAAAAATATAAAATATAAATTATAAAAATATACAGAAATATATATAAATATAAGAATATAAATACTTAAAAATATAACACTTGACATATATGAAAAAATGACAAAACATAGAAAATAAATTTAAAACATAAGAAAGAAGAAACCAAACGATAAACAAAACCAACATTACCTTTACAAAAAAAGATAACCAATTTGAGGTTTTCCTAAAAGTTTTCGAAAATTTTATGCAAAATCAGGAATAAAATGATTTTCTCGCCGTTCCTGTACAATAGGGGTATACACAGCAGTAATTTCGGTTGACAGTGGTTAAGTTTCTCCATATAAAACCTTACTGCGAGCTGAGAGGATGGGTGGTTACTGATGTCGAAACTTTTGATGGCTCTTAATTAATGAAATGCAGGTAAGAAATCATCATTTTTAACACACTTTTATAGTTTGGGTTGTATGTATGTAACGGAAGCTTAGAGCTTAGTTTTCCACCGGTTTCTAGTAGTCTGAAAAATTTGAAACTTTGCATAAGTATCAAGGACAGATGACAATGCAATAATTTGATAAAAGTTTTCCATTATCTTTTTCATTGAATAGGTTTTGCATAAATTTTAGTAACTACACTGTTATAAAATCCCCGTTAGCTGCAGGATATAAAGAACACTTCGATTTTTAAACAAGAATATAAAATTTTTTATCGGTCCATTAAGATAATACATATTTTAACTTTTTAAATTCATTCACTCTGTTAATTTAAAAAATAACAATTGTTGAATGCTTATTTAAAATTGAAATTAAATACTTTATCAAAATGAAGTTAATCATATATGAAGGCCAACTGTTACTTATTTTAGAGTTTTGTAATAAGGGCATTTCCCTTAAAGTACATATGTTCATTTTTCAATATGTTATAATATGTATGCTAAATTTTTCGATGAGTGCAATCTCATCATTTATATGATAAAGGTTTTATAGTACAAAATTATAGTTATTATGTAAGGAAATAAAAGAAAATTATGGATGATAATTGCATATATATTGTACAAAATACAAAAAGAAAATGCGACCAGTCGACGTCGAATCGCCGTCCAGCTCTTTATTTGTGCACCTATATTTTTGTCTCCCAACTGGATAGCGTGTCGACGTGAAGGACGCTTTATTCTAACTCTACAATAAATATCCATTATAAATAACAGAACTGTCGCATTTACTACATCGTTATTGCGTTTTATCACAGGTCAGAGTCACGTGATAAGCACGTAGTTAGTAAGTGGCTTTCACGCGATTGGAACGCCGATCATTGAATTATTTGAAAAGCTGCTTCGCGTACAGCCATATGCGGAAGAAGTATTCGTCTCTTCGCAAAAGTGAACCTCGCGCGTACGAACGGATGTCGGCGTCCATATTGTGTTCGCGTAACCACGAGGAAGTCGGCTGGCTGAAGGATGTGGGTTCAGTTCCCGCTGTCATTTCACTAAACTCACTGGCTTCCGCACGAGAATCTGTGAAATCATGATAGCAAAATATAGAAATTATGGATCATAGCAAACAATTAAACTGATTACCTAACTAACCTCTACTATACTAAGAATATATACGTATAAATGTTAAAAATTCTAGTAAAAGAATATGGTTATGAAAATGAGGGCTACCTACCTTCACAAGGTAGTACTCTTAAGGGTTCGATCGGTTCTAGAGGTTCACTTAATCCAATCTCATTTCGGGCATATATTCGAATCAGGTATGTGTGGTCCTCTCCCAGATCCCGAATATTAAACTTGAGGACACCAGCGTCCACTTTGCCTACTTCCATCCACATGGTTTTAGTGACGTCACGGATTGCAATGTTATATCCAAGAAGTGGCGAGCCACCGTCCCACTCCGGCGTTCCCCAGGAGCATGTGATATTGGTTCCCACCATGCGGATTTCTAGCGGCCCGGTTGGCGGTGAGGGAACGGCTGAAAGCGTATAAATATAAAATATTAAATAAAATAATGGAAAATGGACTTTGAACGACTTTCTAAGAATTTAACGACAACGTGGATATATAACACTATGTAAGAGATCGCTTTTAGTGATAAGGCCGCCCTTGCCTTAAATTTTCTGTTTTTGTTTGTAATGTTATTTCCTATATGTTTAAGTGCAATAAAGTTTATTTCTATTCTATTCTATTCTATTCTATTCTATAACACTCACTGGCATATTTTTCTAATCTAACACTTTCTGATTCCGTGGGTGGTCCAACGCCTATAGCGTTTTCAGCTGACACTCTAAAGATAAGGTCGTCCTTGTGTTTTAAATGTTCCACACAATGTTGCACCACTCCAGATGAAACCGTCACAACTTTGGACCACTTTGTTTTGGATGTCTTGCATTCTATTATATAATCTGTCCAAAGAAATACGATAAGTTTAAAACAAATTAGAAGTAAATTCATTAAGTAGCTAAAGTTAACAATATAAACCTCCTTTTTAACTGAAGATATTAAAACAGATTTCTAAAAACAATTCAGTTCTAAATTATTTACGTACTTGTAAGCGGTGAACCTCCATCGCTAGCAGGTGGAGTCCAGCGAAGCGTCACAGATCTGGAAGTGACTTCCCTCGCTTGAACAGACTGCGGTTGCCCCGGAGCCGCTAAGATAGAAAAAAATTATATCCTTATGGTTGTGAAAATAATATAGGTTTATTACTTTGCATAGCTATTTCTTTTAAAATGCAAGTAAAATAATAAGAGTATTTAAATATACTCTTTTTTAATGCTACCTCAATACAATATTAACAATTTGGAAGTTTCGTTTTAATTAAGAATTCATGAAATATTTTCTATAACTCAAGGAAATTATTAAATTGTTGAATCTACATTACAGAACGCTTTTGTTTCAATGAAACTAAATGGTATTTCTTTAGTCTTATAAAAACCTTACAAATCGTGTTACATAGAAAGGTGAAGAAAAATATAAAGAGCACTCACTAGCTGTTTTACCGATGGTGACCTTCTCATCGGATATATATGGCAGGCTCGTGCCTATTTCATTTCTCGCACTAATCTTAAATTGGTAGGTTGAATTCTCTTTAAGTTTGGAAATTTTGACAAAAGTGTTTATTGAAGTAGCAGTGAAACGCCACTGAGCACCATCTTCTTGAATCTCGATAGAGTAGTCTATTATAGCTGAGCCACCATTTCTTTCAGGAGGATACCATGAAATAGTTACCCCATCAATTTCCATACCATAAATACCAAGAGGACCAAGTGGTGGCGAGGGTACGTCTGTAAATTAATTTAATGTATTGCTTATGTAATTGTTTTAATATTTTAAACTTCATATTAAACCAACTGACACATTAGTAAAAAAATATAAATATTACTAATAAAGTAATGACGTATTAAACCATACGAACCCAAAGCATTCTTAATAATGATGGGATCGCTTTCCAAAGCTTCGGAAATCCCAACGGGGTTTTGGGCGAGGATACGGAACATGTATTCGCAATTATCACTGAGTTTTTGTATACAATATGATTCTATGTTTTTGTCTACATCAGCTACTTTAACCCATTGATTAAGTTCTGGTTCCAGTTTTTCAATAGCATATTTGATCAGTTCAAGTCCACCATCATCTAACGGCGGCTTCCACTCTATTGTCACTGATTCACGGCTTATCTCTCTCATCACCACTGGCCCTTCTGGTTGACTAGGTTTGTCTGTAAAAATAAGGCTTTAAGTAACTTGGATGAATGCAATGAACCAAGAAGTCTTATTTAATTAACTGAATAAATTTAATATAACTAATGGTGAACGAAAAGATGTGTATTTTTTGTATAATAACGAGCTACTTATTCTCCTTACCATAAACTTTGAGCATTACATCAATGGAAGTAGAACCAGCAACATTACTTGCTGTGATTGTGTATCTCCCGGAATGCCTTCTTTGCAATTGCTTTATCGTTATAATACTTGTGTTCTCATCCGTTATCACTTTTACTTCGTCGTCAATTCCCATACCGTCTTTGGACCAATTGATATCAGGACTTGGAATGCCATTAATAAATGCAGAAACACACCATTCTTCGTCAACTACATGTTTTTGTACGATTTCCTCCTCTAATATGGTAATAATAGGTTTCTGTCTTATCTGTAGTGTACAGCTAGTACTAATTTCACCTTCCGTATTTGATGCTACACATTTGTAACTACCTTCTGTGGCTTTGCTTGCTGTTACTAACAATGATGCAACTCGATCAATGTAAGTTGCTTTGGCTGTTTTTAGTTGTTTTCCATTTCTATACCAAACCACTTTGGGTTCTGGAGTACCTCCGAATATGCAAGTTAATTCGACTTCATCATTCGGTTCTCTAATAATATCTGTTAATATTTTTATTACAGTAGGCGGCTGTGGATTAATAAACTTCTTTATGAGGATATATTCAGTAAGTTCTGAAGCGTCACTCACTCCAACTTCGTTTACTGCGAATACTCTAAATCTATAAGATGAATTTGTTTTAAGATTCTCGATGCAATACTGCGTCTTTTTAATGTTTTCAATAGATATCCACCTGGAAATGATTGCAGTATTGTATGTAACGAAAATTATAATAATGATATTTATATGAAACAAAAAATTAAAATAATTGTTATGTCTATAATGCCTCTATAAGGAAAATCACAGAAAAACTGAACAAATACTTCAGGTAGATCGGTATTTCTGCAACTTAGGAATTAAGGAGTAAAAAGTAAATTTAGCTGAAAAACATATCATCGTTAGACCTCGGCCATCAAGCGAAAAACGAAATTCTAATCAGCTACTCACTCTATTGTATTTTCCTCCTGGTATTCTAGGATGTAGCATTCAATGCTGGAGCCACCGAGGTCTTTAGGTTGGGACCAGAAAACATTTACACTGGTATCACCCACCTCCAAAATAACAAGTTTGCCAGGAGGAGATGGTATATCTGGAACAGGGAATATATACATATATGCATAATCAAATCTCGTTTGCCCTCCTTTTGCTTAACTATATATTTATTAAATATATATTTTCAACATTAAAACAAAAGTCTTCCTCCCAAAAAATAGGAATGACGACAATTAAGGTACAATATTTTTAATTACAGGAATAAATTAAAAAATATATTTTTAATAAAATATTACCAATAACGACAACATCTATGTCAACGGTAGCCGTTCCAATGTTGTTTGTTAAAGTAAGTGAGTATTTTCCGGAGTGAGTGCTATCGAGCTTGTGCAGGGTAAGGGAAGCCAAGTCGGGTAATAAAGATGACCGTGATAGCTTAGAGCGTTTAACGGGTAGGTCCTCTTTAGTCCAACTATCATGTGGCGGAGGATGTGCTGCATAAGCCACCTCAATTTTGGTGTTACCACCCCGACGGATTCTATAAGTTGGCTCGTAGGAGACGATCTTAGGAGCAAACTCGATTACTGTATTAAAGTTAAGACAGAGTTAGAAACTATTTTAAAAATGAAACTTAAAAAAAATTGAGTAAAAAAAAATTTTTGTATTCGTACCTTCCACCTTTAGTTTTGTCGTGCACTTGGTGTCTAGTAGCTGACATGAGTAGTCGGATTGATCTTCTTCTAAGCATTTCCGTATGATAAGGGTCCGTTTTCTGCCATCGGATATAAGTGTGAACTTTTCCGAATCCTCGATTACTGTCTTACGTCTGTACCACACAACGGTTAGTGCATCGTGTGGAAGCTCTACCGTTAGATGTGCATCTGTATTAGCTTGTACAACTATAATTTCGGGAAGCCTTATAGTGAAATCAACTGTGGGTTCATCAACTATAAGTTTTGCAGTGCAACGATCATTTCCAACCTCACACGAGTAGTCACCAGCATCGCTATTGTCACAATCATATATTTTCAGTTTTTGTTTTTTGCCATCAATAGTAAGTTGCATGTGATTTGAAAGTTGTATTTCATGTCCATCTTTTAACCATCTCACAAGAGCATCACCTTTAGTTAATTCTATTTCAAACGTTGCTTTGTTTCCTTTGTTAACCCTTTGGTTTTGCAGTCTTGATATAATTTCTGGAGGTAGTTCCACTACCGTAACTTCAGCAGAACAAGCATCATTTTGTAATTTACAAATATATTCACCTTCATCGTGAACAGATGTGTTTCTGATGAATAGTTTTCTTATGTTTCCTCGTTTTTCCAGTTCATATTTGTTCTTTTTCGGCTTTATGGTTTGTCCATCTTTTTCCCAAATTACATCGGCGTTCTCCGAACTGATTTCTACTTCTAATATGGCAACGTCTCGTTCTTTAACCTCGAAATCTTGAAGTTTACGTAAGAATTCCGGGATAGTTTCATCAACAAAAAGCTGAGTTTGGGTTTCTTGACCTTTGACAATGCATTTAAATATTCCTTTGTCAGAAAGCTTGGTTTTCTTTATTCTCAATTTATGAATGCGACCTTCTTGAATAATTTCTCTATGATCCATGCCACTGAGTTCGTTATCATTGTGATACCACTTTGTAGAGACCGTGTGTGATGTTTCACATTCCAAGATAACAGTTTTTCCTTCCTTTGTTACATATTGGTGTTTTAAGTTTTTAATAAAAGTTACTCTTTCTACATCAATAGTAACGCGAGCACCATGAGATGCTTTACCAGCAGAGTTAGCTGCCACACATTTATAATCCCCAGAATCCACTTCCGAATCTACATTTGTAATAATTAAGCAGATGTTTTCACCGTCAAAGTTTTGTGAAACTCTTTCATTTGGTATGATGATCTGATTATTTCTGTACCAAGTGATTGTTGGTACGGGATTACCCGTAACTTTTGCACGCAGTTTTATAGTTCCCTTTTCTTTTACAGTAATTTCTTGGAATCTGTTGATAAATAGAGGTGGTTCTGCATTTTCTTCCGTAGGTTCTGCAAAAAGTACACGTTAAAAAATAGAATATGGTATAAATATCTATATCGTTATAAATATGTATGAAGTAAAGAAGTGAACATCATTTAAATGAAAAATATTATTTTTATATGAATAAATGTTAAATAAAGTACCTTCTATTATTATAACTGCACTTGTTTCGACCGATCCCTCAGAGTTTATAGCTCTCAGGGAATATACACCGTCATCTTTTCCTTTTACAGGTTTAACAAGTGTTATAGTATGAATATCGCCATCTGACTTTAGAGCTGATGATTTAACTGGTTTATTGTTCTTAAACCAAGTCACTTTAGGTTCTGGGCTTCCTACTACTTGCGTCGAAAGAACAACGCTATCACCTTCTCTTATAGTCATACTCTTTAATGGTTCTATAACTTGGGGTTTTTCCTTTTCACCAGTCCTTATTTTAAGAACAATAGGCAAGCTTGCTTCACCTTCTCTATTAACGGCTAAAACTGTATATGTCCCTTCCTGGAATTTCTTAACATTTTCTATTTTTAAGACACTACAATACATATGCATATCAGATTCCGTAGTTACGGAGACGGAATCGTTCGGTATGACCTCTTCACCTTTAAAGAACCAAGCGATATCTGGTTCTGGGATAGCAACTAATCTACATTCAAGGAATATATTTGAACCTTCGTCAACGTACTGGGCTTTAGGACGTTTAGAAAAAGTTGGAGGTATGCCTTCGAGTATGTCCGCCAACGAAGATTCTCGGGAGAGACTTTTGCGAGAAAGAACTGTCATTTCTGAGCCATGATCTGAGAGTGGCGCCTCTACTGTCAGCTCAGCTGTACTAGATGCGAAACCGGCTGCATTCTTCGCGACACATGTAAAAGTCCCTGCATCTTCCGGAAACACCTCACGGATAACAAGAGTTGCCACATTGTCGTCGTCGTAATACATTTGGAAATCTTGAGAAGGTTTAATTATTGCTGTTTGTCTGAACCACGTAATCTGTGGTCTTGGATAGCCCCCAACTTGACATTCAAATTGTACCGTCGATCCATCGGGTGTATGTTTTGGACGCAGTTTTTCGACAAATATCGGAGCTATGGCCTGTTCTTCAGATGCTGGTTCTAAAATACAAGTTTTGAATGAAATAACAATATTTCAAGTTACTACATACTTTTTGCTGAAGTCAATTCTGTAGAATTCGATTTTAAACAACAGAATGTATATTATTTTAATTATAATTTGACTAACCTTAATAACAAAACTTACTATACGAACTTCTAAATGTTGCTCATATCTTTACAACGAATTAATTTATTACAGTAGGAAATAAATAAACGAATACATCTTATGCCCTAATGACAAAACTAAATTCCAAAGAAAATGTAACTATAAAATATCCTCGTTATTAAAATAATTAATTAATAAAAGGCAATACTAGCTTACTCTCGAATACTGGTAGCTTATCAATTTTTTCATTCAACTTCTTTTGCAGATATAGAGTGTAGTTGGCTTCATCCATCAAATATTGAGCCGGAACCCATCCCTTTTCTTCAGTGAGATGTTTACGAACAAACCACCAATCTTGATTTGTGGTTTCTAAAATAATAATAATTATTATATGAAAAATCCTTTGTTGAATAAAAATCAATACACAATAATGTTATAGTGCGTTTTATTTAAGCTGAGCTTTGCATTCGTGTGAGTTCACACGGATAGTGTAGGTGTGATGTCAAATTTTTGAACGCCACGTTCTTTTCTAGTTTTGAACAGGTTTACTTTGCTTTTACTCCGCCAGGCACCTTCCGCACTTCAACCTTTGTACTGATATCAAAATCAAATGTTGAAAACGCAATGTCAAGTGAAGAAGAATTTGTATAGTTTTTTCAAAACTTTTATTAATTAATATTTTTTCTTTCCATAATATTTCCATCTAGCCTTTTACAAGTTTTGCTTATTTTACAGCATTTACGTTATGTATCTATTTAAAATATAATTAAATTGAATTTTGAAAGATTTTTGTCTAACTCTACTTTTACTTTCACTCACACAAATGCAAAGCTCAGTTTTAGTCTAACGGACTATATCTACTTGTATGTTCTAGGGATCTATTTATAAAAATAATTAATTCGATTCGTGAAACACGTATTACATTTAACAAAAAGCTTTTTAGAAATAAATTGTTCTTTTCTTTTTATGAGTTCTACATTAATACCCCTTGTACCATGTTTGAATACGATATCTGTGCATGGATATTTCGCTGAATATATTTATTAATATTATAGTATAGTTAAACTGAAGTTAAATTTGAATATGTTTACCTAAGATATAAAGTCTTTCTCCTTCAACTAAATTAATAGCCTCTTCAGTTTCGGCAACATACGAATAAACCGCGAAAACAGTATCACCACATCGCACATTAACAGGGGTATCTGGAAGATAAATATGATCATGTAAATCAAGACAAGACGAAGATGATAGAATTAAGGACAAAAATTATAAAAGTACAGTCTTACCTGGAAATTCTTGCTCTTTGGCTATACTAATAGATACTTCAGCTTCTGCAAATTACAAGGAAATATTAGAGTGGCAAATATTAAAATATTATGTGCAATACTTGTAAACTAAAAATAATTATTACCCTGAACTTTTACATGTTTCTGAGGTTTGCGTTTTGTCGATATGGTTATATGCTCTCCTTCGAAAGTTTCAAAAGAAGGCTTCTTGGATTTTAGATCCACATTTAATTCTTCTACTTCATTCACTTCATACGTTTGTTTCGAGGGTTTTCTTTTAATGACCATTTCAACATTGCTTTCAATTTCATCATCGCTTAAAATAACTTCATCTGCATGTGCGTCCGACTGAATTTCCTTTTTAATTATAATAGAAGTTGAATCACCTGCCTCAGAAATTGTAGGTTTTCTTTTGGCAGATAATTTAATATTACTCGACAAATTAACTTCTTGTTGCATCAAAGCGTCTGTTTGCTGTCTGATGTCAAAAGAAATTTCTTGATTATCGTTAACATATTGCTTTTGCTCTCCTAAATCGAACGTCACGTCTTCGAAAAATTCTGTTTTCTGTTGAACTGGTTTGGGTTTTGGAACAGTAACGTTTGAATTTATTTCATCTGTATTTTTAATAAATGGTTTTTTCAAAGGTATAATGAAATCATTGTTATCTTCTTTATCAATGTCATCAATTATTTCTACTATATCAACGTCTTCTTTTAAGTTTTCTTCATAAAATTGAATGGAAGTTTCATCTGCTGCTTCAGTAAATGTTGGCTGTTTTTGTTGTTTGAGTTTGACTTTACTCGACATCGATATTTCCTCCTCTGCATAAGAATCCAGCTGAATATTAAATTCTTGTTCAACATCCTCCTTAGTTTTAGTTACTTTTGGTCTAAAAGTTACTTCCTCGGGTTCAGTTATTTCAGTCACAGTAACAGATGATTTTCGAACTGGTTTAAGTTTCTTTTTTATGGTTATTTCATCGACTACCTCTTCTACTTTTTTAACACTGGGCCTCCGAGGCGTAACTGTAAAATTCTCTGGTTCTTCCATTACGGACTTATCTTGGAGTTCATCAAACAAATCGTTTTGTTCTTCATCTAATCTACTTTCCAAAACACTATCATCTATTTCATAGGTGGCCCTTTTGGGTTGATTACGGCTATCTACTATATCCGAGTGAGTAAATAAAGGCTTTTCAAGTTCAGTTTTTACTAATTCCGGTAAATTAACTGCCTTTATCACTTTTTTGCGTAATTTGGCAGCTTCTTTCATGTTTCTGGACAGTTCTCCATTTTGACGCACACTTCCCAAAAATGTAACAATAGGTGTTATCTCGTTTGGAGGCCAATCGGTAATAAACTTAATACGACTTTTTAATTGAAATTTGGGTAAAATAACTGTAGAAGGTTCTGATTTAGGCTTAATAGTAGGCTTCTTTAATTTAATTTTAGAGAATTGAGGCTGAATTGACTCCTCTGCAAATTTAGCTTCATCAATTTTCAACTCGATTCGCTCGATTTTCTCAGGCTTTAAAAGCTTTTTAGGTTTTTTTGATTCAGTGATTTTATCTCCAATTTCTTTGTCGATCTGGTCCTCCGTGACTTCCTTCTTCGGGTGATGTTTCTTTCTCGTAGCTGTTTTTCGTTCAACAACTTGTATATTTTCAGGGACATCTGAAACAAAAATAACTTTTTAAATGGCATCCAATGGGTTTTGACTACAGGTCATCGCACAAATATTATCATCTCTTGCTTCTTACAGTCCATGTAGTAATCTTCACTGATGAGCATCAAATTTCAAACTATATTTTTCATACCCATATTATAACACCAAACAATTCCTTTAACTACGAAGTATGGCTTATTCGAGTGTAAAACAATGTGTGCAATGTGTGTGTTTTGAGATCCCCTTGTAATGATATTATTTTTAAGGATTCAACCTTAAGACCTACCTTCTTCTTGATTATGCATTTTGTAATTTTCTTTTGTTTGGGCTTACCTTCGGGAGTATCAATTTCCTCAACAGTGACCTCCTCTGGCAATTCTACCATTTCAACCGGTTTCACTTGTTCTTCTCTCGGTGTTTCTTCTTCTGTCACGGAAACGGTTGTGACGGGTTGTTCACCCTCTTTCTCCTCGGTTGTTATCTCTGTCACTTCCTGCTTGGGTCCCTGCCTCTTCTTTATGACCCGTTTAGTCGTTTTAACCTTTTGGACATCACCAGTCTCCGTTTTCACTTCGGTTATTTTAACTTCTTCTGGCAGTTCTTCGACTACGTGTGCCGTTTCGGGTGTGTGGAGTGTTTCGAGAGGTGTGAGTGTTTCATCGGTGAGTGTGTGTGAGGTGTGTACTGTGATAACAGGTGTTTTATCATCCTCTTGTTCTGTTGTGATTTGTGTAGTTTCTACCTTAGGACCTACCTTCTTCTTGATGATGCGTTTTGTAATTTTCTTTTGCTTGGGCTTACCTTCGGGAGTTTCAATTTCCTCAACAGTGACCTCCTCTGGCAATTTCTACCATTTCAACCGGTTTCTCTTGTTCTTCTTTCGGTGTTTCTTCTTCTGTCACGGAAACGGTTGTGACGGGTTGTTCACCCTCTTTCTCCTCGGTTGTTATCTCTGTCACTTCCTGCTTGGGTCCCTGCCTCTTCTTTATGACCCGTTTAGTCGTTTTAACCTTTTGGACATCACCAGTCTCCGTTTTCACTTCGGTTATTTTAACTTCTTCTGGCAGTTCTTCGACTACGTGTGCCGTTTTCGGGTGTGTGGAGTGTTTCGAGAGGTGTGAGTGTTTCATCGGTGAGTGTGTGTGAGGTGTGTACTGTGATAACAGGTGTTTTATCATCCTCTTGTTCTGTTGTGATTTGTGTAGTTTCTACCTTAGGACCTACCTTCTTCTTGATGATGCGTTTTGTAATTTTCTTTTGCTTGGGCTTACCTTCGGGAGTTTCAATTTCCTCAACAGTGACCTCCTCTGGAAATTCTACCATTTCAACCGGTTTCTCTTGTTCTTCTTTCGGTGTTTCTTCTTCTGTCACGGAAACGGTTGTGACGGGTTGTTCACCCTCTTTCTCCTCGGTTGTTATCTCTGTCACTTCCTGCTTGGGTCCCTGCCTCTTCTTTATGACCCGTTTTAGTCGTTTTAAACCTTTTGGACATCACCAGTCTCCGTTTTCACTTCGGTTATTTTAACTTCTTCTGGCAGTTCTTCGACTACGTGTGCCGTTTCGGGTGTGTGGAGTGTTTCGAGAGGTGTGAGTGTTTCATCGGTGAGTGTGTGTGAGGTGTGTACTGTGATAACAGGTGTTTTATCATCCTCTTGTTCTGTTGTGATTTGTGTAGTTTCTACCTTAGGACCTACCTTCTTCTTGATGATACGTTTTGTAATTTTCTTTTGCTTGGGCTTACCTTCGGGAGTTTCAATTTCCTCAACAGTGACCTCCTCTGGAAATTCTACCATTTCAACCGGTTTCTCTTGTTCTTCTTTCGGTGTTTCTTCTTCTGTCACGGAAACGGTTGTGACGGGTTGTTCACCCTCTTTCTCCTCGGTTGTTATCTCTGTCACTTCCTGCTTGGGTCCCTGCCTCTTCTTTATGACCCGTTTAGTCGTTTTAACCTTTTGGACATCACCAGTCTCCGTTTTCACTTCGGTTATTTTAACTTCTTCTGGCAGTTCTTCGACTACGTGTGCCGTTTCGGGTGTGTGGAGTGTTTCGAGAGGTGTGAGTGTTTCATCGGTGAGTGTGTGTGAGGTGTGTACTGTGATAACAGGTGTTTTATCATCCTCTTGTTCTGTTGTGATTTGTGTAGTTTCTACCTTAGGACCTACCTTCTTCTTGATGATGCGTTTTGTAATTTTCTTTTGCTTGGGCTTACCTTCGGGAGTTTCAATTTCCTCAACAGTGACCTCCTCTGGCAATTCTACCATTTCAACCGGTTTCTCTTGTTCTTCTTTCGGTGTTTTCTTCTTCTGTCACGGAAACGGTTGTGACGGGTTGTTCACCCTCTTTCTCCTCGGTTGTTATCTCTGTCACTTCCTGCTTGGGTCCCTGCCACTTCTTTATGACCCGTTTAGTCGTTTTAACCTTTTGGACATCACCAGTCTCCGTTTTCACTTCGGTTATTTTAACTTCTTCTGGCAGTTCTTCGACTACGTGTGCCGTTTCGGGTGTGTGGAGTGTTTCGAGAGGTGTGAGTGTTTCATCGGTGAGTGTGTGTGAGGTGTGTACTGTGATAACAGGTGTTTTATCATCCTCTTGTTCTGTTGTGATTTGTGTAGTTTCTACCTTAGGACCTACCTTCTTCTTGATGATGCGTTTTGTAATTTTCTTTTGCTTGGGCTTACCTTCGGGAGTTTCAATTTCCTCAACAGTGACCTCCTCTGGAAATTCTACCATTTCAACCGGTTTCTCTTGTTCTTCTTTCGGTGTTTCTTCTTCTGTCACGGAAACGGTTGTGACGGGTTGTTCACCCTCTTTCTCCTCGGTTGTTATCTCTGTCACTTCCTGCTTGGGTCCCTGCCTCTTCTTTATGACCCGTTTAGTCGTTTTAACCTTTTGGACATCACCAGTCTCCGTTTTCACTTCGGTTATTTTAACTTCTTCTGGCAGTTCTTCGACTACGTGTGCCGTTTCGGGTGTGTGGAGTGTTTCGAGAGGTGTGAGTGTTTCATCGGTGAGTGTGTGTGAGGTGTGTACTGTGATAACAGGTGTTTTATCATCCTCTTGTTCTGTTGTGATTTGTGTAGTTTCTACCTTAGGACCTACCTTCTTCTTGATGATGCGTTTTGTAATTTTCTTTTGCTTGGGCTTACCTTCGGGAGTTTCAATTTCCTCAACAGTGACCTCCTCTGGCAATTCTACCATTTCAACCGGTTTCTCTTGTTCTTCTTTCGGTGTTTCTTCTTCTGTCACGGAAACGGTTGTGACGGGTTGTTCACCCTCTTTCTCCTCGGTTGTTATCTCTGTCACTTCCTGCTTGGGTCCCTGCCTCTTCTTTATGACCCGTTTAGTCGTTTTAACCTTTTGGACATCACCAGTCTCCGTTTTCACTTCGGTTATTTTAACTTCTTCTGGCAGTTCTTCGACTACGTGTGCCGTTTCGGGTGTGTGGAGTGTTTCGAGAGGTGTGAGTGTTTCATCGGTGAGTGTGTGTGAGGTGTGTACTGTGATAACAGGTGTTTTATCATCCTCTTGTTCTGTTGTGATTTGTGTAGTTTCTACCTTAGGACCTACCTTCTTCTTGATGATGCGTTTTGTAATTTTCTTTTGCTTGGGCTTACCTTCGGGAGTTTCAATTTCCTCAACAGTGACCTCCTCTGGCAATTCTACCATTTCAACCGGTTTCACTTGTTCTTCTCTCGGTGTTTCTTCTTCTGTCACGGAAACGGTTGTGACGGGTTGTTCACCCTCTTTCTCCTCGGTTGTTATCTCTGTCACTTCCTGCTTGGGTCCCTGCCTCTTCTTTATGACCCGTTTAGTCGTTTTAACCTTTTGGACATCACCAGTCTCCGTTTTCACTTCGGTTATTTTAACTTCTTCTGGCAGTTCTTCGACTACGTGTGCCGTTTCGGGTGTGTGGAGTGTTTCGAGAGGTGTGAGTGTTTCATCGGTGAGTGTGTGTGAGGTGTGTACTGTGATAACAGGTGTTTTATCATCCTCTTGTTCTGTTGTGATTTGTGTAGTTTCTACCTTAGGACCTACCTTCTTCTTGATGATGCGTTTTGTAATTTTCTTTTGCTTGGGCTTACCTTCGGGAGTTTCAATTTCCTCAACAGTGACCTCCTCTGGCAATTCTACCATTTCAACCGGTTTCTCTTGTTCTTCTTTCGGTGTTTCTTCTTCTGTCACGGAAACGGTTGTGACGGGTTGTTCACCCTCTTTCTCCTCGGTTGTTATCTCTGTCACTTCCTGCTTGGGTCCCTGCCTCTTCTTTATGACCCGTTTAGTCGTTTTAACCTTTTGGACATCACCAGTCTCCGTTTTCACTTCGGTTATTTTAACTTCTTCTGGCAGTTCTTCGACTACGTGTGCCGTTTCGGGTGTGTGGAGTGTTTCGAGAGGTGTGAGTGTTTCATCGGTGAGTGTGTGTGAGGTGTGTACTGTGATAACAGGTGTTTTATCATCCTCTTGTTCTGTTGTGATTTGTGTAGTTTCTACCTTAGGACCTACCTTCTTCTTGATGATGCGTTTTGTAATTTTCTTTTGCTTGGGCTTACCTTCGGGAGTTTCAATTTCCTCAACAGTGACCTCCTCTGGCAATTCTACCATTTCAACCGGTTTCTCTTGTTCTTCTTTCGGTGTTTCTTCTTCTGTCACGGAAACGGTTGTGACGGGTTGTTCACCCTCTTTCTCCTCGGTTGTTATCTCTGTCACTTCCTGCTTGGGTCCCTGCCTCTTCTTTATGACCCGTTTAGTCGTTTTAAACCTTTTGGACATCACCAGTCTCCGTTTTCACTTCGGTTATTTTAACTTCTTCTGGCAGTTCTTCGACTACGTGTGCCGTTTCGGGTGTGTGGAGTGTTTCGAGAGGTGTGAGTGTTTCATCGGTGAGTGTGTGTGAGGTGTGTACTGTGATAACAGGTGTTTTATCATCCTCTTGTTCTGTTGTGATTTGTGTAGTTTCTACCTTAGGACCTACCTTCTTCTTGATGATGCGTTTTGTAATTTTCTTTTGCTTGGGCTTACCTTCGGGAGTTTCAATTTCCTCAACAGTGACCTCCTCTGGCAATTCTACCATTTCAACCGGTTTCTCTTGTTCTTCTTTCGGTGTTTCTTCTTCTGTCACGGAAACGGTTGTGACGGGTTGTTCACCCTCTTTCTCCTCGGTTGTTATCTCTGTCACTTCCTGCTTGGGTCCCTGCCTCTTCTTTATGACCCGTTTAGTCGTTTTAACCTTTTGGACATCACCAGTCTCCGTTTTCACTTCGGTTATTTTAACTTCTTCTGGCAGTTCTTCGACTACGTGTGCCGTTTCGGGTGTGTGGAGTGTTTCGAGAGGTGTGAGTGTTTCATCGGTGAGTGTGTGTGAGGTGTGTACTGTGATAACAGGTGTTTTATCATCCTCTTGTTCTGTTGTGATTTGTGTAGTTTCTACCTTAGGACCTACCTTCTTCTTGATGATGCGTTTTGTAATTTTCTTTTGCTTGGGCTTACCTTCGGGAGTTTCAATTTCCTCAACAGTGACCTCCTCTGGCAATTCTACCATTTCAACCGGTTTCTCTTGTTCTTCTTTCGGTGTTTCTTCTTCTGTCACGGAAACGGTTGTGACGGGTTGTTCACCCTCTTTCTCCTCGGTTGTTATCTCTGTCACTTCCTGCTTGGGTCCCTGCCTCTTCTTTATGACCCGTTTAGTCGTTTTAACCTTTTGGACATCACCAGTCTCCGTTTTCACTTCGGTTATTTTAACTTCTTCTGGCAGTTCTTCGACTACGTGTGCCGTTTCGGGTGTGTGGAGTGTTTCGAGAGGTGTGAGTGTTTCATCGGTGAGTGTGTGTGAGGTGTGTACTGTGATAACAGGTGTTTTATCATCCTCTTGTTCTGTTGTGATTTGTGTAGTTTCTACCTTAGGACCTACCTTCTTCTTGATGATGCGTTTTGTAATTTTCTTTTGCTTGGGCTTACCTTCGGGAGTTTCAATTTCCTCAACAGTGACCTCCTCTGGCAATTCTACCATTTCAACCGGTTTCTCTTGTTCTTCTTTCGGTGTTTCTTCTTCTGTCACGGAAACGGTTGTGACGGGTTGTTCACCCTCTTTCTCCTCGGTTGTTATCTCTGTCACTTCCTGCTTGGGTCCCTGCCTCTTCTTTATGACCCGTTTAGTCGTTTTAACCTTTTGGACATCACCAGTCTCCGTTTTCACTTCGGTTATTTTAACTTCTTCTGGCAGTTCTTCGACTACGTGTGCCGTTTCGGGTGTGTGGAGTGTTTCGAGAGGTGTGAGTGTTTCATCGGTGAGTGTGTGTGAGGTGTGTACTGTGATAACAGGTGTTTTATCATCCTCTTGTTCTGTTGTGATTTGTGTAGTTTCTACCTTAGGACCTACCTTCTTCTTGATGATGCGTTTTGTAATTTTCTTTTGCTTGGGCTTACCTTCGGGAGTTTCAATTTCCTCAACAGTGACCTCCTCTGGCAATTCTACCATTTCAACCGGTTTCACTTGTTCTTCTCTCGGTGTTTCTTCTTCTGTCACGGAAACGGTTGTGACGGGTTGTTCACCCTCTTTCTCCTCGGTTGTTATCTCTGTCACTTCCTGCTTGGGTCCCTGCCTCTTCTTTATGACCCGTTTAGTCGTTTTAACCTTTTGGACATCACCAGTCTCCGTTTTCACTTCGGTTATTTTAACTTCTTCTGGCAGTTCTTCGACTACGTGTGCCGTTTCGGGTGTGTGGAGTGTTTCGAGAGGTGTGAGTGTTTCATCGGTGAGTGTGTGTGAGGTGTGTACTGTGATAACAGGTGTTTTATCATCCTCTTGTTCTGTTGTGATTTGTGTAGTTTCTACCTTAGGACCTACCTTCTTCTTGATGATGCGTTTTGTAATTTTCTTTTGCTTGGGCTTACCTTCGGGAGTTTCAATTTCCTCAACAATGACCTCCTCTGGCAATTCTACCATTTCAACCGGTTCCTCTTGTTCTTCTTTTGGTGTTTCTTCTTCTGTCACGGAAACGGTTGTGACGGGTGGTTCACCCTCTTTCTCCTCGGTTGTTATCTCTGTCACTTCCTGCTTGGGTCCCTGCCTTTTCTTTATGACCCGTTTAGTCGTTTTAACCTTTTGGACATCACCAGTCTCCGTTTTCACTTCGGTTATTTTAACTTCTTCTGGCAGCTCTTCGACAACGTGTGCCGTTTCGGTTGTGTGGAGTGTTTCAAGAGGTGTGAATGTTTCATCGGTGAGTGTGTGTGAGGTGTGTACTGTGATAACAGGTGTTTTATCATCCTCTTGTTCTGTTGTGATTTGTGTAGTTTCTACCTTTGGACCTTCCTTCTTCTTGATGATGCGTTTTGTAATTTTCTTTTGTTTGGGCTTACCTTCGGGAGTTTCAATTTCCTCAACAGTGTCCTCCTCTGGCAATTCTACCATTTCAACCGGTTTCTCTTGTTCTTCTTTCGGTGTTTCTTCTTCTGTCACGGAAACGGTTGTGACGGGTTGTTCACCCTCTTTCTCCTCGGTTGTTATCTCTGTCACTTCCTGCTTGGGTCCCTGCCTCTTCTTTATGACACGTTTAGTCATTTTTACCTTTTGGACATCACCAGTCTCCGTTTTCACTTCGGTTATTTTAACTTCTTCTGGCAGTTCTTCGACTACGTGTGCCGTTTCGGGAGTGTGGAGTGTTTCAAGAGGTGTGAGTGTTTCATCGGTGAGTGTGTGTGAGGTGTGTACTGTGATAACAGGTGTTTTATCATCCTCTTGTTCTGTTGTGATTTGTGTAGTTTCTACCTTTGGACCTTCCTTCTTCTTGATGATGCGTTTTGTAATTTTCTTTTGTTTGGGCTTACCTTCGGGAGTTTCAATTTTCTCAACAGTGACCTCCTCTGGCAATTCTACCATTTCAACCGGTTTCTCTTGTTCTTCTTTCGGTGTTTCTTCTTCTGTCACGGAAACGGTTGTGACGGGTTGTTCACCCTCTTTCTCCTCGGTTGTTATCTCTGTCACTTCTTGCTTGGGTCCCTGCCTCTTCTTTATGACCCGTTTAGTCGTTTTAACCTTTTGGACATCACCACTCTCCGTTTTCACTTCGGTTATTTTAACTTCTTCTGGCAATTCTTCGACTACGTGTGCCGTTTCGGGTGTGTGGAGTGTTACAAGAGGTGTGAGTGTTTCATCGGTGAGTGTGTGTGAGGTGTGTACTGTGATAACAGGTGTTTTATCATCCTCTTGTTCTGTTGTGATTTGTGTAGTTTCTACCTTAGGACCTACCTTCTTCTTGATGATGCGTTTTGTAATTTTCTTTTGCTTGGGCTTACCTTCGGGAGTTTCAATTTCCTCAACAATGACCTCCTCTGGCAATTCTACCATTTCAACCGGTTTCTCTTGTTCTTCTTTCGGTGTTTCTTCTTCTGTCACGGAAACGGTTGTGACGGGTTGTTCACCCTCTTTCTCCTCGGTTGTTATCTCTGTCACTTCCTGCTTGGGTCCCTGCCTCTTCTTTATGACCCGTTTAGTCGGTTTAACCTTTTGGACATCACCAGTCTCCGTTTTCACTTCGGTTATTATAACTTGTTCTGGCAGTTCTTCAACTACGTGTGCCGTTTCGGGTGTGTGGAGTGTTTCAAGAGGTGTGAGTGTTTCATCGGTGAGTGTGTGTGAGGTGTGTACTGTGATAACAGGTGTTTTATCATCCTCTTGTTCTGTTGTGATTTGTGTAGTTTCTTTCTTTGGACCTTCCTTCTTCTTGATGATGCGTTTTGTAATTTTCTTTTGTTTGGGCTTACCTTCGGGAGTTTCAATTTCCTCAACAGTGACCTCCTCTGGCAATTCTACCATTTCAACCGGTTTCTCTTGTTCTTCTTTCGGTGTTTCTTCTTCTGTCACGGAAACGGTTGTGACGGGTTGTTCACCCTCTTTCTCCTCGGTTGTTATCTCTGTCACTTCCTGCTTGGGTCCCTGCCTCTTCTTTATGACCCGTTTAGTCGTTTTAACCTTTTGGACATCACCAGTCTCCGTTTTCACTTCGGTTATTTTAACTTCTTCTGGCAGTTCTTCGACTACGTGTGCCGTTTCGGGTGTGTGGAGTGTTTCGAGAGGTGTGAGTGTTTCATCGGTGAGTGTGTGTGAGGTGTGTACTGTGATAACAGGTGTTTTATCATCCTCTTGTTCTGTTGTGATTTGTGTAGTTTCTACCTTAGGACCTACCTTCTTCTTGATGATGCGTTTTGTAATTTTCTTTTGCTTGGGCTTACCTTCGGGAGTTTCAATTTCCTCAACAGTGACCTCCTCTGGCAATTCTACCATTTCAACCGGTTTCTCTTGTTCTTCTTTCGGTGTTTCTTCTTCTGTCACGGAAACGGTTGTGACGGGTTGTTCACCCTCTTTCTCCTCGGTTGTTATCTCTGTCACTTCCTGCTTGGGTCCCTGCCTCTTCTTTATGACCCGTTTAGTCGTTTTAACCTTTTGGACATCACCAGTCTCCGTTTTCACTTCGGTTATTTTAACTTCTTCTGGCAGTTCTTCGACTACGTGTGCCGTTTCGGGTGTGTGGAGTGTTTCGAGAGGTGTGAGTGTTTCATCGGTGAGTGTGTGTGAGGTGTGTACTGTGATAACAGGTGTTTTATCATCCTCTTGTTCTGTTGTGATTTGTGTTGTTTCTACCTTAGGACCTACCTTCTTCTTGATAATGCGTTTTGTAATTTTCTTTTGCTTGGGCTTACCTTCGGGAGTTTCAATTTCCTCAACAGTGACCTCCTCTGGCAATTCTACCATTTCAACCGTTTTCACTTGTTCTTCTGTCGGTGTTTCTTCTTCTGCCACGGAAACAGTTGTGACGGGTTGTTCACCCTCTTTCTCCTCGGTTGTTATCTCTGTCACTTCCTGCCTGGGTCCCTGTCTCTTCTTAATGACCCGTTTTGTCGTTTTTACCTTTTGGACATCACCAGTCTCCGTTTTCACTTCGGTTATTTTAACTTCTTCTGGCAGCTCTTCGACAACGTGTGCCTTTTCGGGTGTGTGGAGTGTTTCAATAGGTGTAAGTGTTTCATCGGTGAGTTCTTGTGTAGAGTGGACTGTGATAACAGGTGTTTTGTCATCTTCTTGTTCTGTTGTGATTTGTGTTGTTTCTACCTTAGGACCTACCTTCTTCTTGATAATGCGTTTTGTAATTTTCTTTTGCTTGGGCTTACCTTCGGGAGTTTCAATTTCCTCAACAGTGACCTCCTCTGGCAATTCTACCATTTCAACCGGTTTCACTTGTTCTTCTCTCGGTGTTTCTTCTTCTGTCACGGAAACAGTTGTGACGGGTTGTTCACCCTCTTTCTCCTCGGTTGTTATCTCTGTCACTTCCTGCCTGGGTCCCTGTCTCTTCTTAATGACCCGTTTAGTCGTTTTTACCTTTTGGACATCACCAGTCTCCGTTTTCACTTCGGTTATTATAATTTGTTCTGGCAGTTCTTCGACTACGTGTGCCGTTTCTTGTGTGTGGAGTGTTTCAAGAGGTGTGAGTAATTCATCGGTGAGTGTGTGTGAAGTGTGTACTTTGATAACAGGTGTTTTGTCATCCTCTTGTTCTGTTGTGATTTGTGTTGTTTCTACCTTAGGCCCTACCTTCTTCTTGATAATGCGTTTTGTAATTTTCTTTTGCTTGGGCTTACCTTCGGGAGTTTCAATTTCCTCAACAGTGACCTCCTCTGGCAATTCTACCATTTCAACCGGTTTCACTTGTTCTTCTGTCGGTGTTTCTTCTTCTGTCACGGAAATAGTCGTGACGGGTTGTACACCCTCTTTCTCCTCGGTTGTTATCTCTGTCACTTCCTGCTTGGGTCCCTGCCTCTTCTTTATGACCCGTTTAGTCGTTTTAACCTTTTGGACATCACCAGTCTCCGTTTTCACTTCGGTTATTTTAACTTCTTCTGGCAGTTTTTCGACTTCGTGTGCCGTTTCGGGTGTTTGGAGTGTTTCAAGAGGTGTGAGTGTTTCATCGGTGAGTGTGTGTGAAGTGTGTACTGTGATAACAGGTGTTTTATCATCCTCCTGTTCAGTTGTGATTTGTGTAGTTTCTACCTTAGGACCTACCTTCTTCTTGATGATGCGTTTTGTAATTTTCTTTTGCTTGGGCTTACCTTCGGGAGTATCAATTTCCTCAACAGTGACCTCCTCTGGCAATTCTATCATTTCAACCGGTTTCTCTTGTTCTTCTTTCGGTGTTTCTTTTTCTGTAACGGAAACGGTTGTGACGGGTTGTTCACCCTCTTTCTCCTCGGTTGTTATCTCTGTCACTTCCTGCTTGGGTCCCTGCCTCTTCTTTATGACCCGTTTAGTCGTTTTAACCTTTTGGACATCACCAGTCTCCGTTTTCACTTCGGTTATTTTAACTTCTTCTGGCAACTCTTCGACTTCGCGTGCCGTTTCGGTTGTGTGGAGTGTTTCAAGAGGTGTGAGTAATTCATCGGTGAGTGTGTGTGAGGTGTGTACTGTGATAACAGGTGTTTTATCACCCTCTTGTTCTGTTGTGATTTGTGTAGTTTCTACCTTAGGACCTACCTTCTTCTTGATGATGCGTTTTGTAATTTTCTTTTGCTTGGGCTTACCTTCGGGAGTTTCAATTTCCTCAACAATGACCTCCTCTGGCAATTCTACCATTTCAACCGGTTTCTCTTGTTCTTCTTTCGGTGTTTCTTCTTCTGTCACGGAAACGGTTGTGACGGGTTGTTCACCCTCTTTCTCCTCGGTTGTTATCTCTGTCACTTCCTGCCTGGGTCCCTGTCTCTTCTTAATGACCCGTTTAGTCGTTCTAACCTTTTGGACATCACCAGTCTCCGTTTTCACTTCGGTTATTTGAACTTCTTCTGGGAGCTCTTCGACAACGTGTGCCTTTTCGGGTGTGTGGAGTGTTTCATTAGGTGTAAGTGTTTCATCGGTGAGTTCTTGTGTAGTGTGAACTGTGATAACAGGTGTTTTGTCATCTTCTTGTTCTGTTGTGATTTGTGTTGTTTCTACCTTAGGACCTACCTTCTTCTTGATAATGCGTTTTGTAATTTTCTTTTGCTTGGGCTTACCTTCGGGAGTTTCAATTTCCTCAACAGTGACCTCCTCTGGCAATTCTACCATTTCAACCGGTTTCACTTGTTCTTCTGTCGGTGTTTCTTCTTCTGTGACGGAAACGGTTGTGACGGGTTGTTCACCCTCTTTCTCCTCGGTTCTTATCTCTGTCACTTCTTGCCTGGGTCCCTGTCTCTTCTTAATGACCCGTTTAGTCGTTTTAACCTTTTGGACATCACCAGTCTCCGTTTTCACTTCGGTTATTTGAACTTCTTCTGGGAGCTCTTCGACAACGTGTGCCTTTTCGGGTGTGTGGAGTGTTTCAATAGGTGTAAGTGTTTCATCGGTGAGTTCTTGTGTAGTGTGAACTGTGATAACAGGTGTTTTGTCATCTTCTTGTTCTGTTGTGATTTGTGTTGTTTCTACCTTAGGACCTACCTTCTTCTTGATAATGCGTTTTGTAATTTTCTTTTGCTTGGGCTTACCTTCGGGAGTTTCAATTTCCTCAACAGTGACCTCCTCTGGCAATTCTACCATTTCAACCGGTTTCACTTGTTCTTCTGTCGGTGTTTCTTCTTCTGTCACGGAAACAGTTGTGACGGGTTGTTCACCCTCTTTCTCCTCGGTTGTTATCTCTGTCACTTCCTGCCTGGGTCCCTGTCTCTTCTTAATGACCCGTTTAGTCGTTCTAACCTTTTGGACATCACCAGTCTCCGTTTTCACTTCGGTTATTTTAACTTCTTCTGGGAGCTCTTCGACAACGTGTGCCTTTTCGGGTGTGTGGAGTGTTTCAATAGGTGTAAGTGTTTCATCGGTGAGTTCTTGTGTAGTGTGAACTGTGATAACAGGTGTTTTGTCATCTTCTTGTTCTGTTGTGATTTGTGTTGTTTTTCTACCTTAGGACCTACCTTCTTCTTGATAATGCGTTTTGTAATTTTCTTTTGCTTGGGCTTACCTTCGGGAGTTTCAATTTCCTCAACAGTGACCTCCTCTGGCAATTCTACCATTTCAACCGGTTTCACTTGTTCTTCTGTCGGTGTTTCTTCTTCTGTCACGGAAACGGTTGTGACGGGTTGTTCACCCTCTTTCTCCTCGGTTGTTATCTCTGTCACTTCTTGCCTGGGTCCCTGTCTCTTCTTAATGACCCGTTTAGTCGTTTTAACCTTTTGGACATCACCAGTCTCCGTTTTCACTTCGGTTATTTGAACTTCTTCTGGGAGCTCTTCGACAACGTGTGCCTTTTCGGGTGTGTGGAGTGTTTCAATAGGTGTAAGTGTTTCATCGGTGAGTTCTTGTGTAGTGTGAACTGTGATAACAGGTGTTTTGTCATCTTCTTGTTCTGTTGTGATTTGTGATGTTTCTACCTTAGGACCTACCTTCTTCTTGATAATGCGTTTTGTAATTTTCTTTTGCTTGGGCTTACCTTCGGGAGTTTCAATTTCCTCAACAGTGACCTCCTCTGGCAATTCTACCATTTCAACCGGTTTCACTTGTTCTTCTGTCGGTGTTTCTTCTTCTGTCACGGAAACGGTTGTGACGGGTTGTTCACCCTCTTTCTCCTCGGTTATTATCTCTGTCACTTCCTGCCTGGGTCCCTGTCTCTTCTTAATGACCCGTTTAGTCGTTCTAACCTTTTGGACATCACCAGTCTCCGTTTTCACTTCGGTTATTTTAACTTCTTCTGGCAGCTCTTCGACAACGTGTGCCTTTTCGGGTGTGTGGAGTGTTTCAATAGGTGTAAGTGTTTCATCGGTGAGTTGTTGTGTAGTGTGAACTGTGATAACAGGTGTTTTGTCATCTTCTTGTTCTGTTGTGATTTGTGTTGTTTCTACCTTAGGACCTACCTTCTTCTTGATAATGCGTTTTGTAATTTTCTTTTGCTTGGGCTTACCTTCGGGAGTTTCAATTTCCTCAACAATGACCTCCTCTGGCAATTCTACCATTTCAACCGGTTTCACTTGTTCTTCTCTCGGTGTTTCTTCTTCTGTCACGGAAACAGTTGTGACGGGTTGTTCACCCTCTTTCTCCTCGGTTGTTATCTCTGTCACTTCCTGCCTGGGTCCCTGTCTCTTCTTAATGACCCGTTTTGTCGTTTTTACCTTTTGGACATCACCAGTCTCCGTTTTCACTTCGGTTATTTTAACTTCTTCTGGCAGCTCTTCGACAACGTGTGCATTTTCGGGTGTGTGGAGTGTTTCAATAGGTGTAAGTGTTTCATCGGTGAGTTCTTGTGTAGTGTGAACTGTGATAACAGGTGTTTTGTCATCTTCTTGTTCTGTTGTGATTTGTGTTGTTTCTACCTTAGGACCTACCTTCTTCTTGATAATGCGTTTTGTAATTTTCTTTTGCTTGGGCTTACCTTCGGGAGTTTCAATTTCCTCAACAGTGACCTCCTCTGGCAATTCTACCATTTCAACCGGTTTCACTTGTTCTTCTGTCGGTGTTTCTTCTTCTGTCACGGAAACGGTTGTGACGGGTTGTTCACCCTCTTTCTCCTCGGTTGTTATCTCTGTCACTTCTTGCCTGGGTCCCTGTCTCTTCTTAATGACCCGTTTAGTCGTTTTAACCTTTTGGACATCACCAGTCTCCGTTTTCACTTCGGTTATTTGAACTTCTTCTGGGAGCTCTTCGACAACGTGTGCCTTTTCGGGTGTGTGGAGTGTTTCAATAGGTGTAAGTGTTTCATCGGTGAGTTCTTGCGTTGTGTGAACTGTGATAACAGGTGTTTTGTCATCTTCTTGTTCTGTTGTGATTTGTGTTGTTTCTACCTTAGGACCTACCTTCTTCTTGATAATGCGTTTTGTAATTTTCTTTTGCTTGGGCTTACCTTCGGGAGTTTCAATTTCCTCAACAGTGACCTCCTCTGGCAATTCTACCATTTCAACCGGTTTCACTTGTTCTTCTGTCGGTGTTTCTTCTTCTGTCACGGAAACGGTTGTGACGGGTTGTTCACCCTCTTTCTCCTCGGTTGTTATCTCTGTCACTTCCTGCCTGGGTCCCTGTCTCTTCTTAATGACCCGTTTAGTCGTTCTAACCTTTTGGACATCACCAGTCTCCGTTTTCACTTCGGTTATTTTAACTTCTTCTGGCAGCTCTTCGACAACGTGTGCCTTTTCGGGTGTGTGGAGTGTTTCAATAGGTGTAAGTGTTTCATCGGTGAGTTCTTGTGTAGTGTGAACTGTGATAACAGGTGTTTTGTCATCTTCTTGTTCTGTTGTGATTTGTGTTGTTTCTACCTTAGGACCTACCTTCTTCTTGATAATGCGTTTTGTAATTTTCTTTTGCTTGGGCTTACCTTCGGGAGTTTCAATTTCCTCAACAATGACCTCCTCTGGCAATTCTACCATTTCAACCGGTTTCACTTGTTCTTCTCTCGGTGTTTCTTCTTCTGTCACGGAAACAGTTGTGACGGGTTGTTCACCCTCTTTCTCCTCGGTTGTTATCTCTGTCACTTCCTGCCTGGGTCCCTGTCTCTTCTTAATGACCCGTTTAGTCGTTTTTACCTTTTGGACATCACCAGTCTCCGTTTTCACTTCGGTTATTTTAACTTCTTCTGGCAGCTCTTCGACAACGTGTGCCTTTTCGGGTGTGTGGAGTGTTTCAATAGGTGTAAGTGTTTCATCGGTGAGTTCTTGTGTAGTGTGAACTGTGATAACAGGTGTTTTGTCATCTTCTTGTTCTGTTGTGATTTGTGTTGTTTCTACCTTAGGACCTACCTTCTTCTTGATAATGCGTTTTGTAATTTTCTTTTGCTTGGGCTTACCTTCGGGAGTTTCAATTTCCTCAACAGTGACCTCCTCTGGCAATTCTACCATTTCAACCGGTTTCACTAGTTCTTCTGTCGGTGTTTCTTCTTCTGTCACGGAAACGGTTGTGACGGGTTGTTCACCCTCTTTCTCCTCGGTTGTTATCTCTGTCACTTCTTGCCTGGGTCCCTGTCTCTTCTTAATGACCCGTTTAGTCGTTTTAACCTTTTGGACATCACCAGTCTCCGTTTTCACTTCGGTTATTTGAACTTCTTCTGGGAGCTCTTCGACAACGTGTGCCTTTTCGGGTGTGTGGAGTGTTTCAATAGGTGTAAGTGTTTCATCGGTGAGTTCTTGTGTAGTGTGAACTGTGATAACAGGTGTTTTGTCATCTTCTTGTTCTGTTGTGATTTGTGTTGTTTCTACCTTAGGACCTACCTTCTTCTTGATAATGCGTTTTGTAATTTTCTTTTGCTTGGGCTTACCTTCGGGAGTTTCAATTTCCTCAACAGTGACCTCCTCTGGCAATTCTACCATTTCATCCGGTTTCAGTTGTTCCTCTCTCGGTGTTTCATCTTCTGTCACGGAAACAGTTGTGACGGGTTGTTCACCCTCTTTCTCCTCGGTTGTTATCTCTGTCACTTCCTGCCTGGGTCCCTGTCTCTTCTTAATGACCCGTTTTGTCGTTTTTACCTTTTGGACATCACCAGTCTCCGTTTTCACTTCGGTTATTTGAACTTCTTCTGGCAGCTCTTCGACAACGTGTACCGTTTCGGGTGTGTGGAGTGTTTCAATAGGTGTGTGTGTTTCATCGGTGACTTCTTGCGTTGTGTGAACTGTGATAACAGGTGTTTTGTCATCCTCTTGTTCTGTTGTGATTTGTGTAGTTTCTACCTTAGGACCTACCTTCTTCTTGATAATGCGTTTTGTAATTTTCTTTTGCTTGGGCTTACCTTCGGGAGTTTCAATTTCCTCAACAGTGACCTCCTCTGGCAATTCTACCATTTCAACCGGTTTCAGTTGTTCCTCTCTCGGTGTTTCTTCTTCTGTCACGGAAACAGTTGTGACGGGTTGTTCACCCTCTTTCTCCTCGGTTGTTATCTCTGTCACTTCCTGCCTGGGTCCCTGTCTCTTCTTAATGACCCGTTTAGTCGTTTTTACCTTTTGGACATCACCAGTCTCCGTTTTCACTTCGGTTATTAGAACTTCTTCTGGCAGCTCTTCGACAACGTGTGCCTTTTCGGGTGTGTGGAGTGTTTCAAGAGGTGTGAGTGTTTCATCGGTGACTTCTTGCGTTGTGTGAACTGTGATAGCAGGTGTTTTGTCATCTTCTTGTTCTGTTGTGATTTGTGTTGTTTCTACCTTAGGACCTATCTTCTTCTTGATAATGCGTTTTGTAATTTTCTTTTGCTTGGGCTTACCTTCGGGAGTTTCAATTTCCTCAACAGTGACCTCCTCTGGCAATTCTACCATTTCAACCGGTTTTACTTTTTCTTCTGTCGGTGTTTCTTCTTCTGTCACGGAAACAATCGTGACGGGTTGTTCACCCTCTTTCTCCTCGGTTGTTATCTCTGTCACTTCCTGCCTGGGTCCCTGTCTCTTCTTAATGACCCGTTTTGTCGTTTTTACTTTTTGGACATCACCAGTCTCCGTTTTCACTTCGGTTATTTTAACTTCTTCTGGCAGCTCTTCGACAACGTGTGCCTTTTCGGGTGCGTGGAGTGTTTCAATAGGTGTAAGTGTTTCATCGGTGAGTTCCTGTGTAGTGTGAACTGTGATAACAGGTGTTTTGTCATCTTCTTGTTCTGTTGTGATTTGTGTTGTTTCTACCTTAGGACCAACCTTCTTCTTGATAATGCGTTTTGTAATATTCTTTTGCTTGGGCTTACCTTCGGGAGTTTCAATATCCTCAACAGTGACCTCCTCTGGCAATTCTACCATTTCAACTGGTTTCACTTGTTCTTCTCTCGGTGTTTCTTCTTCTGTCACGGAAACAGTCGTGACGGGTTGTTCACCCTCTTTCTCCTCGGTTGTTATCTCTGTCACTTCCTGCCTGGGTCCCTGTCTCTTCTTAATGACCCGTTTAGTCGTTTTTACTTTTTGGTCATCACCAGTCTCCGTTTTCACTTCGGTTATTTTAACTTCTTCTGGCAGCTCTTCGACAACGTGTGCCTTTTCGGGTGCGTGGAGTGTTTCAATAGGTGTAAGTGTTTCATCGGTGAGTTCTTGTGTAGTGTGAACTGTGATAACAGGTGTTTTGTCATCTTCTTGTTCTGTTGTGATTTGTGTTGTTTCTACCTTAGGACCTACCTTCTTCTTGATAATGCGTTTTGTAATTTTCTTTTGCTTGGTCTTACCTTCGGGAGTTTCAGTTTCCTCAACAGTGACCTCCTCTGGCAATTCTACCATTTCAACCGGTTTCACTTGTTCTTCTGTCGGTGTTACTTCTTCTGTCACGGAAACAGTTGTGACGGGTTGTTCACCCTCTTTCTCCTCGGTTGTTATCTCTGTCACTTCCTGCCTGGGTCCCTGTCTCTTCTTAATGACCCGTTTTGTCGTTTTTACCTTTTGGACATCACCAGTCTCCGTTTTCACTTCGGTTATTTTAACTTCTTCTGGGAGCTCTTCGACAACGTGTGCCTTTTCGGGTGTGTGGAGTGTTTCAATAGGTGTAAGTGTTTCATCGGTGAGTTCTTGTGTAGTGTGAACTGTGATAACAGGTGTTTTGTCATCTTCTTGTTCTGTTGTGATTTGTGTTGTTTCTACCTTAGGACCAACCTTCTTCTTGATAATGCGTTTTGTAATTTTCTTTTGCTTGGGCTTACCTTCGGGAGTTTCAATTTCCTCAACAGTGACCTCCTCTGGCAATTCTACCATTTCAACCGGTTTCACTTGTTCTTCTGTCGGTGTTTCTTCTTCTGTCACGGAAACAGTTGTGACGGGTTGTTCACCCTCTTTCTCCTCGGTTGTTATCTCTGTCACTTCCTGCCTGGATCCCTGTCTCTTCTTAATGACCCGTTTAGTCGTTTTTAACTTTTGGACATCACCAGTCTCCGTTTTCACTTCGGTTATTTTAACTTCTTCTGGCAGCTCTTCGACAACGTGTGCCTTTTCGGGTGTGTGGAGTGTTTCAATAGGTGTAAGTTTTTCATCGGTGAGTTCTTGTGTAGTGTGAACTGTGATAACAGGTGTTTTGTCATCTTCTTGTTCTGTTGTGATTTGTGTTGTTTCTACCTTAGGACCTACCTTCTTCTTGATAATGCGTTTTGTAATTTTCTTTTGCTTGGGCTTACCTTCGGGAGTTTCAGTTTCCTCAACAGTGACCTCCTCTGGCAATTCTACCATTTCAACGGGTTTCACTTGTTCTTCTCCTGGTGTTTCTTCTTCTGTCACGGAAACAGTCGTGATGGGTTGTTCACCCTCTTTCTCCTCGGTTGTTATCTCTGACACTTCCTGCTTGGGTCCCTGCCTCTTCTTAATGACCCGTTTAGTCGTTTTTACCTTTTGGACATCACCAGTCTCCGTTTTCACTTCGGTTATTTTAACTTCTTCTGGCAGCTCTTCGACAACGTGTACCGTTTCGGGTGTGTGGAGTGTTTCAAGAGGTGTGAGTGTTTCATCGGTGACTTCTTGCGTTGTGTGAACTGTGATAACAGGTGTTTTGTCATCTTCTTGTTCTGTTGTGATTTGTGTTGTTTCTACCTTAGGACCTACCTTCTTCTTGATAGTGCGTTTTGTAATTTTCTTTTGCTTGGGCTTACCTTCGGGAGTTTCAATTTCCTCTACAGTGACCTCCTCTGGCAATTCTACCATTTCAACCGGTTTCAGTTGTTCCTCTCTCGGTGTTTCATCTTCTGTCACGGAAACAGTTGTGACGGGTTGTTCACCCTCTTTCTCCTCGGTTGTTATCTCTGTCACTTCCTGCCTGGGTCCCTGTCTCTTCTTAATGACCCGTTTAGTCGTTTTTACCTTTTGGACATCACCAGTCTCCGTTTTCACTTCGGTTATTTGAACTTCTTCTGGCAGCTCTTCGACAACGTGTACCGTTTCGGGTGTGTGGAGTGTTTCAATAGGTGTGAGTGTTTCATCGGTGACTTCTTGCGTTGTGTGAACTGTGATAACAGGTGTTTTGTCATCTTCTTGTTCTGTTGTGATTTGTGTAGTTTCTACCTTAGGACCTACCTTCTTCTTGATAATGCGTTTTGTAATTTTCTTTTGCTTGGGCTTACCTTCGGGAGTTTCAATTTCCTCAACAGTGACCTCCTCTGGCAATTCTACCATTTCAACCGGTTTCAGTTGTTCCTCTCTCGGTGTTTCTTCTTCTGTCACGGAAACAGTTGTGACGGGTTGTTCACCCTCTTTCTCCTCGGTTGTTATCTCTGTCACTTCCTGCCTGGGTCCCTGTCTCTTCTTAATGACCCGTTTAGTCGTTTTTACCTTTTGGACATCACCAGTCTCCGTTTTCACTTCGGTTATTTGAACTTCTTCTGGCAGCTCTTCGACAACGTGTACCGTTTCGGGTGTGTGGAGTGTTTCAAGAGGTGTGAGTGTTTCATCGGTGACTTCTTGCGTTGTGTGAACTGTGATAACAGGTGTTTTGTCATCTTCTTGTTCTGTTGTGATTTGTGTTGTTTCTACCTTAGGACCTACCTTCTTCTTGATAATGCGTTTTGTAATTTTCTTTTGCTTGGGCTTACCTTCGGGAGTTTCAATTTCCTCAACAGTGACCTCCTCTGGCAATTCTACCATTTCAACCGGTTTCACTTGTTCTTCTGTCGGTGTTTCTTCTTCTGTCACGGAAACAATCGTGACGGGTTGTTCACCCTCTTTCTCCTCGGTTGTTATCTCTGTCACTTCCTGCTTGGGTCCCTGCCTCTTCTTAATGACCCGTTTAGTCGTTTTTACCTTTTGGACATCACCAGTCTCCGTTTTCACTTCGGTTATTTGAACTTCTTCTGGCAGCTCTTCGACAACGTGTACCGTTTCGGGTGTGTGGAGTGTTTCAAGAGGTGTGAGTGTTTCATCGGTGACTTCTTGCGTTGTGTGAACTGTAATAACAGGTGTTTTGTCATCCTCTTGTTCTGTTGTGATTTGTGTAGTTTCTACCTTAGGACCTACCTTCTTCTTGATAATGCGTTTTGTAATTTTCTTTTGCTTGGGCTTACCTTCGGGAGTTTCAATTTCCCCAACAGTGACCTCCTCTGGCAATTCTACCATTTCAACCGGTTTCAGTTGTTCCTCTCTCGGTGTTTCTTCTTCTGTCACGGAAACAGTTGTGACGGGTTGTTCACCCTCTTTCTCCTCGGTTGTTATCTCTGTCACTTCCTGCCTGGGTCCCTGTCTCTTCTTAATGACCCGTTTAGTCGTTTTTACCTTTTGGACATCACCAGTCTCCGTTTTCACTTCGGTTATTTGAACTTCTTCTGGCAGCTCTTCGACAACGTGTACCGTTTCGGGTGTGTGGAGTGTTTCAAGAGGTGTGAGTGTTTCATCGGTGACTTCTTGCGTTGTGTGAACTGTGATAACAGGTGTTTTGTCATCTTCTTGTTCTGTTGTGATTTGTGTTGTTTCTACCTTAGGACCTATCTTCTTCTTGATAATGCGTTTTGTAATTTTCTTATGTTTAGTCTTACCTTCTGGAGTTTCCGTTTCCTCTACAGTAGTCTCTTCCGGTAGTACAACTATTTCAACGGGTTTGAGAACTTCTTCCTCCTCAGGAATCTTCTCCTCTGTGACAGTTACGGTAGTGACAGGCTTTGCATCATCTTTTTCGACTGTGACTATTTCGGTTACCTCTTGCTTTTTGCCTTGCTTTTTCTTTATGACACGTTTAGTTGTTTTCACTTTCTGCGTTTCCCCAGTCTCAGTTTTAACTTCCGTCACTTTCACTACTTCCGGAACCTCTTCAATCACTTCTGCTGTTTCAGGTTTGAGTAATGAATCGAGTGGTGTAACTGTTTCGTCTGTGTATTCTTCTGTTTTGTGTACAGTTGTGACAGGTTGTTCATCGTCAGCTTGTTCGGTAGTTATTTGTGTAGTTTCTACCTTTGGTCCTACCCGCTTTTTAATAACGCGTTTGGTGATTTTCTTATGTTTAGTCTTACCTTCTGGAGTTTCCGTTTCCTCTACAGTAGTCTCTTCCGGTAGTTCAACTATTTCAACGGGTTTGAGAACTTCTTCCTCCTCAGGAATCTTCTCCTCTGTGACAGTTACGGTAGTGACAGGCTTTGCATCATCTTTTTCGACTGTGACTATTTCGGTTACCTCTTGCTTTTTGCCTTGCTTTTTCTTTATGACACGTTTAGTTGTTTTCACTTTCTGCGTTTCCCCAGTCTCAGTTTTAACTTCCGTCACTTTCACTACTTCCGGAACCTCTTCAATCACTTCTGCTGTTTCAGGTTTGAGTAATGAATCGAGTGGTGTAACTGTTTCGTCTGTGTATTCTTCTGTTTTGTGTACAGTTGTGACAGGTTGTTCATCGTCAGCTTGTTCGGTAGTTATTTGTGTAGTTTCTACCTTTGGTCCTACCCGCTTTTTAATAACGCGTTTGGTGATTTTCTTATGTTTAGTCTTACCTTCTGGAGTTTCCGTTTCCTCTACAGTAGTCTCTTCGGGTAGTTCAACTATTTCAACGGGTTTGAGAACTTCTTCCTCCTCAGGAATCTTCTCCTCTGTGACAGTTACGGTAGTAATTGGCTTTGCATCATCTTTTTCGACTGTGACTATTTCGGTTACCTCTTGCTTTTTGCCTTGCTTTTTCTTTATGACACGTTTAGTTGTTTTCACTTTCTGCGTTTCCCCAGTCTCAGTTTTAACTTCCGTCACTTTCACTACTTCCGGAACCTCTTCAATCACTTCTGCTGTTTCAGGTTTGAGTAATGAATCGAGTGGTGTAACTGTTTCGTCTGTGTATTCTTCTGTTTTGTGTACAGTTGTGACAGGTTGTTCATCGTCAGCTTGTTCGGTAGTTATTTGTGTAGTTTCTACCTTTGGTCCTACCCGCTTTTTAATAACGCGTTTGGTGATTTTCTTATGTTTAGTCTTACCTTCTGGAGTTTCCGTTTCCTCTACAGTAGTCTCTTCCGGTAGTTCAACTATTTCAACGGGTTTGAGAACTTCTTCCTCCTCAGGAATCTTCTCCTCTGTGACAGTTACGGTAGTAATTGGCTTTGCATCATCTTTTTCGACTGTGACTATTTCGGTTACCTCTTGCTTTTTGCCTTGCTTTTTCTTTATGACACGTTTAGTTGTTTTCACTTTCTGCGTTTCCCCAGTCTCAGTTTTAACTTCCGTCACTTTCACTACTTCCGGAACCTCTTCAATCACTTCTGCTGTTTCAGGTTTGAGTAATGAATCGAGTGGTGTAACTGTTTCGTCTGTGTATTCTTCTGTTTTGTGTACAGTTGTGACAGGTTGTTCATCGTCAGCTTGTTCGGTAGTTATTTGTGTAGTTTCTACCTTTGGTCCTACCCGCTTTTTAATAACGCGTTTGGTGATTTTCTTATGTTTAGTCTTACCTTCTGGAGTTTCCGTTTCCTCTACAGTAGTCTCTTCGGGTAGTTCAACTATTTCAACGGGTTTGAGAACTTCTTCCTCCTCAGGAATCTTCTCCTCTGTGACAGTTACGGTAGTAATTGGCTTTGCATCATCTTTTTCGACTGTGACTATTTCGGTTACCTCTTGCTTTTTGCCTTGCTTTTTCTTTATGACACGTTTAGTTGTTTTCACTTTCTGCGTTTCCCCAGTCTCAGTTTTAACTTCCGTCACTTTCACTACTTCCGGAACCTCTTCAATCACTTCTGCTGTTTCAGGTTTGAGTAATGAATCGAGTGGTGTAACTGTTTCGTCTGTGTATTCTTCTGTTTTGTGTACAGTTGTGACAGGTTGTTCATCGTCAGCTTGTTCGGTAGTTATTTGTGTAGTTTCTACCTTTGGTCCTACCCGCTTTTTAATAACGCGTTTGGTGATTTTCTTATGTTTAGTCTTACCTTCTGGAGTTTCCGTTTCCTCTACAGTAGTCTCTTCCGGTAGTTCAACTATTTCAACGGGTTTGAGAACTTCTTCCTCCTCAGGAATCTTCTCCTCTGTGACAGTTACGGTAGTGACAGGCTTTGCATCATCTTTTTCGACTGTGACTATTTCGGTTACCTCTTGCTTTTTGCCTTGCTTTTTCTTTATGACACGTTTAGTTGTTTTCACTTTCTGCGTTTCCCCAGTCTCAGTTTTAACTTCCGTCACTTTCACTACTTCCGGAACCTCTTCAATCACTCCTGCTGTTTCAGGTTTGTGTAATGAATCGAGTGGTGTAACTGTTTCGTCTGTGTATTCTTCTGTTTTGTGTACAGTTGTGACAGGTTGTTCATCGTCAACTTGTTCGGTAGTTATTTGTGTAGTTTCTACCTTTGGTCCTACCCGCTTTTTAATAACGCGTTTGATGACTTTCTTATGTTTAGTCCTACCTTCTGGAGTTTCCGTTTCCTCTACAGTAGTCTCTTCGGGTAGTTCAACTATTTCAACGGGTTTGAGAACTTCTTCCTCCTCAGGAATCTTCTCCTCTGTGACAGTTACGGTAGTAATTGGCTTTTCATCATCTTTTTCGACTGTGACTATTTCGGTTACCTCTTGCTTTTTGCCTTGCTTTTTCTTTATGACACGTTTAGTTGTTTTCACTTTCTGCGTTTCCCCAGTCTCAGTTTTAACTTCCGTCACTTTCACTACTTCCGGAACCTCTTCAATCACTTCTGCTGTTTCAGGTTTGAGTAATGAATCGAGTGGTGTAACTGTTTCGTCTGTGTATTCTTCTGTTTTGTGTACAGTTGTGACAGGTTGTTCATCGTCAGCTTGTTCGGTAGTTATTTGTGTAGTTTCTACTTTTGGTCCTACCCGCTTTTTAATAACGCGTTTGGTTATTTTCTTATGTTTAGTCTTACCTTCTGGAGTTTTCGTTTCCTCTACAGTAGTCTCTTCGGGTAGTTCAACTATTTCACTGGGTTTGAGAACTTCTTCCTCCTCAGGAATCTTCTCCTCTGTGACAGTTACGGTAGTAATTGGCTTTTCATCATCTTTTTCGACTGTGACTATTTCGGTTACCTCTTGCTTTTTGCCTTGCTTTTTCTTTATGACACGTTTAGTTGTTTTCACTTTCTGCGTGTCCCCAGTTTCAGTTTTAACTTCCGTCACTTTCACTACTTCCGGAACCTCTTCAATCACTTCTGCTGTTTCAGGTTTGAGTAATGAATCGAGTGGTGTAACTGTTTCGTCTGTGTATTCTTCTGTTTTGTGTACAGTTGTGACAGGTTGTTCATCGTCAGCTTGTTCGGTAGTTATTTGTGTAGTTTCTACCTTTGGTCCTACCCGCTTTTTAATAACGCGTTTGGTGATTTTCTTATGTTTAGTCTTACCTTCTGGAGTTTCCGTTTCCTCTACAGTAGTCTCTTCCGGTAGTTCGACTATTTCAACGGGTTTGAGAACTTCTTCCTCCTCAGGAATCTTCTCCTCTGTGACAGTTACGGTAGTGACAGGCTTTGCATCATCTTTTTCGACTGTGACTATTTCGGTTACCTCTTGCTTTTTGCCTTGCTTTTTCTTTATGACACGTTTAGTTGTTTTCACTTTCTGCGTTTCCCCAGTCTCAGTTTTAACTTCAGTCACTTTCACTTCTTCCGGAACCTCTTCAATCACTTCTGCTGTTTCAGGTTTGAGTAATGAATCGAGTGGTGTAACTGTTTCGTCTGTGTATTCTTCTGTTTTGTGTACAGTTGTGACAGGTTGTTCATCGTCAGCTTGTTCGGTAGTTATTTGTGTAGTTTCTACCTTTGGTCCTACCCGCTTTTTAATAACGCGTTTGGTTATTTTCTTATGTTTAGTCCTACCTTCTGGAGTTTTCGTTTCCTCTACAGTAGTCTCTTCGGGTAGTTCAACTATTTCAACGGGTTTGAGAACTTCTTCCTCCTCAGGAATCTTCTCCTCTGTGACAGTTACGGTAGTAATTGGCTTTTCATCATCTTTTTCGACTGTGACTATTTCGGTTACCTCTTGCTTTTTGCCTTGCTTTTTCTTTATGACACGTTTAGTTGTTTTCACTTTCTGCGTGTCCCCAGTTTCAGTTTTAACTTCCGTCACTTTCACTACTTCCGGAACCTCTTCAATCACTTCTGCTGTTTCAGGTTTGAGTAATGAATCGAGTGGTGTAACTGTTTCGTCTGTGTATTCTTCTGTTTTGTGTACAGTTGTGACAGGTTGTTCATCGTCAGCTTGTTCGGTAGTTATTTGTGTAGTTTCTACCTTTGGTCCTTCCCGCTTTTTAATAACGCGTTTGGTGATTTTCTTATGTTTAGTCTTACCTTCTGGAGTTTCCGTTTCCTCTACAGTAGTCTCTTCCGGTAGTTCAACTATTTCAACGGGTTTGAGAACTTCTTCCTCCTCAGGAATCTTCTCCTCTGTGACAGTTAGGGTAGTGACAGGCTTTGCATCATCTTTTTCGACTGTGACTATTTTGGTTACCTCTTGCTTTTTGCCTTGCTTTTTCTTAATGACACGTTTAGTTGTTTTCACTTTCTGCGTTTCCCCAGTCTCAGTTTTAACTTCAGTCACTTTCACTTCTTCCGGAACCTCTTCAATCACTTCTGCTGTTTCAGGTTTGAGTAATGAATCGAGTGGTGTAACTGTTTCGTCTGTGTATTCTTCTGTTTTGTGTACAGTTGTGACAGGTTGTTCATCGTCAACTTGTTCGGTAGTTATTTGTGTAGTTTCTACCTTTGGTCCTACCCGCTTTTTAATAACGCGTTTGATGATTTTCTTATGTTTAGTCCTACCTTCTGGAGTTTCCATTTCCTCTACAGTAGTCTCTTCGGGTAGTTCAACTATTTCAACGGGTTTGAGAACTTCTTCCTCCTCAGGAATCTTCTCCTCTGTGACAGTTACGGTAGTAATTGGCTTTTCATCATCTTTTTCGACTGTGACTATTTCGGTTACCTCTTGTTTTTTGCCTTGCTTTTTCTTTATGACACGTTTAGTTGTTTTCACTTTCTGCGTTTCCCCAGTCTCAGTTTTAACTTCCGTCACTTTCACTACTTCCGGAACCTCTTCAATCACTTCTGCTGTTTCAGGTGTGAGTAATGAATCGAGTGGTGTAACTGTTTCATCTGTGTATTCTTCTGTTTTGTGTACAGTTGTGACAGGTTGTTCATCGTCAGCTTGTTCGGTAGTTATTTGTGTAGTTTCTACCTTTGGTCCTAAACGCTTTTTAATAACGCGTTTGATGATTTTCTTATGTTTAGTCTTACCTTCTGGAGTTTCCGTTTTCTCTACAGTAGTCTCTTCGGGTAGTTCAACTATTTCAACGGGTTTGAGAACTTCTTCCTCCTCAGGAATCTTCTCCTCTGTGACAGTTACGGTAGTGACAGGCTTTGCATCATCTTTTTCGACTGTGACTATTTCGGTTACCTCTTGCTTTTTGCCTTGCTTTTTCTTTATGACACGTTTAGTTGTTTTCACTTTCTGCGTTTCCCCAGTCTCAGTTTTAACTTCCGTCACTTTCACTACTTCCGGAACCTCTTCAATCACTCCTGCTGTTTCAGGTTTGTGTAATGAATCGAGTGGTGTAACTGTTTCGTCTGTGTATTCTTCTGTTTTGTGTACAGTTGTGACAGGTTGTTCATCGTCAACTTGTTCGGTAGTTATTTGTGTAGTTTCTACCTTTGGTCCTACCCGCTTTTTAATAACGCGTTTGATGACTTTCTTATGTTTAGTCCTACCTTCTGGAGTTTCCGTTTCCTCTACAGTAGTCTCTTCGGGTAGTTCAACTATTTCAACGGGTTTGAGAACTTCTTCCTCCTCAGGAATCTTCTCCTCTGTGACAGTTACGGTAGTAATTGGCTTTTCATCATCTTTTTCGACTGTGACTATTTCGGTTACCTCTTGCTTTTTGCCTTGCTTTTTCTTTATGACACGTTTAGTTGTTTTCACTTTCTGCGTTTCCCCAGTCTCAGTTTTAACTTCCGTCACTTTCACTACTTCCGGAACCTCTTCAATCACTTCTGCTGTTTCAGGTTTGAGTAATGAATCGAGTGGTGTAACTGTTTCGTCTGTGTATTCTTCTGTTTTGTGTACAGTTGTGACAGGTTGTTCATCGTCAGCTTGTTCGGTAGTTATTTGTGTAGTTTCTACCTTTGGTCCTACCCGCTTTTTAATAACGCGTTTGGTTATTTTCTTATGTTTAGTCCTACCTTCTGGAGTTTTCGTTTCCTCTACAGTAGTCTCTTCGGGTAGTTCAACTATTTCACTGGGTTTGAGAACTTCTTCCTCCTCAGGAATCTTCTCCTCTGTGACAGTTACGGTAGTAATTGGCTTTTCATCATCTTTTTCGACTGTGACTATTTCGGTTACCTCTTGCTTTTTGCCTTGCTTTTTCTTTATGACACGTTTAGTTGTTTTCACTTTCTGCGTGTCCCCAGTTTCAGTTTTAACTTCCGTCACTTTCACTACTTCCGGAACCTCTTCAATCACTTCTGCTGTTTCAGGTTTGAGTAATGAATCGAGTGGTGTAACTGTTTCGTCTGTGTATTCTTCTGTTTTGTGTACAGTTGTGACAGGTTGTTCATCGTCAGCTTGTTCGGTAGTTATTTGTGTAGTTTCTACCTTTGGTCCTACCCGCTTTTTAATAACGCGTTTAATGATTTTCTTATGTTTAGTCTCACCTTCTGGAGTTTCCGTTTCCTCTACAGTAGTCTCTTCGGGTAGTTCAACTATTTCAACGGGTTTGAGAACTTCTTCCTCCTCAGGAATCTTCTCCTCTGTGACAGTTACGGTAGTAACAGGCTTTTCATCATCTTTTTCGACTGTGACTATTTCGGTTACCTCTTGTTTTTTGCCTTGCTTTTTCTTTATGACACGTTTAGTTGTTTTCACTTTCTGCGTGTCCCCAGTTTCAGTTTTAACTTCCGTCACTTTCACTACTTCCGGAACCTCTTCAATCACTTCTGCTGTTTCAGGTTTGAGTAATGAATCGAGTGGTGTAACTGTTTCGTCTGTGTATTCTTCTGTTTTGTGTACAGTTGTGACAGGTTGTTCATCGTCAGCTTGTTCGGTAGTTATTTGTGTAGTTTCTACCTTTGGTCCTACCCGCTTTTTAATAACGCGTTTGGTTATTTTCTTATGTTTAGTCCTACCTTCTGGAGTTTCCGTTTCCTCTACAGTAGTCTCTTCCGGTAGTTCAACTATTTCAACGGGTTTGAGAACTTCTTCCTCCTCAGGAATCTTCTCCTCTGTGACAGTTACGGTAGTAACTGGCTTTTCATCATCTTTTTCGACTGTGACTATTTCGGTAACCTCTTGCTTTTTGCCTTGCTTTTTCTTTATGACACGTTTAGTTGTTTTCACTTTCTGCGTTTCCCCAGTCTCAGTTTTAACTTCAGTCACTTTCACTTCTTCCGGAACCTCTTCAATCTCTTCTGCTTTTTCAGGTTTGAGTAATGAATCAAGTGGTGTAACTGTTTCGTCCGTGTATTCTTCTGTTTTGTGTACATTTGTGACAGGTTGTTCATCGTCAGCTTGTTCGGTAGTTATTTGTGTAGTTTCTACCTTTGGTCCTAACCGCTTTTTAATAACGCGTTTGGTGATTTTCTTATGTTTAGTCTTACCTTCTGGAGTTTGCGTTTCCTCTACAGTAGTCTCTTCCGGTAGTTCAATAATTTCAACGGGTTTGGGACCTTCGTCTTCTTCAAGAATCATCTCCTCTGTGACAGTTTCGGTCGTAACTGGCTTTTCATCATCTTTTTCGACTGTGACTGATTCTGTTACCTCTTTAGTTTTCTTTATAACACGTTTAGCGGTTTTTACTTTTTGAATATCCCTTGCCTCAACTACCTTCACTTTTTCTTCTTCAATTTTCTCTTCAATCATGTCCCTTACTTTTTCAATTTTTTTATCGGTTACCTCTTCTATACTCATACGCGATTTTAATATCGGGAAATCAAATTGTTCCTCTGGTAACTCAACTAATCCATTATGATTAGTGTCCATTGAATCCACGCCCTCATACTCTTCAATTTGAACATCATGTGTAAGTCGTGGAATTATTTTATCCTTACTGTCATCCTCCATTGTTTCCTCAATAACTATGTCGCTGTCTATTTTACAATCATTTTCTGATTTGCTTTTCTTTTTTAATATTGTCCGTTTTGTTCTTATTTTTATAGGTTCCTTGTTACCTGGAGCTTTCATAAATTTGGTTATTATTTCTTCAGATTCTTCCATGTCTGATGACTTAGATGATAAAGAATGTCGTCTTGTATCTTCTGAAAGAAATCATAAGACCATGAAAAAATAACTATATTGATACTATATTAACTTTTATATCAATTAAAAAATAGCATTCCTTTTTCATATCTTGTCATGTTTTACATTTCCTATTTGATTATTTTTCAAAAACTGTGTGATTTTCTTAGAGCTATTTAATTTTAACATTTTGTAGTTTTGTACAATACTTTCAATAAAATTTTATTTTAAATTCAAATTGTTATCATTTATACATATGTGTACAATTTGAATTTATTTATTATCAACAAAATACAAACGATAAAGTAATATTTTTGGTCAAAAATGTATGAAAAAGTATGTAACTCAGTCTTTTATAGATGCCGTTTCATAAATTTACAAAATTCCAAATGAGGGAACAAAATTTCCTGTTTTGCAAAAAATCTTTTACATTTTGCATCCTTGTTAAACGTCTTTATTATTAACTGTTTTCCTTCTAAATTTTAAATACAGAGCATAATATATATATTTTAACATATGTACATAAAATGTTTTTATCTGACATTTTACATATTTCTGCCACTATAATATATGTTATTTAAAAATTTCAAACTGGAAAATAATATTTTTCATACAATATTTATTCTTACCTAGTAAATTACCATCTAATCACTAGAATTATTCGTATTCTAAATAAAATAAATACCATTACCTAATATCTCTATGTCCTCTTGTAAGACTGTTTTTTCTTCCACTGGTTCTTCAAAACGTTGAAATTCTTCTTTTGTAATAGATACTTCTTCATTTACAACAGAAGCTATTTGCTTGTTATTTACATCAAATTCTAGAACGCCAAAATTTTGGATGTCTTCTCCTAATACAATTTCCATTTGGTTGATACCCTTTAATTCAATTATCTGTTCATCAGCTACTTTAGAAGTTTCTTTTTGAGAAATAATTTTTTCAATAGAGTCGTCAATGACGTGTTCTTCCGTAAAATATGACTTGTTTACTTCTAAATCACAGTTAGCAGATGCTGAGTGTGGTATACATATTTCAGGCAATGATGTTATACCTTCCACGACCTCAGGCAATACAGTCAACAAAACTTCGTCATTAACAGTCTGCGTAACAGATGTTGTTTCCTTATTTGACAAAGTTTCTTTTCTTTCTTGTATCGATTCAAAAATGTTATTAAACGTTGCGTCTGTTTGCTCTACAGCATTCAGACAATATATATTTTCTTGTGCACTGTTACTTTGTAGCTTTGTTAGTGGGGTAAGTTCATCAACGCTTTCTATTATTTGGTGTTCTCTTTCACTAAAAGATTCTTTAAAGACATAAGTTGTAACCGCATTTACTTGTTTGTTTATCTCATTTTCTAGTTTTAAGCTATCTTCAACTGCTACTGTTTCACAGATTGTAAGATGGTTGGTTATATTTATATTCATATCTTGATTTAAAACTGATTTATTAACAAATTGATTATAAAATTCTTTTTCTTTATCTATGATTAACATATCTGTTACTGTTATATGTTCATGAGATTCTAAATCAAGAGAAGCATGATCTTGTTTAGGAGTACTTTTTAACGTCAAATTCTCTTCCGACTCCCTCGTCATAACCTCATTTACTTCAAGTGAGGGTCTTAAATCAAATAGAGACTTAGCTGATTGCGAATCATTGATAGACTTAATTTCAATTCCCTGGCCGATTTCTAATGGTTGAACTTCGAGCACTGTAATTGTGTGATTTCCTTCTTCAATGTTAGGTACTAAACTTTCTTTGTCCTGTTGATAAACTTCATCCAACGTTTCTCCCGTTTCCAATGGAGTTATTTGTAAAATATTAAGATGATCTTCTTTTTCAAAACCAATAAATGAATTTACGGCATTATTTTTGCTATCGATTAAGAAGTGTTCTACATGTTCTTCACTTCTTACATCAGTGACATGAAGTGGTTTTATGTCATCTAGGATATAATCTTTTTGTTCTTCAACTTTGTTAATTTTCTTCAGATTACTCTCACTTTCAGAAACTTGATATTCCTCGACATTCAAATGATGATAAGCGTCGATATTAATTTCGCTAATAGTCTTATTTATAGGTTTTTCTAAAATTAATTTACCCTCTTTATCTGCTACAATATCTTCTGATACATCAAGAGAGTGAATTCTGTCAAGGCATAAAGTAGCTTGAAGATATTTTATTTCTTTTTGATTTAATACATTTTCTTGTTCAATGACTACTGTTTCTGTTGCTCCAATTGATGATAAAATTGAAATATTTTGCTTTGGGTTAACATTAACCTTTTCTGGCAACACATTACTTATAAAAATATCTTCAAATTCACTTGTTGTCACTTCTGAAACGTCTACAGCTTTCCGCGTCTCCATAATTTCTGTTAATGTTTTAGATTCAGGTTTGCTTGAAACCTTGTTGATATATTCGGTTTCAGTTGCAGTAACAACTTCTATTCCTAAAATACTGCTGTGAGGTATAACCTTTACAGAAGCATCCTTAACAGGAATATCTACATTACTTTCGAATTCTTTTTCTTTTTCATTAATACTTGTTAAAGTTTGAATTAAGGCTTCGGATTCAACAATTTTCGGTGTTATATTGGACTGTAAAGGTTTCTGGTCACTAAACAAACTTTCTTTTTCCGCCGTTACTGTTTCTGTTTGTTCTATATTAAATAATTCTAAAGGGTTAATTTTAGGTTGTTGTTCTAAAACACGTGTCTTGAGTTCTTGCGTTGTTTGAATAACGTTAATTTCATCTATATTTGGGACTTTACCATAAATATCATCCATTTTTGTAATTGCTTTTTTATTAGATATTACTAAATGACTAATATCACTTAGGGGTTCGGATTGAGATAATATTTCACTAGTTTCCAGGCTTTGATTTTCTAATATTTTTATACTCACTTTTTGTTCTCCCGGTAATCTCAAGGGAGAAAATTGTTTTTCTTTTTCAACCAAAGTATTTTCCTGAAATTCTGGTGCATTTAAACCAGAAACTGAAGTAACAGCATTTCTCTCGGAATCTTTATCTTTTTCATCGAATTTTCGCTCAGAGGTATGAACGAAGGTTTCCTCTTGCAATATCGCTTCGCACAATACTGATTGAGGTGTTACTTCTACTTTATTATTAATTTTTTCAGAATTAAGATAAGAAGGTTTTATTTCCGCTATAGTTTCATCTACAATAACAGCCTCTTTTGAATTCATATCAAGAGTGGCTTCTTCATATATTGGTTTTTTTGAAATCATCAAACTCTCCTTCTCATTACAAAGTATAGATGAAACTATAATTTCTTTTAATGGTATATTTTGAGCATTTGCAATTTTTGTTTCTGCTGTTTCAGTAAGATCAAATGTGTTGATATCAGTATTTTCTGTTACTTCCAATGTTGAAGCTACAGGTCTACAAACAACATTTTCGAAAACTTTACACGTTTGCTTAAATTCCTCGGTTTGCTCGTATTCTCGTTCTTTTTCGTTAACCATTATTTCTGATATATTAAGTGATTCTTCAACAGGCACCATATCTGGTATTATAGTTTTTGAATTGGGGTTGACCCTGTAATCTAAAATATCTTGACTTTCCAATGTTCTATTCTCTGAAACTGTTAAAGGATATATAACATTCGGTTTCAGTTCAGCTTCTTGACGCTTCGATGGAATTTCTTTTAATTGACTTAGAGAATCAGTTAAGTTATTTTCGAGTACAACGGGAACCTTATGTTCTATATCTATTTTGACTTCAACATTATTAAAAGATTTCTCCTCTATAATTAAATTTGTTTCTACACAGCTAGGTATGGTTTCTGTTATATTTAAACTTTCATTTTCTTTAAAAGATGTCTTTGCAGTTATTGCTCGTTCTAAATTAAGATCAAAATTTTGAATTTGATCTTCAACTACTGGTTGAACGACTGTTACTTCTGTTTGTAAATCTCTTTTTTCTGATGCATATTTGTTATTATTCACTTGTTGGTTGAATATATCTATCTGATCGGCTGTCGTAATTTCGTGACAGATATGTGTTTTTAGATTATGAGTTAAAGTAGGTCTGGTATTTGCCACTTCAGGCATGTTTTCAGTATGAAATTTCGTTTCAATTTCTGGACAGGTCAATTCAAGAACGGATAGTGAATTTATAGGAATAAGTGAAACGGACACATTCTCAAAAGTTGTATCATAATTATTGGATTTCATTTCTTGGTCGTGAATTAAAGGTGAAGTTACTATTTTCGCATGTTCTGTAATTATAGTTTCATTGGCAATTTTGTCAGAAACGACTTCTGATGTTTTCAAGTCTTCCGTAGCTATTAAATATGTGGGTGCTGAAGTAATTATACCCTCAGATGATTTAACATCAATATCAGCTTTTGCTGGAGTCTTGAATTTTTCGAAATGTAACTCTTGTTCTCTTTCATGAATATTTACCTCTTCAACTATATTTTTATCTAAAACGGAAATGGTTACTTGAGCGGTATTTTGTTTTGTTGGCTCTTTTTGTAGTAAAGTATTTTCAGAATCCATTACATTTGTTTCTATGTCATATTTGTGGTGATGTTCATTAAAAGTGATATCTGCATATTTCTCTTCAGTCACTTTTGGAGAAAATTCTTTTTCTTTAACGTGAGTTGTTGTTTCAAAATTTTCAATGCAAGAATGTAAAAGAATATCTTCCTGAATATGTATCTCTGTCGGAAGGTCTGTTTTGTCTATTAAGCCTTCTTTTTCTCGCACATCGCTTGTATATACTAAGATACTATTTTCAGATGGTATATTAACATTGACCTCCTGTGGAGGTGGCATCTTTAATTTAGGAAATAGATCCTCCTTCTCTTGTATTTCCTGCATCTCCGTAATAACTTGATTTGAAAGCAAAATATCCCTTTTAGCTACTTCAGTAGGAACTATCAATTCTGGATAGTATTTCCCTGATTTATCCTCAACGAAAATTTCTTGTACGAGTAATGGTTCTAATATATCATATTGTGGATTTGGAGGAACACATATTTCATTATTTTGTTTATAAAATTCAGCTTCTTTAGTACCTTCGTTAACTTCAGTAACTTTAAGTTCTAATAATGGTGTTACTGACACTGATGCAAAAGAGGTAGATATCTGGCAATCTTTCAAGGGAGATTCTTTGGATGACACTACCTCTTCTGTAGTATTATAAGCGTTTTGAAGAGTAAATGAGCTTTTAGCTGTTCTAATATCATGTGAATCTACAATCAAGTCAGCCACAGATAAGTTAATAAGTGTTTCCGTAGTTACAAGACCTTCTGCTTGTACAGTACCTGTGTATACTTTATTATCGAGTTTTACTTTTTCTGCTTCATACTTATCAACCACTGATTCAGTCTCAATTTCAGTGACTTGCAATGATTCAAGTTCATTAAATATCTTTTTGACCGTTTTACCAGCTTCTTTATCTTTCACACGAAGTTGGTCTTCTTTGTCGTTTGTTTCTTGAATATTACTAACAAGAGGATAGTTGGTATCGAATTTAATTGTAGCGGTCGCTTCTCGTATTTTCTCTTGAGGCATTATATGTGTAACTTCACTACCAGATACTATTTCAATTCTACTGTCATATATTTCAGTTGGGAGCATGGACTTATAACTCAAACTTTCATTTTCCAAAACATTAACGTTTTCTTCTTTTAAATATTCACTAGTTTGTGTGGGGAATACTTTTGATTTCATTTTTCTCAATAACGCCTCCTCTTCTATTGTTTCTTCATCAAAATCTATCCTTTGCTGTTTACATTCTTTGTGTTTGTTATTTTCTTTATTATCTGTGAAATCACAGAATAATAATTACAATATTCTATTTTTCATTACTATATTATTTGATACGCATAATAACAGCAAGCATTATTTTTCATCCAGCCATTGCTTCTTGTTAACACGTGTTTTGTAAGTTTTGCGTTTATTTTACAATAGCTTTTCACGTAAGTCATTTACAACTACATACATAAATTAATTACTACATATATACTATAAAGGCAACTAATAAACAAACTTAAAAATAAAAAGGTTAACTTATTATATTAGCCAGTATAATAAAAGCTAAAAATAACAAAATACTCAGTTAATTTAAATAGTACATACTAAGCATTAATAAATAATATCTTATAAATAAGATGCTTTTTACATAATGAGCACATTATTATAAATAATAATATATTGTGGCAACTACAAAAATTTCATTAAAATTCAACATTGTTAGAGCTAAGTATTTCAGCAGACATGAAATAAAAATATTAAATTTGCGCACTTTAGAATGCATTTTTATAACCTTAATTTACGGTATGGTTTTATACAAGTAAAGCGAAGACGAATATTAAGTCTACATTATAAGTGGATTATTTATTGTAAGGATCACAACATCTAACTCACCGACTTTTTGATGTCTTCCTTTCTCTGAAATTTTCTGTGTATCTGTAAAGCATTTATCGTCCAAATTAATATTAGTAAAATATTTAAATGGATATATGTATAATGTTTCAAAAACTAAATACTCTTGTAAAATGCATAAGGTATTTGATCTTATTGATAAACTTACCTTCCAAAACAAGTATAGACGATTGCGTGGCAAGGTTTTTGGCAGGAGATTCTACCACAACCTGCAAATTGAAACTACGTAAGCAAATTTACAGAAATATATAACTTGAATTTGTCGCCTACGGTAAAATAAAAAAAAGTGAAAATAGAAAATAGATATGTATTTCGTTTTAGGTATAGGAAGATAAATAATTTTAACTATGGACATTCATAGGTATATGTAGTTGATTTACTTCATGTAAATTTGGTTTTTACTAAGTTATTAAAATTTGCCTTCTTCTTCTAAGTAAAACAAACCAAACGTGCATTTACCTCTTGCGCTTCTTTTTGTTCCCAGGAACGGGCTTCAAAGTCCTGAGGGTATAGATGAGAAATGACCTCTTCGACGGTGGCATGCCTTAACTCGACCATATTCATAAAGGCCTTGAAACCAACCTTCGAAGCGATAACATCCTCTTCTTGAACTGTCTCTTGTGTGAAAACATTTGTAATGAGTGCACTGTGACCTTCCCTCTCTACTAATTGTACCAACGCAGCTTGCGATTGAGGCATTCTTAAAGCTGGAAAATATTCCGAATCATACAATGTCTCGATTTGTTCTGTTGAAACTCCGCTTCTCAACAGGTAACCTATTTTAGCTAACTCCCGTAATGTTGATTCTCCTGGACCAAATTCTTTTGCATGTAATACTTCAAGCAATTCATTTACTTCAGCAACCATATTTGTACTTTCTTCAACTGTTTTTATAATTGCCTTTTGACTGTCAAAAACGAATTTGTCTAACGTTTTTACCATTTCTTCTTTCTGTTGTTCGGAAGAAATTATTTGTTCACTTGGTACAACTACGGGTTCTACATTACGTGAAGGTGGTTTTTTATTTGTATTATCTCTTTCATTATCTTCTGTTTCTATCTCAGATTTTAATTTTTCCTTACCAGTTTTTATTACCTCTTCTTTTTTGAGTATTTTGGTTTTAGTTATTTGTGCAAGATTTTTTTCAATCTTTTCTACTGATTCGAATACTTGTAAAGTAGCTTTAGTTATCGCCATACCTATATCACTAAAAGCCTTGCATTTATAGATACCTTCGAGTTCTTTTTTGGCTTTCGGTATTTTGCAAATAGTCAAGTTATCTTTATGCTCAATCACATAATTCTCATTGGTTTTTATAATCTTGTCGTCCTTATACCACACAATTTCTAAAAAAACGATATTTCAATATTTAAAAATAATATAAAAGTAGATACTAATTAACTAAAACACAGTTTTAATAACAAAAAGGATTTTATTTGCTCTAACAGGACTGTATACTAACCTGGTACCGGGTTACCACTGTAAGTAGCTTCAAATACTACCGATTCTCCTTCTTTAACTCTTTCTCCTATAATTTGCTTAATAAATGTGGGCACTGCCTGAGTTGCTGTAATTTAACAATTTCCCAAAATTAAATAATGGCAATAATCAATATTTATAAAATTATGTGTATATCATTTAAATAATTATACGAAACTATTCACCTTTCAGAGAAGCTTGCAAATCTTCCATGTGTATTACCCATTCGGGTTTTCGGTACTCTTTTGTTCCAACGATACCTTGTAAATAATTAAAATAATAAATATTTTTGTCTAGTTTACGAAGTTTTAAAATTCTAAATAAACAATTTGTTATTTATTTAAAATTTTAAAATTTCGCAATGTGTTAATTCAAAATGTGAACATTTTAGAGTAATTTTGTAATTTATGTGATGTATAAAGCAAAAATATAAAACATAAAAGGAAGGGATTAAAGGATGTGTTTTGGATTTGTTGTATTCACTTCTTCAAGCGCCTGAAATTACATTCATAGTTATGAATAGCTGTTTAGCAAAATATTGATTTTCCAAGTTCAGCTACTTTTAAATATCGGATACAACCTTTCATATCTGAATGTCACAAGAAATAGAAACAACTTTACTCTTCTTACTTTCGACGGAAAGAGCTGCAATAGTGGACGTAACGCCAAGATAGTTATGAGCTTCAAAAGAAATTTCTCCTGTATCATCTTGATATACTTCGGGTAAAATTAAAATAGATGTTCCATCTTCCAACTCTTCAATTTGATACTCTTGCGACTGATTAATTTCTATACCTTGTTTAAGCCATCTTATTTCCGGCTTTGGCATACCAATTGCTTTAGCTTCCAATCTGTAAATTTCGAGGCATAATGTATTGCGCTAAGTAAAATCCTTTATTTTAAATGAAGTTGTATTTAAATCATTTGTTTCCCGATATTTGGTAAATACCTTGTCAAATCCCCTTCAGACGTTGTTACTACCGTTGGTAAAGCTTTTACCATTATGGGAGCAAACTCTTCAATATCGCTTGCCTTCTGGACAAATAAAAAAAAAATAAAAAACCTAACGTTAACAAAAACATAACATTTTCTGATTTTTTCAGAACCACTAACCTCGTCACTTAGGATGTCTTCTTCAGAGGCACTCGGTACGTACTCATATGCTGAAATTAAAAACAATTTATATTCCTATAAAAAACTGAATATAAAATTATTTTAATATAGTCATTTTATTTATTAATTTGTATGGCTTGCGTCTGAAATATGCCTTTTAAATGTATTTGTCTAAGTAAGGAGCATGTAAAAGTTATGCAATAAAAGTTACAATTGCTTATAAGTAATTTTATAGTTACATTAAATGCAAGCTTTTTAATATTTATGAGATTACATGTATTATCTAAAAATAACCGTAAACTTAAATCGTGTAAGCATTAGTTGGTTTTTATTAAAATTTACCACGGATGTACGGCAATTGATAAAGCATGTCTATATCTTAAAAACAAAGAGAACGGATGGATGATAGATAAGAAGTCGTGCAATATATATTGGGTTATAAATGGGTTTATTACTCATTGACAAACTACTTATTAAAACATGCACTCAGACACTTATGACTGTTCTGCTACCTTCCACGGTGACAACACATTCAGAGCTGCTAGTTCCAAAATTATTTGTAGCTACACAACTATAATTGCCTGACATTTCAGGAAATGCCTCTTTTATGCAAATTTCATTTAAGCCAGATTTCTGACGGCCAATTATTATATCTCTTGCCCATTGAATCAACTTTCCATTATGGTACCAATTAACTTGGGGAAAAGGATCTCCTGTTATCGTACACTGAAGTAATATTGGATCGCCATCCATAACAATCGTAGGCTTAAGATGTGACAAGAATTTTGGAGCCTGTCCTATTGTCTCATTATCATCTTTCATCACATATAGTGATGAAGAACATGCTACTGAGCCACCAAAATTTTCTGCCCTGCATGTTATTATTCCAAATAATTCTTGTGTCATATTTTCTATACAAAGACATGACACGTTTTCTTTATTTGTAATATATATATTGTGTATTTTATTTTCTTTTGTATAGCTTATAATATCTTTATTACCAATGAACCACTGAAATGAGGCCAAAGGTTGTGATATCACTTCAATTTCCAATAGAACTATATCGCCTAAATGAACCCCCGTAGGTTCTAGGACTTTAATAAAAGTCGGAGGTTCTACCAGTTCATTCTTCGATTGGAATAGTTTAATGCTGCTTGCCGATTTGACTATATTATCACCTTTTTCGATTACTACTTCGTATTTGCCTACTTTCTTTTTATCCGCCTTAGATATTTTTATTTTGGATTTTCCATTTTCTGTTCTAATATAACAGTCACCACTCTGCTCAAGTTTTTGATTATTATGATACCAAGTAATCTTATCTATTACGTCTGGTTTAAATGCTACGTCAAGTTCAAATTCATTATTATCTAATACTGTGATGGCTTTAAGGGGCTGTATTATTTTAGGTCCATCTTCTTCTGTAAAATATGTTTTTGTTAATATTTATGCATTTTGTTAGTTATTATAACATATAAATGACATTGTACATAAACTAATATTATACATATTTAACGAGTAAACATAGCTTGCAAGCCTCGAGTATTTAATATCAAGGGTTAAAACATCGTTAACACGAACAAAGAATTTAAGCAGCTTTATACTCTTTATATACATCAAACCAAAATAAAGTAACAAACCTGTGCAAGGTTAAACAAACAACTAATAAATTGCTGGATGTAATAAACACAATAAGAATAACCTTAACTGGGACTGTTTTGCCATGCATCCGTTTTAAATTATTTGTGTAATATGGACCCGTTTAAGGGTAACTTTAAAAAAGAATAGTATTAAAAATAGGAACCTACCAAAGTGTCGCGTAGTTTCAACAACGCTTTCATTTTTTTTCAAACGCTTTTTAATTTTTCTTTCAGATGATATTGAAACAATACTGCAGTTTTCTTCAATAGCAGTTTCCATATCATTTTTGTCACTTTCCAAGGGCTCTATAATCCCATAATTTTCATCAAGTTTGACCTCCTCTACACGTTTGTCTTTCTTTAAAGATTTAAGTTTAACTTCCTCAGGTTTCACTTGCTGTTGTTGAGGTTTAATTTCTTCATCTTCAACTGGATGTTCTTCTTTTGGCCGTTGTTTACCTGTAGGCCATTTTATTTCTTCGGGTTGGACCTCCTCTTCACGTTTGTCTTTCTTTACAGGTTTAAGTTTAACTTCCTCTGGTTTAACTTCCTCTGGTTTTACTTCTTCCTGTAGTTTTTGCTTCGGTATGGGCTTTAGAACGACCTCTTCAACTGGCTGTTCTTCTTTTGGCCGCTGTTTACCTGTAGGCCATTTTATCTCTTCGGGTTGGACCTCCTCTTCACGTTTGTCTTTCTTTATAGGCTTAAGTTTGACTTCCTCTGGTTTTACTTCTTCTTGTACTTTTTGCTTCGGTATAGGCTTTAGAAGGACCTCTTCAACTGGCTGTTCTTCTATTGGCCGCCGTTTACCTGTAGGCCATTTTATTTCTTCGGGTTGGACCTCCTCTTCACGTTTGTCTTTCTTTACAGGTTTAAGTTTAACTTCCTCTGGTTTTACTTCTTCCTGTACTTTTTGCTTCGGTATAGGCTTTAGAACGACCTCTTCAACTGGCTGTTCTTCTTTTGGCCGCTGTTTACCTGTAGGCCATTTTATTTCTTCGGGTTGGACCTCCTCTTCATGTTTGTCTTTCTTTACAGGTTTAAGTTGAACTTCCTCCTGTTTGTCTTCTTCTGGTTTTTCTTGCTGTTGTTGAGGCTTAATTTCATCGTTTTCAACTGGCACTTCTTCTTTAGGTCGTCTTTTACCAGAGCGCCAAGATACCGCTTCGGGTTTTTTATCCTCTTGAGGTTTCTCTTTTTTCACAGGCTGAAGAATAACTTCCTCTGGTTTTACTTCTTCCTGTACTTTTTGCTTTTGTATAGGCTCTAGAACGACCTCTTCCACTGGCTGTTCTTCTTTTGGCCGTTGTTTACCCGTAGGCCATTTTATCTCTTCGGGTTGGACCTCCTCTTCACGTTTGTCTTTCTTTATAGGCTTAAGTTTGACTTCCTCTGGTTTTACTTCTTCTTGTACTTTTTGCTTCGGTATAGGCTTTAGAACGACCTCTTCAACTGGCTGTTCTTCTTTTGGCCGCTGTTTACCTGTAGGCCATTTTATCTCTTCGGGTTGGACCACCTCTTCATGTTTGTCTTTCTTTACAGGTTTAAGTTGAACTTCCTCCGGTTTGTCTTCTTCTGGTTTTTCTTGCTGTTTTTGAGGTTTGATTTCATCTTCTTCAACTGGCACTTCTTCTTTAGGTCGTCTTTTACCAGAGCGCCAAGATATCGCTTCGGGTTTTTTATCCTCTTGAGGTTTTTCTTTTTTCACAGGCTGAAGAATAACTTCCTCTGGTTTTACTTCTTCCTGTACTTTTTCTTTCGGTATAGGCTTTAGAACGACCTCTTCAACTGGCTGTTCTTCTTTTGGCCGCTGTTTACCTGTAGGCCATTTTATTTCTTCGGGTTGGACCTCCTCTTCACGTTTGTTTTTCTTTACAGGTTTAAGTTTAACTTCTTCTGGTTTTACTTCTTCTTGTACTTTTTGCTTCGGTATAGGCTTTAGAACGACCTCTTCAGCTGGCTGTTCTTTATTTAGCCGTCGCTTACCTGTAGGCCATTTTATTTCTTCGGGTTGGACCTCCTCTTCATGTTTGTCTTTCTTTACAGGTTTAAGTTGAACTTCCTCCGGTTTGTCTTCTTCTGGTTTTTCTTGCTGTTTTTGAGGTTTGATTTCATCTTCTTCAACTGGCACTTCTTCTTTAGGTCGTCTTTTACCAGGGCGCCAAGATATCGCTTCGGGTTTTTTATCCTCTTGAGGTTTTTCTTTTTTCACAGGCTGAAGAATAACTTCCTCTGGTTTTACTTCTTCCTGTACTTTTTCTTTCGGTATAGGCTTTAGAACGACCTCTTCAACTAGCTGTTCTTCTTTTGGCCGCTGTTTACCCTTAGGCCATTTTATTTCTTCGGGTTGGACCTCCTGTTCACGTTTTTCTTTCTTTACAGGTTTAAGTTTAACTTCCTCTGGTTTTACTTCTTCTTGTACTTTTTGCTTCGGTATAGGCTTTAGAACGACCTCTTCAACTGGCTGTTCTTCTTTTGGCCGCTGTTTACCTGTAGGCCATTTTATTTCTTCGGGTTGGACCTCCTGTTCACGTTTTTCTTTCTTTACAGGTTTAAGTTTAACTTCCTCTGGTTTTACTTCTTCTTGAACTTTTTGCTTCGGTATAGGCTTTAGAACGACCTCTTCAGCTGGTTGTTCTTCTTTTAGCCGTCGCTTACCTGTAGGCCATTTTATTTCTTCGGGTTGGACCTCCTTTTCATGTTTGTCTTTCTTTACAGGTTTAAGTTGAACTTCCTCCGGTTTGTCTTCTTCTGGTTTTTCTTGCTGTTGTTGAGGTTTGATTTCATCTTCTTCAACTGGCACTTCTTTTTTAGGTCGTCTTTTACCAGAGCGCCAAGATACCGCTTCGGGTTTTTTATCATCTTGAGGTTTCTCTTTTTTTACAGGCTTAAGAATAACTTCCTCTGGTTTTGCTTCTTCCTGTACTTTTTGCTTCGGTATAGGCTTTAGAACTACCTCTTCAACTGACTGTTCTTCTTTTGGCCGCTGTTTACCTGTAGGCCATTTTATTTCTTCGGGTTGGACCTCCTCTTCATGTTTGTCTTTCTTTACAGGTTTAAGTTGAACTTCCTCCTGTTTGTCTTCTTCTGGTTTTTCTTGCTGTTGTTGAGGCTTAATTTCATCGTTTTCAACTGGCACTTCTTCTTTAGGTCGTCTTTTACCAGAGCGCCAAGATACCGCTTCGGGTTTTTTATCCTCTTGAGGTTTCTCTTTTTTCACAGGCTGAAGAATAACTTCCTCTGGTTTTACTTCTTCCTGTACTTTTTGCTTTTGTATAGGCTCTAGAACGACCTCTTCCACTGGCTGTTCTTCTTTTGGCCGTTGTTTACCCGTAGGCCATTTTATCTCTTCGGGTTGGACCTCCTCTTCACGTTTGTCTTTCTTTATAGGCTTAAGTTTGACTTCCTCTGGTTTTACTTCTTCTTGTACTTTTTGCTTCGGTATAGGCTTTAGAACCACCTCTTCAACTGGTTGTTCTTCTTTCAGCCGCTGCATACCTATAGGCCATTTTATTTCTTCGGGTTGGACCTCCTCTTGACGTTTGTCTTTCTTTACAGGTTTAAGTTTAACTTCCTCTGGTTTTTCTTCTTCTGATTTCTGTTGGTGTTGTTGAGGTTTAATTTGATGGTCTTCTACTGGCACTTCTTTTTTAGGTCGTCTTTTACTAGACCGCCAAGATGCCGCTTCGGGTTTCTTTTGTTCTTCAAAATTCATATTTTTGAAAGTTCTTTCCTCAGCCTTAGTAACGCCCTCAGAATATACGTTTGATTCGTTTGTAATTTTAAGAATAATTGTATCTTCTACAGATGTCAGTGACTCTTCGAGCATCACTTCTTCTGACTTTTGTAACGATTTTTTTCTCACTTGTTTTAATGTAACATCTTCTATCTTTTGCTTTACAACTTCCGATTTTTCTGTTTTTGTAGGTCTTAGATTGATAGCTTCTTTAGTCCAAGGTTGAATTTGTTCGTTATTTATTTGATCATATGAAGTTTTGCCTTTTCTAACTTTCAATTTCTCGTTGCGTTCCACTTTCGTGTCTTCCGTATTCTGTTCCATTTGTTTATGTTGAAGATTTAATTCTGCAGTTACTTTTTTATCTTTGCCTTTTTCTAAGGGACCTTCAACGATTTTCTGTTTGCTTAAAAACTTTGGCTTCCTCCAATTTGTAGTCTGGACATCTTCGTTTTGTTTTATTTCATTTATTTCTTTTTGGTTTTCTACAGTGAGGATCTCGGAATCCTCCAAAAGGTTGAGTTTTTCAACTGAAGTTTTAGTTTCATTTCGTGATTTTCTCCAATGCTTTGTTTCTAAATCTTTAACTGTAGTTTCACTTCGTTTTCTCCAAGGTACTTGGCGTGATTGTACATCTTCGACTTGCTTTAATATTAATATATTACTTTCTTCAGTTGTTTGTTGTAACACTTTATTGGTTACCTTAGAGGAATCCACTTTTTCTAACGATGTTATATCTGTTTCTTTTCCATAAATTTTCTGTGAAGTAACTTTCCTTGATTCTGAAATTAACAAAAGAGTAAATTATTAAATTTCGACTAAAGTATTTTTTCTAGACTTTTTTATTTTTTTTTTACAATCCATTACAAAAGTGCAACAATTGAAAGCGGACTAATTTAATTAACAGTATGGTTTTTTAAATCATTCTTAGGGTTATTTATACAGCTGTATTAGTAATGACAAATTACATATTTATAATAAAATATTTTTAACTTCTCGCTGAATATTATTAGAATTTTAGTCAGCATCTTTGTACTACACTACTTAATAAAATATTTAGAGTTTTATCCAAAATCTTTAAGAATTTTTTTTTTGAAACTAGTATGAAAAAAAAACAAATAAATACTACCACGATGCACTTTAATACACCAAAAATATATGCTTAATTATGAAATATATTTTAGAAGTCGAAATTATTAACAGCCATTTGTAAATTATCAGAAAATTAACGTTCAAGCTAAGATATATTTTACTTAAATAACAGGTGCTACCAGTGATCTACATTTGTTTTGGCTGAGAACATTGGCAGAAATCTCAATTTGGGATAATGTTTCGGCTTCCCAGATTTTGAACAAGATAAACGAGGTTGTTTCACAGTTGCAGGTACAGAAAACAATATTATACTGGATAGTGTTTTATTTTATAAGTGAAAACATTCTATTGAATGAAGTAGTGCAAATGACAGCCACTGAAAATAACCTAGTTGAAAATTAGGTGACCTGTATAGACCACTGAAAGTTACTACAGTGTTTTGTTTTTGTAGCTCTGTATATAAATCTCCAAAAAAATCTATGCAATTGACGACAATATAAGAGAAAAAACAAAATTATTGTAAAGATATCGGCCACACGATAATTAAGAAAAATAAAAAGGCATTTTTTACCAAAAAACTGAACCTTTTTCAGTGTCTTGTTGACTGTCACTTGTTTTCTTTAATATTCAGGAATTTCGTTCTGTATTGTTACTTGTAGATAAAAAAAATATCATAACTTCAGTACACTCAATTTAAATTACAATACTTTTTCATTTATCGTCTGACCCTAAAACTAGTTAAAAAGAATGTTATTATTAATGGTCAGATTAAGTGACAAAGAATTATTTTTTTATTTTCTTAAAAAACTAGTTGGCCTGTGAAGTCTAAAAAATGACTTGTTGGGTAAATTATGATAAATCCGAGGCCTTTTGATGTTACTGATACATGAAGAGATGAGAATAATGTCTCAATTATTACTTATATCTTATAACACTTATATCTTACTTAACTCATATCTTAGAACATTTATATATAACACATATCTTTCAGAATTTAAATAGTTTGTATAATTTTGTGGTAGCCTTTTTTGTTTTAATATTGTAACTTAAAGTTTAGTAATAAGAAAAATAGAAGAATATTTAAATTTAAAAGATTTCTCATTGAATTCCTTTTAAAATACCACTTGTATATTTATAAAGTATCATTATCTTTGCAGTCAGCTGATGACATAAAATAATGAATTATGCAATTTTATGGACAAAGGTCCTTAAAATATATATATATATTTCGAAGATATTTGAATGTAGTTTGTCGTTATTTTAAATAATAATAATTTTTCACTTTTTTAAATAATAATAATTTTAATTTCGTCGTTATTTTAAATAATAATAATTTTTCACTTTTTGATTTTCTTTACTTTACAAGGTTTTGAATTTGTATTTGTGTCAAATCTTACAAAATATACTTAAAGCAGTTGTACTCAACCTACTGAGATAAAATTAGATAATGATGAGTACTTAGGGATGGGACGTCATATTAAATGCAAAATGTAAAATTGGCAGAATTTTTTAAAGATATTTTGTGGTATGATATGAAAACCTTTTCAAAGTTCAAAAAACCATATACCAATTAAGGTATAAAATATGTCATTATCAACTTTAAAGATTCGTCACATTAGAGATAAGAAAATTTTTGAGTGTGCATGTGCATGTATTACTCATTCCTTCACTTCTTCAGTCAAAAACGTTGACTATAGATGTTTACTAAATAGAACTGTAACTTCCAAAATACTGAACTGTTTGTGCTGTGAAAAGATGCTACTATCTGCTCATATTGTATGTACCTAGTTGATTTTTAACCATAAAGTCTCCACGTGAAGAACCTATTTATCACTGAATGAACTCTTTTAGATTTTCATTTTCTGCTTGAGTTACTGTCAGTATTTAATTTTCTACTTCAGCAATTAAAAGCCTTTTTTTGTCGAAGTTGTATCTTCCCTCTTCAGGTAATCTAACTCTTTGAGCCCAAAAACCCCAGCTTTCTACTAACATTGACATTTGCATAATAATTTTGGTTTAGTATTATTAGTCGGAATATTTTAAAATTTGTGATTTATATCTTTTATATGTTTTTTTTAATATAAATAATATAAATTTAGTGTTTTGGGTATTATTTATTTATTTATTTCGGTAATCCAACAGTGAGTAATGAACAATAAGCCCATATTATAAGTGGTATATTAATACCTTTTACATATTATTGTTATGTTTTCAGATAATTGTACATTTTGTCTTGTCTTGTCTTGTCTTTACTGATATCTATTACTTCTTTTATATTTATTTTAGAAGAGAGAGTAATTTTTCAATTTTCATCAGATTTTTATTGCATATTATATATAAATGCTCGTACGCAGTTTAAAAGGAACGTCTAAAAATAACTTGCACAAATGATTTGCGACAAAGACCTTGGATATTTAGGTATCGGAACTCAATAGTGACTCGTTACCATCATGAGTATAAGTATATACTCATGATTTTAATTAACCATTAACCATAGAGTTTTACTTGCTCTATGGTTAATGGTTAATTTGTAATTCCGTTTAATGGTCTACTTATTGATGATAACAATAACTTTGAAAAATATTTTCTACCTAAATATCGCGTCATGAAATTTTATCATAAATGCTACTCTGACTTATTTAACACAGTGAATAATTATAAATGATTTTAAATAATTTATTACATAAGTTTATGAATGAGTGTTGAAGATTGTACTGAATAGACGAGGTTACGACTGTTTAGAATATACAGGGTGACTGGTGAATTACTATCGATACTTGAGGACGTGATATTTGACGATCATATATGACAAAATAAAAATTAATATAACATAAATATTAATAACCTTCTAGGTAAAGTTAACCAAAAGTTATGTAATTAATTACGCATCGTGTGAACACCCTACAGATTAGGTATACACACACACACACACACGCGTGCGGCGGCGTAGTGTTGTATCAGCACGCCGCCGTACGCGTCCACACTTGGAACACTTGGAACATGTCCACACTTTATTTATTTATACGGAAATTTGGTCAAAAATTAAGTACCTATTTTTTTTACATAATTCGAATGAGAATCATGTACCGAGTATGCTCCTTAAATATTGATAGTAATTCACCAGTCACCCTGTATATAACATTATTCTTTTTCAAACAAATTTATGCCATCTAATACTTCAAAACATATTAACATGTTCCATAAACTATCATAATAAATTTTTTCCCAAAGTAAGTAAACGTTTGTGTTCATTTTAATAATCCGTTAAACAAAATTTATTAATATCCATTTGAAATAAAAATAAACATATCTATATTTTTAGATAATTGTGTGAATACATACATACTATAAAGTCGTTAAAGGCGGGACGAAAAAAAATTACACTTAATGATATCAAGATTTTGGATTCTTTCTTTAATACTACAAATTATGTGTAATTTAAATGTTTCTTACGTTATTTGTTATTAACAAAAAATATTAAAAACTAACTTTTTGCAACCATTAAGTATCTTCTCGTATTGTATAAAAACAAAGATCATCTAACTATGAAAACGAGCAGAAATCAGTAGAAAAGTATAAGTTAAAATTCAACTTCTTGAATTAAAATCCTTCTAGTAAACACAAAACAAAAGAACCTAATTTGATATTACTTATACATATTCCTTTATTTCTATCCATGTTTTTTTTTCATATATGTATATACTTTTTAAAAATGTTTTCATTAAAATTTGTAACTTTTTTCTTACCTCGTACGTAATACTTACTAAAATTATTTGACGACATGCAGTTTTGTATAATCTCTGACGGAGAATTCTCGTTCACTGAATAATTCATAAGTTTGTGTAGTGTGTACTGTATCCATTAACACTTGTTAGAAATACCTCTAGTTTTATATTTTGAAAATATATTATAATTTTAAGGAATGTAATAGAAATAACAACCAAGGACATTTCTATCCTGTTAATTAGTTCACATGAATCTATCTATGGTAGAGTACTAACAAAAACTGTATTAGGATAAAGTTAACTGTTTAGTTACAACAGTAGCAAAGAAAAAACTAGAGTATATTAAAAATAAAATTCTCAACAATAATGGCATGAATAGAATAGAGGTTTAGGTAGAGGTGCGCCAGTCGATGGAATAAGCAACTGTAGTGACCTCGCTATCCATCAATATCAATGCAATATTGTCGCAAGAATATTAATTGGCACGTCAAGACGGACAGTTGATGGACAGTTTTGGCACTAGGTGTAAGTTTGAGTGCATTGTGTAGGTAATCGTAAACGGTATTATTTGTAGTGACAGTCCAGTATTGAATAATACCACTATGTTGTGATTTTCTGAATCAATGAAAATTCTAACCCGTGTTTTTTGTGTGTAGAATAAGGCGAAATGATTAATTTATAGCATTTATTAAACATTTTTCACATTAAGGTAACATAAACATTTTTGTCATAAATATTAAATATGGATAGGTAATCTCTAATAATATTAAATGGTAAAGTACTGTCACGCCTAATAACTTATTACAATTAGGTGAAAAATAAAACACAATTTAATTTTAACAATATCGTGCACTTAAAACAAACTAAGTTAAAGTGAAATGTGACGTGATACTATAAAAAAATCTCATTCAATTCGGATTTGTACTTGCAGAAAACATTAATAAGGTCATCAACATCGGCAGTGATTGTCAAAACATAGAAACTGGCAAGGCAAGTAGTGCGTGCGTTCTGTAACTTAGTGCTGCGACGCGCCCTTTGCTATTGACATTATACTGTTATGTTTCTTTGTAGTAAGTTGACAGCGCTATGTAATAATAGTAATATGCGGTAAGTTACTTTTAAATAAATTATCTTTAAAACAACGATCCACTTAAAACCCGCGGCAACTATTACGCGGAGTTTTAGCCGTGTACCTAACGCATGTGACATGACGTGATGTGACTTTGGCAAGTTAGTTATAGCAGGTACATGACATTAAACAACGGCCAAACAAATCGTAGCGGGTAGCCTGCGTGCAATTTGTTATTTGAATAGATTTTAATAGAGAATTAAAGTGGACTATTTAAGAACGATTCATGCTAAAGGTTAAAGCTGAAGCGAGGACTTGATAACTATACTAATGTAGTCTTGTGCATTTTTTCTTCAAAAAATTAAAAGTGGCTACTTACTAAAGGTTTTTTCAAGTCCTACTTCATTGATTTCTTGACACTTTGTTTACATAAATAAAATAGTGTAGGACCTCGTTGGTAGTTGCAAAATTGAGATCATTGATAACAATTTATAAATAAATCTCAATAAAACAGATGAAGCATGAGATCGTTTTATGCATATATATTTTTTTATGTTAATAAGCCCGAATAAAAACAAAGCGCAGGTTTACATCACGATAGAGTATTGGGTGAAAAATACATTTGACGTCTCATCATGGGACGTGCCTTGTGAATTACGCAATGTGTTCTTTTTTTTACAAATATTTGATAAAAAATTCGTTTAGTAAACATCGTAGCGGTAAAGCAAAACAAAACAATTGTAGAAAGTCTAATGTGGCCATGTTAATCACATGTTACGAGTATCCATTTTGAATATACAGAAGCTCCTCGGTGACCCACGCAGCCAGGTGTCGCCTGCGTCGATGACTGACTAGACTATTTACACAAAAAGCTTTTATTATGTACAGCAATGTTAGATGCAGATTCGCGCAATTATTACTATCAAGTTATTTTTAAATATTGTATTCACTAGCAAATTTTGTTAGAAGTGCGCGTTCATAGATCAAATGTTCATTTATTTTGTATTTACAATAATGACAGTAAATGTTTTGAATATTTGTTGTATATTCGATATGCACTCAGAAATGAATGCTTATATGTATTGTCACGACACAAATTAGACGAGATATTTATAAAGTAGGTGGAATCGTTTCTGACGGAACCGCTACGATTGTGTAATGCCGTTTTTTAATGTACTTTATATATCGCTTGTCAACTAAGAATACAGTAGTTTTCACCCGATCTCATTAAGGTATAGAGATGAAACAAAGAAACACTACATTAATGGATTAAAACTGCGCGACGCGAGCTCGCTGCCTGTATCTATGTCTTACTTTTGACGACTAGCTTAGCCGAGGTCTCGACCTGGCCGGCGGCTGTGGTGGCACGACAAGTGAAGATACCGGTGTCTTCCTCGTAGGTATTGCCGATCAGTAGAACAGCATTGGTACCTTCATGGATCATCTAAAATGAAAGGTTATCCATGTTATTCGATTTGATGTTATCAAGAAGTTATTTCTTATTAAATTACTCTTACTTACTTGAAAATCGGGAGTCTCAGGTATAAGAGCACCTTCCCGAAGCCACTGAATAGTCGGCTTTACTTTACTAGTAATATGTGTTTTGAACTGGGCAGGCTGGCCTTCGTACACGACAATGTCACGAAGAGGAGTAAGATTTGGTAAATCCTCTGCTTGATCTGGCTGGGTTACCTTAAGTTTTGCCGAAACAGTCACTCTTCCGGCAGAATTATAAGCAACACACTTATAATCACCTTCATCTTCAGGGAAGGCTTCAGATATTCGTAAAGTGTAATCATCCGCAGTCCGAGACATTTGGAAATACTTCGAGGGTTTTATCAATTTATCTCCTTTATACCATTGTACTGTAGGAATAGGTTTGCCTACGATTTTACAACTAAATTCAACCGCTTGTCCTTCCGTGATAACTTTATCTTTTAGTGGCTCAATAACTTCAGGGGAAGCATTAGCTGACTTTGTTTGAGATTTTGGTTTTTCTTTTGTAGCTGGCGTATTGACTGTACATTCAGCATCACATCTTGCTTCTCCAGCATTATTAATTGCGACGCATTCATATTTTCCCGAATCTTGAGGAAAGGCTTCTAAAATAAGAAGAGTGTAAGTTCCATCTTCTTCTAATATTTTGTTTCTTATATCTGGTTGAACTTTCTTTCCATTTTTTAACCAATAAACGTCAATAGGCTTCGTTCCAGAAACTTTAGTATCAAATCGTACAAGTTGACCAGATGTAACGTTTACATTTTGTGCAGTCAATGTAAAGCTTGGGGGTATTACACCGCCTCTTCCTTGACGCCTACGCTCCTCAACAACTAAGTTTGCACTACATTTAGCAGTACCTCCCCTATTTTCAGCAACAGCAGCAAATACAGCTGAATCCTCAATGAAAACTTGCCTTATAATAAGAATGGATTTTGTACTAAAAGTATGAATTTGGAAGTCAGGCGAGTTTTTAATGGGAAAGTTCTCGCGATACCATTTTATAGTTGGTAAAGGATCGCCATCAAATTCAACTTCGAATCTTGCCTGTTCGTGTTCGAATACACGGCAAGGTTGCATTTTCTTTGTGAATACCGGAGGGTTTGATGGTTTTACAGGACCTTCTACAACTCTTTCTTGTGTTTGTGATTTATGCTCAACTTCCGTTGTTTCCGTCGATGTAATTTTGCGAGTTATTTCTGTATCACCAACAACTTCTTTTTGTATTTGTTTCTGCTTAGCTACATGTACCTCTTTACCATGAACAGTTGATTCAGATGGTCCAGGTATTCTTGGCTTTTGAATTTTAGTCTGCTTCGCTGTTTGATTCTCAATTATTTCTTCAGATTGGTCTCTGAAATGTTTTTATTTGTTTAAGGAACTATTTTAAACTCAGAATTTATTTTTAACTTGACATAACATTTATCTCATCTAAGTTTACTTTTTGCCAAAGTGACTAAATGAGAAAACTTAAATGTTGTATAAAAAGTACTTACAGATTTTTTTCATACTTCTGAGCCATACTTCTAGCAACAGAGGAACTCGTTACTTTTTCACCAGGTATGGCATATTGATGGGATGATTCTCGAAGTCGGCTCTCTTTCACTATCTGTTCATGTTCTAACTCCTGAAGTTTATTGTAGTATTCTTCGTTCTTCTTCTTCTTAACTGTTTGTTGCCATTCAGTGTCACTTTCCTTAAGATTTCTTTGTTTAAGGTCTGGTTTGTAATCAATTACTCCCTGACGTTGCATAGCTTGCCTCTCTTCGAATGTTTTTTCTAATTCAGTTTCGGTTCTCTGGTATTGAGATACTTCATCATACCAAGCTGTTAATAAAATAGATTAAACTCGTGAATATCTTACGATCTTTTCAATCCCCACTTTGATTATGAAAACATACCTTTTAGTATCCGTTGATAAGCTGATAGAAGCAGGAGATTAGCAGCACTCCTTCGCAAGGGTAAAACAGGGAGTCAAGGGAGCAAGGAAAGAGTGCTAAAGCAGTGATGTGCAGTGTGCGAAACATTGTGGATACGGTGTGTTAGTGCATAGTAGTGATATAAGCGTAACATTTTTCAAATCCTTTTATATTTGAAGCGAATTTACTTGTAAGCTTTTAATTGACATCTGTGTTTCTAAAAAGATGTACTTACGTCTTGGAGCGTTTTTGAGTACACCTCTATAATCATCGTGCCTTGGTATAACTTTCAACTCGGTTGTTGCTAAAGCCTCTCCTGCAGAGCTTCTTGCAATAACTTCAATTTTACCGGTATCATACTGCCTTGTTTTTGGTATATCGAGGTGGTACATTCCATCATATGTTAACTTATATCTAGACCCCTAAATAAAATAATATAATTTTATTGACAAGTACATACTACATTGCAAGATACTGTTAGGAATATTATTCTTACATTAACAATAGTATTTCCATTTATTAGCCACATTACGCGAGGCTTTGGGTGTCCTGTGACACGGCAGCAAAATCTGGCCCATTCACCTTCCTCAACTGTTACGGGTTCAGGACGGCTGACAAATACTGGGGCCGAACGTGGCTTTGTTTCTTCAACAACTTGTTCTGGTACTCTATACAAATACGTATTATTAATAACCTCAAATATAAATATAAAAGAAAAGTTCTCCCCTTCTAACACTTACACTTGCCAAGAAGCTTCCATCTCTCTGATGCGTTCAATACTCTTCATATGTTTAGGTAATTGAGAATCGTACACAATACCGGGTTTTCCGGTGGTCTTTATGACAGCTCTTGTTTCATCCATTCCATATAAATTGGTAGCCCGACAAAGGTACTCCCCGCTATCTTCAGGGTAAACCCAACCGAAATTCATAGCAACATATCCAAAATCATAGATCGGTGTAAAACGATTTTCTGAAATAAATATTCAATAAATAATTACTCGCGTACATTTTTAATGATCCGCCATAATAGATTTTGGTGATTTAAATGTGGTACATTTGAAAGAAACCTCATATTTAATAATACATACTATGCAAGAGCGGTTTGCCGTTAAAGAACCATTCCACTTTCATATTAGGATCGCCTACAGGTGCCAGCTGACACTCAAATTTAGTTGTTTCCATTTCCATCAACTTTGTTTGACTTTGTATTTGGGTTACAAAACGTGGCGGCTGCTTTTTATCAGCGTCGTATAAATCATCTTCAGTTAAAAATACTTCCGAAGTGTATTTCTTTATAGTAGCTTCCATTTGAGTTAAAGCTTCAGATCTTTTCATTCCCTTTGGTACTTGATTTTGTAGAATGATATCGGGAAGTTCTAAATTGTAAAAAAATAAAACAATATATTTTATCTAAAAATATTAACTAAAAAACTAAGCTAAATTATACTCACTCTTGCACGATACAGTAGCCTTGGTAAGATCTTCACCGAAGTCGTTAACAGCTCGACAGACATATTCACCTGAGTCTTCAGCATACACGTAAAGAATATCTAATGAAACAAATCCCATGTCGTAGACGGTGCGGAATCTGTGCCCCGTAGGCAATAACTTTCCATTGCGATACCACTCGATACGTAACTTGGGATCCTCTTTTGGTTCAACGCGGCACTCAAATCGCACAGACTCTGATTCTTCAATTGTATGTGACTGTATTTGTGTAATAAATTTAGGTGGTGAGGTTACTATTGACTCTTCTTTAGGTAGTTCACTTACACGACCTTTTTCCAACTCTTTTATCTTTTCTCCGCTCATTCCTTGAGGTAGTTGCGAGTCCAAAACAATATCTCGTTTAGTGCTGCATGTAACTTTAGCGGTAGTTGTAGCAGAACCCCATTTATTAGTTGCTCTACATGTATATTCTCCAACATCCCGTGTGTAAATGTAATCGATGTCTAAAGCAACGAAACCAAAATCATTTAACATATGAACTCGAGATCCTGTAGCGAAAGGTCTACCGTTGTGGAACCAATCAATTCTCATAGTTGGATCTCCCACGGGCTCCACACGGCAGTCAAAGTGTATTGGTCCACCCTCAGACACGTCAAGGTTATCCTTGATTTCGACTGTAAATCGTGGCGGATTTGGTTTTTCGTCTTCAATAGTTATTTCCTCCCTTTTATGTAAGGTTTCTTCCAATTTTTGTATGCTTTCAGTTCCAGATTTAAAATGTGATGGAAGTTGTGGCTCCAAGATTATACCCTGCCTACCTTTAACTTGAAGTTTACAAGATACTGTGGCTTCACCATGGCGGTTTGTAGCTTTACAAGTATAAAGTCCAGCATCACGTTGATAAACACCTCCAATTTCTAATATAACAAATCCGAAATCATTAATAGTTTTGACGCGAGATCCAGTAAGCAGGGGTTTACCATTGTGGAACCATTCAACTATCATACTGGAATCGTTAATTGGGACTAATCTGCATTCGAAATGCGCAGAGGAATTTTCCGTGAGAATTTGATCAGACGGTGTTGTTAAAAATTCTGGCGGCTTTCCGCTCTCGGTTTCTGGTGATAAAGTATCGGAAGTTCCAGTGTAACCCTCTAGAGCAGCTATTTTGTCAATAGTACCTTCCATTCCTTTCGGCAATTGAGATTCTAATATAATATTCCTCTTTCCTTGAACTTTCATTGAAGCTGTGGTTACAGCTTCACCATAATTGTTAAAGGCTCTGCATAAATATTCACCAGAATCTTCTGGATACGTCGGTGATATTTCAAGAATTACAAAACCAAAGTCACAGAATGTTCTAAATCTTGACCCTGCTTTTAATGATTTACCGTTCCAATACCACTCCACCTGAAGTTAAAAAGTAAATCGAAATATTAAAAATAATAAAACCTACTTTAACGGAACAACTTGAAGAGAAAATTTTACCTTCAGATTGGGATCATCAGTAGGTGTGAGACGAGCTTCAAAGTGAGCATTTTCACCTTCCCTTAAATTATCAATATTTGACAATGGTACCGTAAAGACCGGAGCTTTACCGCGTTTCTCTTCAATTTCGGTATCTTTCCGACGTATCATAGAATCCTCCAGAGTTTGCAGCTTCTCTAACCCTCCTTCCATGCCCTATTAAAGTAACATATAAGCATGATTTAGAATCAATTATTACCAATGGGCAAGAGTATTAATAAACATTTTGTAAGAGTTATAATAAAAGTAATATTGGTATTAAAATATTATTGTTTATCAATTAAAACGTACCCGCGGTAGTTGCGAGTCCAAGATTAAATTCTCCTTTGATGTACACTTCAATACAGCTTTAGTTGAATCACTGCCTAACTTATTAGTTGCAACGCATTCATATTCTCCAGAATTTTCTTCATAGCAATATAATATATCCAAAATAACTATGCCAAAGTCATGGAAAGTTCTATACCTGTGCCCGTGGGGTAATTTTTTGCCGTTGTAGAACCATTCTACCTTTAAATCGGGATCGTCTACAGGAATAAGTCTTGCTTCAAAGTGTGCGCTTTGTCCTTCAACTAGTTTAGTCACGTTTTCTATTTGCGTAATAAACTTAGGTGGAACGGATGCAGCTGGTGTTAATGCTTGCTGTTGAATTCCTTGTAAGCTTTCTAATTCTCTTATTTTAGCTAGTGATTCTGGTTGTAAACTATCTGAAAACACTCCACTTCTGCCATAGCAAGATATTGTGGCTTTAGTAAAATCTTCACCATATTTATTAAAAGCGCGGCAAACATATTCACCTGAGTCATGATTCTGAGTATAAGCTATGTCAAGAACAACAAACCCGAAATCAGATATTGTTTTTATCCTAGTAGAGTGACGCAAGAGATGGCCGTTATGATACCATTCAATTTTCATATCCGGATCATCCACGGGCACTACAGTACATTCAAAGTGGGCCGATTGACCATCTTTAAGACCCTCGATATTTTGTATATGAGTAGTAAACCTTGGTTTCTGGCCTTTGGTCTTATCAACACAGTCAAGTTTCACACTTATTTCCGCCTTTCCCCATCTATTAGTGGCACGACAGGAATATATTCCAGAATCATTAGTTTTCGTTCCCAGAATCTCAAGTACTACCATGCCAAAGGCATAAACCGTGCGTATTCGGTGGCTGGCTTCAATTGTTTTGCCATTGTAGAACCATTCAATAACCATACTTTGATCACCAGTGGGTATAAGGGAAGCTTCATAATGGGCTATTTGTCCTTCGCTAATGTCAGTAATATCTTGGAATACTGTTATAAATTCAGGTGGTCTTCCTGTGTCATCATCTGCTTTTTGTCCAGGTTCACGACGGAGAGATTCTTCAAGATTTTGAATTTTCTCTAATCCTTCTGCGCCTTTAGGATGTTGGGTTCTCTCTATAAGATTTTCCTTAGTAATGCAATATATGGTAGAGGAAGTAAAGGCTTCGCCCTTCCTATTATAGGCTTTGCATGTATAAATACCACTATCTCTTTCATAGACATCTGTTACGTCTAATGTTACAAAACCAAAATCACTGGATAGTTTAAATCTAGATCCTTGTTCGAGGATTTTACCGTTGAAATACCATTCGATCTTTAGATCAGGATCGTTCTTTGGTTCAACTTGTCCTTCGAGATGTAGAGACTGTCCTTCTATTAACTGTAGTTCCGCATTTACCGGTACAACCCACTCAGGTTTCGGATATTCAGTGTCTGGAACCGAGAGTCTACGGCCCTTGGAAAGTCTGGCTTCTTCAGCCTGTTCTACAGCTTCTAAGCCAGCCTTGCCTTGAGGATGTTGCGTATCAAGATATATATGTTTGTCTCCAGTGCATCTTAAGCTTCCGGATGTTGTAGCAAAACCTTTACTGTTTGTTGCTTTACATGTATAAATACCTGAATCCTCTTCATACGTATGAGTTACATCTAATGATACGTAACCGAAATCATGAGTGCTTTTGTATCTAGTGCCCGATGGTAAGGGCTTATTATTAAAGAACCACTCTATTTTTAAGGTTGGGTCTCTAGACGGCTCCACATTGCACTCAAAGTGAATATTATCACCCTCCTTACATATTATGTTATTGAGGTGAGAAATGAAAACGGGTGTTTCATATACTGGCTCAGGTGACTCAGGTTTACCTGGTTTTGGTTGTTCTAAAGCTCCAATGCGATCTAAAGATTGTGGATGAAGACTGTCTCCAAGTAACCAATGACGATCTTCAATTTTAATTGATGCAGTTGAAACTGCTTCACCCATCAAATTAGTGGCTTTGCATGTATAAATACCAGAGTCATCGATTCTTATTGAATTTATAGAAAGCGTAACCAAACCAAAGTCAAATGTACTCTTTAGTCTTGAACCTGTAGTTAAAGATACACTGTTCTTAAACCATTCAATTCTTAGATTGGGATCAGTGCGAGGTTCAACTTGGGCTTCCAAATAAACATGCTGTCCTTCAACAAGCTTATCGTAACTCTTAAGATGTGTTGTGAAAATAGGCGCTTGTTGCACCCCAGTATCAACAAACATCTCTGGAACTTTGTTCATAGCGGCTTCTTTTAATTGAATTTGCTGCCAAGATTCTGGTCTCATTGCCTCGTCAACAATAGTTGACTTAGTTTTGACTTTGAGTGAAGCGGATGAAACAGTGCTTCCGGCTCTATTGATAGCTTTACACATGTATACGCCGGCATCATTGGCCACTACAGAATTAATGTCTAATGTTACGAAACCAAAATCGTGCGTGGTGCGGAATCGTGAGCCTGAAAAAATAATTGCATTAATACATCTCTTCCTAATCGTTTTGAAACATAAATATAATGTATTGTCAAGATAGTTTATAAAATAAAAAGGTAAATGATGTATGACATACCCATTTTAAGTTCAACACCGTTAATATACCATTCAAATCTTAGACTAGGGTCGCCGACTGGCACCACACGGGCTTCATAATGAGCGTGTTGTCCCTCCCATAATTCTGATGGACCAGTAAGTACTTGAGTAAAAATGGGCTTTTCAAATTCACGCTCTGGTTCCTCTGTTTTCCTTGTTAGAGGTTCCTCTAATTTCTGAATTTTCTTCATACCCTCGGGATGTTGCGTATCCATTTGAATTGCGGCTTTAGCTGAAGTCAAACATATTTTATATAATTATCAATTCAAAAGACAATATTTTATTAAAATAACTTGGAAGATTAGAAATAATTACTTTTAATTCTCATTGCCGCCGTAGTCACTGCTTCTCCAAGTAAATTGGATGCTCTACACATGTATACTCCCTCATCTTCATCTCGGACGTGAGAAATTGTCATGGAAACATATCCAAAGTCATGGGTTTTAGTTATTCTGGAACTGTCTTCAATTAATTTTTCGTTTCTAAACCATTCAACTTTTAGGGTTGGATCTCCAACAGGAATTAATCTACAATCAAAATGTGCTGTTTGCCCTTCTTGTATGTTGTCGATATTCTGAAGAGGCTGTGTAAATACAGGTCTTTGCCTAGTGACAGGCTCCGGAATTTCAGGTCGCTTAAATGGTTCTGTCGATTCTAATTCTCGGATTTTCTCGAGACCTTCGGGACGTTGAGATTCCGATATAATACTACCTTTTGCAGTTACTGTCATTGATATTGAAGAAGTACACTGACCAAGTGCATTTATGGCTTTTACAGAATATTCTCCGGCATCTTCAGGTACACAATGTTGTATATCTAATGACACATAACCAAAATCAAAAGTGATATGGAACCGTGATGCAGATTGCAGAGCTTTTCCATTGTGATAAAATTCAATACGTAAATTGGAGTCATGAACTGGCTCAACTTGACATTCGAAGTGTGCAGTTTCACCTTCTAGGACATGTTTTGTTCCTCTGAGTTCTGTAACGAATCTCGGAGCGTAAATTTGTGGCTCCTCCACTTCGATTCTAGTCTGATGACCTTGTGCTTCAAGTTGTCTAATTTTTTCTAAACCGTTGGGATGTTGAGTATCCAAAATTATACTACGATGGCCTGAAAAGAACATTGATTATTATTATCTTTTATTTACTATGCTTTAAACCTATAGAACTTTAAAATTAGATCCCTGAAAACTTACTTGCAACCTTCAACGTGCATGTATTAACAGCTTCTCCGAGTTTATTGGTAGCTTTGCACATATAAGTTCCAGAATCTTCTGCATATGAATATAATATATCTAAGGCGACGTATCCGAAATCATGTGTTGTCCGGAATCTGTGCCCTGTTTTAATTTTTTGGCCATTTATGAACCATTCAATTTTGAGATATGGGTCATTAATTGGCTCGACTCTACATTCAAAGTGAGCGCGGTCACCTTCTTTCAAGTTTTCTATACTTGTTAGAGCAGTTAAAAACACTGGCCTCTGGCCTGGTTTTTCCTCTTCAATAGGTTTAGGTCTCTCATATTGTTCTAACTCTTTAATCTTCTTCAATCGCTGTTCATCCAGCGTATCAAGATACAGTGAAGCATTAGCTGAAATCACAATGATTATTTAATACCAGAATAATTATGACAGAATCCGATTTCTATTATAAATAAAGAAAATTGATTAACTTAATAAATATAATTTTATATTTACCATCCACATTCACTGAACTAGTTGTTACAGCTTCTCCCAAAGCATTTGTAGCTTTGCACATGTAAGTTCCAGAATCTTCCGCATATGCATATAAAATATCTAAAGCAACATATCCAAAGTCATAAGTAGTTTTAAATCTATGTCCTTGTTGAATTGGCCTTCCGTTGCAGTACCATTCAACACGCATAGTGGGATCATTGACAGGAGTTAAAGTGGCTTCCAAATGCACAGGTTGACCTTCAGGAACATGAACATTCTTCAAAGGTTTTCCAAATTGAGGTTTCTCCGCAATGAATCCTTCTTCCCGTACAACACGTTTATGTCGACTATCATCTTCGAGATATTGGATTTTTTCTAAAGCGCTTTCGTGTTGTGTTTCTCTGATAATTGATTCTTTTGCTAAAATTTAAAAAATATTTTAAAAAAAGCATCTATATTTAATAATAGATCCCATTCTACTTGTAACATTTATTAAGAAAACTTACATTGAACATTAAGATTTACAGATGAAGTCGCTTGACCTAAATTATTGATAACTTTGCAGGTGTATTCGCCAGAATCTTCTCCATATACAGTTAGTATATCTAAAGCAGCAAATCCAAAATCGTACGCTGTGCGGTACCGATGTCCACTTTGTAGTACTTTACCGTTAAAGTACCATTCCACGCGCATATTTGGGTCAGGATAGGGTTCAATACGGCATTCGTAGTGTGCACTTTGTCCTTCAACTAATTTTGTAGGACCATTTAACTGTGTAACAAACCTTGGAATTTGATTTATGGCCATTTCAACTTCTTCTCTTCGCTGATAACGAGTAGCATCCTCTAACTGTTGAATTTTTTGTAATGCAACTTCATGTTGCGATTCCAATTGTAACGATGCTTTAGCTAAAAATAACAAATTTATTTTATTTCAATCTAGTGAAACATTAAAATGATTTCTAAAAAAATATTCTTTAAATTTTAGTAAAAAATTAAATGTATTGGATTGATAAAAGACTAAATTTAAAAAAACTTTATGAAAGAACTTACATTGCACAAATAATGTGGAGGATGTAACAGCTTCTCCCAGCTCATTGATTGCACGACAAGTGTAAGTACCAGAATCTTCAGGGTTAACATACTTCATATTTAAAGCGACGTATCCAAAATCGTGCATTGTTGTAATCCGATTAGCTTAAAAAAAAAAGTTGTTACAAAAAAGACCCCTTAGTCATGAAAACAGATATATTTTTAAAAACTGCTACTTACAAGCTTCAATTGGAACTCCGTTACGCAACCATTCCACTCTTAATTTAGGATCTCCCACAGGGATGAGCCTAGCTTCAAAATGTACTGCTTGATTTTCAGCCACCCTTATATCTTTCATGGGCATTGTGAAAACAGGAGCCTGAGTTACTGTTTCTTCCTGAATAGTTTGCCTGTGGTGTCTTGACGAGTCCTCTAATTGAGTAAGTCTGGGCAATGCTCCTTCGTGTTGAGACTCTAGATATATTGATTTCTTAGAGTATACACATGCTGTACCAGATGTGACTGCTTCTCCTAAAGCGTTTATTGCTCTACACGTGTACGTTCCAGAATCCTCTGGTAAACAAGCCATTATATCCAACGCGACAAATCCAAAGTTATTAGTTTCTGTAAACCTGGATCCACTCTTAAGGGGCTTATTATTATGATACCATTCTACTTTCATTGTTGCATCCGAAACTGGAATCAATCTACATTCAAAGTGAGCACGTTGCCCTTCATTAATTTCAACATTTTTTAAGGACGTTGTGAAGATAGGCGCTTGTGTAGTCACTTCATCGGTAACATCGGTTCTATGATATCTAGATCTATCTTCTAAAACTTGAATCTGTTCCAAACCGGCTTCATTTTGTGTTGCTCGAATTATATCAGCTGTTTCTCGGCACGTTAATCTACAACTAACTTCATCAGTTCCAATAAGATTTACAGCTCTACATGTATATATTCCCGAATCTTCAGCTATAACATCGATAATATCCAGAGCCACATAGCCAAAATCATGAATAGGTCTGAACCTATGACCAATCGTTACTGGTTGGCCATTCTTAAACCATTCCACTTTAAGGTTCGGGTCTGTCACTGGCTCTAGTTTACATTCAAAGTGAACATGATTTCTTTCTCTGACATTTTCGACAGATTTGGGTTTAGTAACAAATCGTGGTTTAATATGAATAGTTTCATCGATATAATCAGATTTTTTGTAGCGAGAACTATCTTCTAAATATTGCATTTTCTCTAAACTTGAAGGATGCTGTGAGTCCAAGATAAGATCTCTCTTTGCCATAACTCTTAAGGCGCATGATGTTACAGCTTCTCCTAATTGGTTAGTAGCTTGACAAGTATACACTCCGGAATCCTCAGGATATACACTTAAAAGGTCCAAAGCGACATAGTCAAACTCATAAGCTGGTCTGAATCTATGTCCTGTCTTAATCGGTCGACCGTTACAGAACCATTCAACTTTCATTGTTGAATCACCAATTGGCTGTAAACGACATTCTAGATGCACGTTTGTGCCTTCTACAGTTTCAATATTATGCAATGCTCGAGAAAAATGAGGAGCTTGCATGACTGTGATATCTTCCTGTATTTGTCTGCTACGACGAGAAGCGTCTTCTAGAATCTGAATTTGTTCAACTGCTTGTTCGTTTTGTGTATCAGTCAAGATGTCGGATCTTTCAATTACACGTACCATTGCTGATGTGTGAGCAGATCCTAAATGATTAACAGCTCTTGCAGTATATTCACCCGAATCGGATGATGTCGCATGTATGATATCTAACGCAAGTAAACCAAAATCATAGTAAGTTCTAAACCGAGAGCCAACAGTTACTGCTCTACCATTGTGGAACCATTCGACGCGCATAGTGGGATCGCCCATTGGTTCAAGTCGACATTCTAGGTGAATATTTTTACCCTCAGATACTGGCTGTGAGTCTGACAAAGGTTGTACAAAAACCGGTTTGGATTTTGAAATTTCCTCAATGTGATAAATAGGTTCAACAAATTTCGATTCCTCCATTTGTCTCGTCTTTTCATATAATCCATGATGTATACTTGAAGTGTCAATACTAGACCGTGCTAAAAATAAAAAATTAAATATTTTACACAATTTTTTTAATCCTAATTTTATGTGACTTTGAGATAAACTCATATTTTGTACGTTTTTGTGAAAATTTGTGAACATCTTCATAATTAAAATTCTTATTATTTAAAGTCAAACAGGAATAACCTTTCAATAAAAAATTCTTTTTTTAATATAGGTAACAAAGAAAAATAACAACCAAGCATACTTACTTTCGACCACCATGGAAGAACTCAATTGAGCTTCACCAGCACTATTACGTGCAACTACTGTATAAACTCCAGAATCTTCGGCGCGGATATTAGAAATGTCTAAAGCCACGTACCCGAAATCATAATATGTTTGAATTCGATTAGCTGACTTTATTTGCTTTCCGTTAAAATACCATTCAATTGTCATAGTTAAATCACTTTTCGGTTCCACCCTGGCCTCAAAATGCGCACTTTGGCCTTCTACAATTTTATTAGTCCCTTTCAGGGGTCCCAAAAATCTTGGTTTCTGATTGATTTTCACTTCCTCTTCAGCTCTTCTAGAATATTTACTCGAGTCTTCCAAATATTGAATTTTCTCAAGTCCTCCGGGATGTTGAGATTCAGCAATTATATCTTTCTTCGTGACAATTGAAAGATTTGCACTAGTCGTTGCCTGACCTAATGCATTATAAGCTTGGCATGTATAGTGGCCTGCATCATGTGCGGTTACTGATTTAATCGTTAATGCTACGTAACCAAAATTAAAGAAAGTAGTTATTCTCGAGCTAGCTTCAACAGGACGACCATCTTTAAACCATTCTACCTTTAATGTTGAGTCTCCTACCGGTTCAAGGCGAGCTTCAAAATGAGCAAATCCACCCTCCTTTATGTTTATTTGATCTTTTATTGGTGTTTTAAATTCTGGCCTCTGTGTACTTTCTGGTACTTCTTGATAGTATTTCTGGTGTTGTTTATGTTGATACGCTTCTAATTGTTCAGTTTGTTCGATATACCTTCTTTGTTCCGGTATTCCTAGATCTGAAGTAACTGTGCTTCTCGCTGCAACTTGAATAGTAGCGGTACTAATAGCTTCACCTAGCCTGTTCACAGCTCTCACTGTATACGAACCTGCATCTTCAGCCCGTAGGTGCATGATGTTTAGGGAGACGTAGCCGAAGTTGAAGATTGCTGTGATTCGCGAGCTCGCTGTAATGGCCTTACCATCTTTGTACCATTCTACTCTCATTGTAGGGTCACTTACAGGTGTCAATTGTGCTTCAAAATGTGCATTTTTTCCTTCCTGTAGCTCCCCAAGATTTTGTAACGACCTAATAAACTGAGGTCGCTGTAGTGTTTGTTCTTCAACAGATTCTTGGTGTTGATATTTTGAATAATCTTCCAGTTGCTGTATATATTGTAGACTCTCTGGATGTTGACTAGTTCTCTCGATGGTTGCTCGAGGGGTAACTTGTAAAATTGCTTTGGTCTCTGCCATTCCTGTAGCACTGACAGCTCTGCAAGTGTATTCACCACTGTCTTGTATATTAAGACTCAACATATCTAAAGAAATATATCCAAAACGGAACACCGAAGTGAATCTCGAACCTGAAATAATAAAAAATCTATAATTACATTTTGAACATAAATATTTAATTATGTCCTATTTATACTTATTTTCCATTTATGTTTTTTGTAAATAAAAGCTAAGACTGCAATATATAGTTATTCAACTAATAGGAATATTTAAAAAAAAATGATGTCATCAATAAGTTATAATAAATAACACTGCATGATACATCTGCGTATCAAGTATTCTGACTAAAAATTTTACTCACTGGCTTCTATACTTTGCCCGTTCTTCAGCCATTCAATTTTCATCGAAGGATCGCCAACTGGTTCTATCCTTGTCTCGAAATGAATTTTTCCACCTTCCATTTGAGTTACACTTTTAAGGGGTACAATGAACTGTGGTGAAGGATAAACCCGGTCTTCCTCACCCGGAGGAACATAAGGTCGTGCCCTTTCCACATGCCTTAAATAAATAATTTCTGGTCCCGGAGCGGGCCTAAAAGCAAAATATTATATTTTTTAATTATCTAATCATTAAAACTTGCAATAATAAGACATTTAATAAGGTGAGCGTATGTTCACTTACTCGGGTTCAATTACTTTCGTAGGCCGCGGTAAGTGTAAACGTTTTTGCTCAGGCGCAGGCTCTTTTTGCACTTCAACATATAGCCTCGCCCGAGTGGCGGTGGACCCTGCGACATTTTGAGCCGTACATTGATACCATGCCGCATCCGACGCCTTGGCTCGCGGTATATCTAATGTCGAGGCCCCACCCTCAGATTGAATTCGTAATTCTGGATTGGGTATAATCGGTACGCCGTCCTTCTGCCATGTGATACGCGGTATAGGAGTGCCAACAGCACGCACACTCAGCTGTACAGGTTCTCCTTCTCGTACACTGAGTGTACTAAAACGCTTAACAAATTTTGGAGCAACAACTTGCTCTTTTTCAATAACGTTTAATCGACATTGAAAAGATGATTCTCCACTTTTGTTACGCGCTATACAAGTTACTACGCCGCTATCGTTAAGACTGACGTTTGTAATCATAAGAGCATGATTACCCGATTCGTTTACTAGTATCTTATGATTATAATCGTCTCGAATTTGTTTATCGTTAATGAACCACGTGACTTCAGGGTAAGGTCTGCCAGTAACGCGGCAATCGAATCGCGTCATTTTGCCTTCTGTGACATCTCTATCTTGGCAGACTTTTACAAATTGCGGAGCGAGAGCCTTTTCACTAATTTCTATTCTTTCAGTCTCGACTTGTTGGGTATCTGTATATTGCGATCTTTGTTCTTGATTATATGTTTCTTGAGGAGACTCAACTACAAGATAAGCTGAAGTTACAATGCAACCATTTGGATTTTCTGCTAAAAGTGTATAATGACCATAATCTGACTTTTGAACATCTCTTATCCTAAGAATTGTTTGGTTATTTGTAGTTATGATATTATGTTTGCTTGAGTTTATTATTCTCTGCCCATTTTTAAACCAGGATACACGTGGTCTAGGATTACCAGACAACTGTACCTGAAATTGTGCGTCTGCACCTTCTTGAAGTTTGGAATTTCTAGGTTTCTGGGATATCTTGGGTGGCGATGCTGGTCCAAGGTTTTTATCAATTTCCGTATTTATTTGAATATCGTTTTCACCCGTATACCTCTTCGTAATGCTTTCTCTGAAAGAAATCTCTCGCAAAAGCCGATATTCAAATGTATCTACTTTAAAGTCTTCAGCAGATGAAAATTCCGAACCATTTGTGTACGCGTACTTTTGTGATTGACGAGTCTGCTCTGAAGTATAACCTTGAGTTCCGTATGATTTGTGTTCGACACTTTCACTGACATGTCTGTAGCTCTGTTGTTGAGAAGCTCGCTGCGTTGGAACTGGAACGCCTTCGGGTTGTATATAAACTGAACAAATCGCTTCTCCATACTGGTTTCGTGCTGTGCAAGTATATTCACCCTCATCTCCAGGTCCTATTTGCTTTATTAATAAAGATACATCTCCAGTTTGCTCATTATAGCTCATACTATATTTATTACATTCCACTAAAGGTGCCTTCTTCCTGGTCCAAGAAACCACGGGAATAGGATTACCTCTTAATTTACCTTCGAATTTTGCATTTCCGCCTTGTGCAAATCTCGCATTTTTAAATATTTGCTCAAATATTGGCGGGGAAGGATCTCCTAGTCTGCCAGAAGTAATAGGTAGTCTGTCTCCAACAGCGCTCTCAACTGAAATAAAAAAAATCGTATAAATTGTATATATTAAAAATTAATTCCATAAAACATCTTAAACATAATCTCTATATGGCTAAATGTGTTATGTGAATAAAAAATGTGTATTATATTTTAACAATCGCGTAGATGTCTTAAGATTATGGAATTGGCAACAGTTTTTATAGTTTAAAAATTAATATTTCAGTCCAGGGGGTAATGGTTGACATATAAGATTGCTCTGGGTGTTTAAACCTCGGAATATATCAGCCGTTGCTTGCGTGAGTCACCGATGACGAGGTGGGCGAGCTCTTTATGCCCGTCTATTTTCGTTCACATACACTCGTATCTAGTTACGAATGCCATTTTTGTAGAAATGTACACACGTCCATTAATTTTAGTATATATTTTTTTTTATACAGCGTTGGTATTTTGTACACAATATGTAATATTTAGGTTTATTTATTTAATACTTTAGTATTTTTGAGATTAATTATATTGATGGTTTGGGGGATATAAAATATTAAGTAAACCCATACGTTATCTTTACCAGTCTGCAACGAATCTATGGTCCCTCAGATCGGTTCCTTGGCTAAGCCACAACCATTTCCATCGTACCTTTGTAACATTATTTTGGTTTACAAAGTCTATATATTAAATTTTTATTTTAGATATTTTAATATAATGCCGACGAATTATTAATCTATGGCTTAATAAACAATTATATTAACTAACATGTCTATCCTACTATCTTAAGAGGAAATCGTTTTTAGTTGAAGCGTAACACTTTTATTTCAACATTCAGTCTGCATCGGTATAGCTAGGTGTAAAGTACAAATGCTCTTATGGCACCTTATAAGGTTTAACCAACAGACAGTAACAAAACGGTCATGGCAGTATGTAGGTCAAGGTCACGATAATCTCCTAATAAAATTAAAAGTTCATTTATTAGGTGGGAAATTTAAAATTAGGCTTCTTAAACAAATTAAATTAAAATAATGCTGCTAATACTTGTAATTAATGTATAAGACTGTAAATTAAAACTGTTTGTAAAGAAAAACAATGGTTTTATCATGTATGATAAATTTATGAAACTGATACGATTGCGCTGCAACTAAAATTACACAAAACACATTTTATTAAGTTTTCTTTATCGTCTTGCTATTTTAATTATTATGTGGGAAGATCTGGCAATGGTCCAAAATATTCGCCTTAGTGTTGATATTTATTTAAAACCATGCTATCATTATTTACAGTGTAGTGTTTTGTCGTTGTCAAATATTGTCACTCACTAGAGAAGATAAAAAAGAAAAATATAATTTTTTTTTTTTCAATAAAATAATATAAACAATATTTTTAAATTTTATATTCCATAAGATTATAATTTATATGACCAATAAAATAATAATAATAAAAAGTTACTTAATAATAAAAAGTTATAATTATTATAAAGATTTAAGTTATGTTATTATTTAAATACAAATACATATTTCATATGATACAATTCAATGAGTGTCAAAAATATCATCTTTTATTAGAATTAAAATTATTTATGAAACTAAAGCAAGCTATTATTTAGGAAACGGTACCGGTAATACAGCCAAGATCAGTTTCCGTGAAATTAAAACACCACATGAAGTAATATTACGAGAATAGCAAACGTGTGAGCGTTTATGATTCTTTGGCGAAATTCCGTTAATGAACAAAACGAATGAAAAATGAAACCGTTACATTTCTCGAAGCATTAATGAGAAGTTTTGGTCCTAGTAACATTTATTTGCATTAATTTTGATTGTGGAACATATTTTTTACTGTTCAGTAACAGTCCGTTGTAATGAGATTAGGATTTTTAGATTCGTCTTAGTACAATTTATTTTAAAAAAGAATTATGTACCTACTTCAAAAATATGACTGAACTTCAGTCTTATTGAGTGATAACCTTCATAACCAGTTCAAGTAACCTAACCACATTATTACGTTTCTTATATATCAACATCTAAGGTATAAAATCGCATGCTGTTCCTCGTATAAACGCAACATATGGTCTTTACCCCTCCAGAGTTGAAGGTGCCAAGGTTTCTTATGTCTTTAGTTCATCGCAAATTATTTATGTGCCCAAAGTTTTAAAATTCTTCATTGTGATTTTATACTTGATATCAAAGCCAAATACTGCAAACGATTTTTTAGAAAAGTTTATACTCTCAATATATATATATTTATATATATATAACGTTCTAGATCCAAATATAATATCTTTATTAAGACGTTAACGTTATTACACTTATAAATAAAAATAAATGTTATAATAAATTGAAAATCTGCACTCCTGATAGATGACGGGTGACTGATTGTCTAACGTACCGCTAAATACAGTTCAATTAACAAACGTCAGTAAACTTGAAACATAAAAAAGTAAATATTTTAGAACCGAATAATTAGACGAATTTTTTGGAAAGATATGTGTATAAGAAATTAATAGAATAATGAAAAGTGTATGTCGTTAATGTAACATATATACAGTATGTATTTAATTATAATTATTACGTATATCTCAGCTACCTATGTATTGCTTAGTTACTGTAATAATTGATTCATAACTTCGTGTAATATAACGATATGAGGTAAACGAGTAATCACTTTAGTCAGTCGGAACACGCTATTTAATTACTAGGTCTAACAGCATCGCTATGATCTGATCGATAACCGATACGCTTTACTCGGTTAGTTTCACTTCATCATCGATAATTAATCGAACTATATTACAGCCATGTTCAATTTAATCGTCAGCTTCCATTTTGAAATTATCCAAAAAAATAACATATTTAGTGAAAGTGTATCCATATTCAATTTAAAAATCATGATTGCGAATGAATTATAAATTAGTAAAATAATTTTAAGAAAAAAAATATTCAACCTTTTAACAAAATACTGGCTGGGTTACTTAAATATTTTACTCCATATAGGGTTCTGTTGATAAATGCAGATTTGGTCAAGGAGACCGTGGAACGCGGCCCGCTGTTTTAATACGTGACAAAATATAAGTTCTCAGGCTGCAATAAATAAAGCGCAACACTTACAACAGTCACGAATGACAATCAATTTCTTGTTTTACAGATAACAATATTTACTGTACTCGGAACGGAAATAGAACGTCGTTTTAATAGATAATTTCACCTTGGTAAAACACAGAAAGAAAGTCAGATTATTATAGTAATTCTATGTTATGGAGTAGAAGCCTGAGATATCAATGCTGGTTAATATACAGTTTGGTGAGGCTACTTTGATGACTGTACAGATTCTGAGTCTAGAAAGCGATATTATTGTAACCGGCAATGACTCGTATACCTTAATATTTTATATTTTTTTCAATTTTATATATCAAAAACCTTCTAATAACCTATTTTTTTAAATAGTTTTGTGAAGTTATCGGGTTATATATCGTATTTTTTTTACCTTTGACGTAAAGTGGTTTAACACTTTCCTTTGATCCAAGCGAGAGTCGTCGTGTGACGTAACAAATACGTACATTATTATTTTTATGATAGTTGCTTTAGAAAAATCTATTTATAAAAAAAAATACGTCACAATCTGAACACTAAATATATTTCTAAATAATATATCTTTTTTATAGGAAAAAAAATGTCCGGATCTTCAAATTGATGTGATACAAGGTATGATTCTATCTCCCACTAAATTTGATACTAACAAATTTAAAGATGTTACTCACAACATTTTGACAATATTAGATATATGGTAGATGCAAAGGTATAATATAACCTGAACAAAATCTCTACAAAGTTATTGATGAATCGTGATCCCATACTCTCGTTTTCAGTTCCTCGTTTTTGGAATGCGATTTTAGTTTTAGATTATATAACCGGATCATGACGAGGACTAAACGTTGTTACGTTTTGATTCGTGATGTGGGTCAATTGTCTGGCTACACGATATCTCTTTTTACTAAGAATTACAACGCTATTGGATACTGTTAGGTTTCCTTGCATAATACCTATGAAATGTTTCCTAGTCATTTAATAGATTTAGTTTGACTGTTTTCTTTAGCATCCCGTGTAGTCCTAAATCGTTATATAAGGAATAATTGAGTACAAGAAAAATTATGAATTCTATTTTACAAATAAGGGGCCTCACCAAACAAGTTATTTCACTTGTCTATGAATACTTTATATTATTCACATATTGTGCAACTGGATATCCGGTAACATTTTGTACCTTATATCATTTAAATTAAATTAATAGTACGCGTGGAGTGGTAATCTAATAAAAAAAACGTGTAGGTACAACTATAACGCAGAATAAATATAACGAGACACTGATTGGATCCTGTAATGAAACTTGCATTCATTGCATTAATAGTACGTAAATATTATTCGGTTTAAGTAATTTTTATTGGACTAATTTAAACCAGATATATAAATTATAATTATTAATTTTGGTTAACTGAATTTTTTTGGAACATGATTTTAACTTTATTCGTATGCAATAGACATAAAATAAAATAAATAATGTTTGTAAAAAATCTTTATATGTTTTAACATGAGTTAGATATTTATCAGTTAACACAGCGAACTATAATTACTTACTTACTTTTACTAAAAGTAAGCGGTACGGTGTTAGGCTGTGATGTTCTCCGGAGATGAGATGAAAGCAAGAAGCGAGACGATCTACAGTTAAGCTGCTATGTATAATGACCAACTCGTGCCATATATCCGCGCAAGGGAATCATTTCAAGCTATGCTTTTTTTATTGTACTTTTTATGAATAACCATACAATTTATATACCCATTTCTACATTTAAATTTATTTTTTAAACTAGGATTATTTTTATAGTGATATAATGAGGTTAATCTGGAAGTGCTATCATTAAGTTTGCCCAAAATATTTGAAAAATTATTGATTTCAAACTTTTGAGTTTAACAATCTAGTTATTAATTTATTTTTGAATTATACAATTATGTATTGAAAGGAATATACGATTACACATTGGTTATTACATCATAAGTTATATCGAATTACAATGTAAAAAAAACACTGTTACTTCGAACATCTGCCGCGTGTTGGAAAGTGAAAGTAGAAGGACATGAAGTGGTTAGGTTAAATATGAAAGCTTTATTAGTACAAGATGGAAACGTGTTATAATATATCACCGGCGCATTAATTTTTAGAGCATTTTTTTACGTTTTGTAATAAAAACTCTCTCACCGAGATGCACTTATCAATTCGTTATTAAATATTTTTATTCGTAGGAGTGAATGCTGAGTAAAATAAGATTCTATATTTGTGATGAATGAGAGGTTTTGACTCGGTGGAAATCGAAGACAATAATTTCAAGTTTTTCTCGATAAAAAAGTTCCCATTATTCTAAGCTTCTCACTATGGTACACGATGAAATAGAAAACTGTTAATGCGCAAGAAATAAAAGACTATTAAATCTTAGTTATAACCTTAGGTGTTATTAAATTACAATTTTTGTATCTGTTTTGTAAATTTTTGCTTTTGTTCCTTTTGAGTTTAACAGTCATTTCAATAAAATATATTTATTGAATTTCTTTTATTGTAATAGACGAGAGAAACAAGAAGTATTAATTTAAACTTTACGGTATGAAAGGAACTAATTTAAATTCAAAACCCGAATATTTTAACTATTTGTTCGACATATATCTGATGTTATGAGTGTGAATATTGAGCGTCCCAATTTTCAATCATACAAAATGTGAGTCACACTTAATGTTTACTATTTTCATTTACCGCTATGTTACGTTTCAGTTTAAACAACTGTCGCTATAACTACATCATGATATTGCTTTTCTATTACTTTGATATTAACCTCATTTTTATAATTTCTACTGTAAATCTAGCTGTTTTCTGTTATTGATGTTGTATTGTAGTAATTTTGTTACAACTTTTTATTCGAGATCTAAGTAATGTGTATCTTACTGTTAGACATTGAAGGAACAAGAATTCCTCCATCTTATTTTCACTTTTTACCATACTCTTACAGCTTCTGTTTACTTTATTTCCATATTTTTTATTCGACCTCATCACGCTCCGCATCAATCACGCAAATCAAACGATAGATTTCATTTTTCTATCGGATTTCAGATTGCAGTCATTAGTATTGTTTCTGTTTGAATACATTGTGGTTTACCATCATTGTTTTAATAAAATGATGCCTATAATTATTATCTTGTTATTAGATTTGGTGTATTTTATTATAAAAAAAATGTAGGAAATTTTTCACCGTGTCCATTAAACCCAAATTTATATGTTAAAAACATTAAAACTATTATTAGTTCGTTTAATTCCTTAACGGATATCGTGTTTCGCCGTGAAATTTCAACATATAGTTTGTATTAGGCATAAATTCGCACTGCAACTTAAACGGAGAGACTAATGAGCATATTTAATATTTATATCGACTGATTTTGATCCAGACATATTAGAAATAAATAATACATTTATGTAAAGAGATCAGGTAGCATTGAATTGACATCAGAACGGATACTAATGAACTGCTGATGTCTCTCCGTTCTCAGTAATATTAAAAATGTTTTAATTCGCACACATAAAAATGAAGATGGAATTTTAATAGGAGAATATGAGATCATTTCTTCAAGAAATAAAACAACAAAGATGAAAAATATGCCAGCGCGTTCCTGCATCCAGTCGGCGGCGGACGGGAGCGTTGGCGCCCACGCGCGCCCCAGAATAGCCTCACTATCTCGCTCGGTGAAAAGTGCTATGCACGAATAGTGCCTTCGTCTTCGGTTTCTTCCTTTTCGCGCTTTAAATAAAGAAACCTAAGACAGTCGCACGCAGGGCGCCGCCCGCACAGCCGGCCAGCGCTGTACGCTGAACGGCAGGCTTACAATGTAAAGAAATACAAGTAACACACATATTTATGTAGGTCGCTGAAGCAGTAATTGATTAAAGCCTAAATAAATTACTTATCCCCGCGGTTAAGTGAGGGTGCAGATGATGTTATGCGACTTACCTTGCTGCATGGTCTGCTGCGTGAAGTGGTGCTCGGTGCGCTGTTGCTGCACTACGTGCTCGCGCCGCTCCGAGCGCTGCTCCGAGCGCTGCTCCGACCGCTGCTCCGACCACCTCGACTGCTTCTCCATAGCGCCGCCGCGGCAGCACACACGAAAAAACTCTCACTCGACGCTACTAGTCCTTGAAGAGCTCTTCCAAAAGCTCTGTTATACTAAAATAAATACACTGCGATAAACTTATACTAGTCCACGGGTTCATTTAGCAGAAGTTAAGTCATTATAACCCAAGTCCAATAACCAAGACGTCGGTCGATTGCGAATAGTTAGCGGATAGTGCGGTGCGGCGTTCGAAGCCGCGGCGCGGGCGCAACGTGCGGCTGCGGGGAAGAAGGGGGGAGTCGACCGAAATACTCAGGGTTATTTTGAGCTCCGCGCACTCCCGCGTGCCTCCAAGCTCGAAGAGATTATCCTCAAACTCCTGTATTACATATTTGATACAATATAACAACCTTATCTCAAAAATACATAATCCATATATGAGATACTATTTTTAAAGAGGACCTTAGAAAATCCCAAAATCTCTATTCCGAGGGTGTGATAGACAGATGTTTATTATTATTTTAAACAAAAAAATATTATTTTCAAAACTTACACCTGTGTACCTTAATTAATTATTATTAGTAACAATTAAAAAAGTATTGTTTAATTCAACCCAAATCTTTGGAACAACCGATTGACAGTTAATTAAAGTGGTTATTCTTGGGTTGTATAATGGTTAAAAAATTAATCCCCCCGCGATCACCCGCAAATACGTTCGTATAAAAAATATAAATAAAAGATACCTTTCTTTTATTTATATTTTTAGTAAACTTACTTATAAATTCTTCATGCATGCATGAATAAAATATCTAGTAATTTTATATTATAAGAGTATACAAGAACTAACGATACAAATTGATATGTTGTCTTTCATTTTTTCACATTACTATTTGAATCTTTGTGAAATAGCTTCTTATTGAAATACTATCAATAAAAAATAGTTCGTATTATATATACATAACTTGTATAGTAAACTGATGTGTTATATTTTTTCTGCTACGTTTAGACGATTCATTTTATATTTTTTGAAATAACCCTCATACTCGTTGTTCGTATATGGATCTTTTAATATGCCAGAAAAAGTTTATAAAAAGAATTTTATTTTTAAATGTTGAGTTAACAAGATAATTGTCGTTAAAATTAACTAGCATATTATCTCTTCTAATACAAAATTTCTGAAATCTATTGGGATTCGTCTAAATCAGAGTCATGAAATTCTAAAAGAATTATGATTTATATAGAAAGTATTTAATAAAATTCAAAGGACTCAACACATTAGTCTGACCGACGTGTAAATTCTTTCAGCTCGTTGTCCTAAGTTCCTAAACCTTCTGATCCCTACTTCAATAATCATTATTGTTGATATACTTTGGATTAGATATATTTTCTTCAGTCATAGAATAATTAATATTTATAAGCAAGTAAGCCTTTTCTTTTAAAAGAATAATTAATTGACTCAATGATGCAAGGAACTAATATTTCGGTTAATTTTTTAAAATTTTTAAAAATTTAACTTTTTTAATTTTTAAAAATTAAACGTCATTACATTAAATAAGTTCAATACTGTAAAAGTTAGTAAAGTCGTAAATAAAAATACTTTCCTGGGATTAATAATTAAATTATAAATTTTAGTAAGTTTAATTTCAGTGTAATTAATTATATTGTCAATCCAACTCCGGAATGATACGACCCAACGTGAAATCGTTTTATGAAGTGTATTGAAAATGATTAAAAATCTATACATAAATTAAGAATCTGTATTCTATATAGTTTAATCTTTTTAAGTCATTAATTAATATAATATGTTGTAAACACTTTTGAAACTATTACAAATAAATCGTAATTTGTTTCAATTGAGTTTGGAGAGATTATTAGAATTAAAATCCAGAAACTTATACACAAATAAAGAAACGTTTAAAATAATCTTATTTGAACGGACTTAAACATGAGATACATCTGTACCGCAGCGGGGGGTGCCATCTAAATACATACATCCCAAACATCTAAATACATACATAAAAACAGTAAAATATAATATGTACTAAATAGTATGAAATCTGCATAAGATTACTAATAGATTTAAATTAATAGAACCAACTTAAATATTTAAATTCTAAAACTTTTCTTAGGAATTCATCTGTATCTTACCGTTAAACTTTCATTTTGTTTAAAGTCTTAAAGTCAAAACTTAGTAATTATGATTTCTATTCTGGGACCGTTTTAAATTTCGTTACCTTATGAATCCATAACTTTTATTCACAATATCAAGAAATATTTATTTTCAATAACCTCGGTCATCTGCTAATAAGTAAATTTCAAGACACTTTTAAATAATATTTCGTATACTCACTCGAAAGTAATAAAACAGTAATGCAAAATTATTTTCAGTTAAGACATATTGCTTTTTTAGTTTTTGTATCACATAGTTTTAATCGATTCAATGATTTGACTTAGGACAAAAATAGTTGGAATTAATACATTCCTATTTTATAAAGATATATAACAAATAAATAACATTTTATTACAGTATTGCAATAACCGAATACTTCTTACTATATGTATAAGGATATTCACACTATATTTTATATCAAAACATTTATTTTTCTTATTTTTTGCTGTCTTTAAATTTTGTTTTTTTAGTTTTTTTAGGTTCCCGCTAATCTCTGAAATGGCTGGCTGGATTTTGACTAAACTTTCACTAGCGACAGCTGACTATGAGGATATAATTAGACTACATTTAAATTATAATTTATTTTTATTAATATAAATATTAAAAGATATATTATTCCGTGACAAGTATATGAAAGTTTGAGCTAAATAAATGTAACATGTAAACGATAAAATACAAATAAATGAAATAATATTTCTTTTCATATTAATAATTACGCACAGGAAAAGTTAATGAAGCGGATGATGACATTAAATATAAAAGGTATATTTGTATTGGTCCAGATTTGAGCGTAATGCTTTCAATTGATTTCACAACACACCCTTTCGTGTTCAATAATTAATTAATTAGTCGACATTTCATCGGCTATTTAAAAGCTTTATTAAATAAACATATTTCCGATGATAATTATTGTTAATTATAGAACAGCTTTTGGGAAAAAGAACATTAATTCATTTCATTATTGAACCTTTATTTTTCGAATAAGATTTATTTTATACATATTATTCAACTTTCTAATAAATAACTGAATTCGGTAAAGTCTTCAAATCTCTGGTAGTACTCTACATGCTTAGCTGATTTGCAAATCCTTTCACATAAAATAAAAAGATATAGAGATATGTGTACATAATATATATTCACTCAATGCAAAGACAATTAATGCATCAGTGTAATACATAAACTATATTAAATATCCAGATAAACTTTTCTTAAAATTCAAAAACAATATTTAAATATACCAATATGTAATATAACAGTTATCTGTCATAATATATTTTAATTACCTACCAAGAAATATAATTTGTTGTTTCTGAACGATGAGACAGTTGGCAGCTAGCTCAGTGGCACTCACCTCTATGTATAGTTTTATAGGTAATCTCGTAAAAACTCTGACAATGATCCATCGCTGCCAAATCTAAATATTTGATTGCAATCTCTCAAGTGTGAAGAATATTATATTACATTTTCGTTATACCAAAATAAGTTTTCTAAAATCGTACTTATTAATAATGCTTTATAAAAAGTCATTCATGAATTATAAATTTTTATAAACAGAATAGTAAAAAATTTGCATTAAAAACTCTTAATAATTTATTTATTCTCAAATTAAATTATAATTTTATACAAACTATCAAAAATAAAAAAATTAAACCTCATTGGTAATGAAGATAAGCTTTCCCAGCTTATTGGCGTGGGTGAATACAGGTGTATACGAGGAACTGTTTTAGAAAATAAGATATGAAACCGAAGGAATTCCAGGGTTTCACCTCGTATCACGTTACACGCACAATTCAACTAACCAATTTAGACTGGCTGAATATATATCTGAACCTGCTTTTAGCTTTTTTATTAAAACGAAACTAATTCACTCTTATTATGAAAATATTTAAATGTGACCTAATGTCTGGACATTTTTTAAAAACGAGCTGCTCTAAATACGAGATTTAATATTTTTAATTTTTCAATCTAATAATAATGATTTCTATTGGATTTGACGAAGAATTTGCAAAACTGCAAAACAAAGAATTCTATACTCGACGATCCGTTTCTCTCATTGTGATTTTTAAAAAAACCTCTTGATTTCCGTCTGCAGGTGGCTTTAATTATTTTCAATGGCATCTAGCTGCATTTCATAAAACTGAATAAAAAAATCATATGTTCGGTCGCTTGACAACAAAACATACTGGCATAAAAAAAGAAAAATAATGACACTTAAGCTTCTGGAATATGTGTTATGTTATGTCCTAAAAATATCAGGTGTATTGCTACTTAAAAATAGCTCACCTGTATTACGCAAAGCATTACTCAGTCGAATACCAGCAACCGGATTCAGAGTTGAGTGGGCGGACGATGTTTTTCTGTTTTTCAGAAATATCGACCACCTACAATCTGGCAAGCTCTCCGTAACTGTTCCAATGCATTTTATATCTCACTTTTTTGTAACATCCATATCATATGTGCATAAAGTGTACTCAAATACTCCGAGACTGAAAAGAAACAACTCACTTCCATTCCAATATTTCCACATGCGTCACATATGTGAAACGAATAAATTCTCACTAAATACAGCGCTTGTAATTTAATATTTAAATCTTATTTTAAATCCGTAGCAATAATCCCGATTTGTTATCGTCGTCGAGGCATTTGCCAAGTGACACTAACATATACATATTAATTATAAATCGTCTTGTTTTAATATTGTATCCATATTCCAGTAATATATTATAAAATATGGAAAAGCAATGTTGATATGAAGCCAAAACTCATATAAACCATAATATACATGTAAACTTAAATATTTGCTTCATATTTTTGAAAGTCAAACTCAAATCAGAACTTTCATAAGAAAATATTTAGAGGA